ACGGGGGAATAGGAGGTCGTCGGTGCCACACATTTGTGCCGTACTTGTACAGTGCCGCTTCATCCGGAACTATCATTCCACGACAACACTCCGAGGCACAACTACAGGGAAAAGGCTTCATCGTGTAGTCGCAAAAAGTCGAGTAGTCCATTGTAAGCTCCTCATCCTTCTTGATGTCGCGGGAGGCAATAACGTTCAGTGAATGGTCCTCGCCAAAGATACAGTTTGGATTGCAGGAATGATTAATGGGACGCCATTTGCTAGGGTCGCTCTCCCAAATGGCGTACACATGGCCGTCGCCATCTAGCGGCCACGCGTATTCAGTAAAAGTTTGTTTTTCCTCTTCCCCCCAGTGCCTCTCAACAAAAGGCCGTGTGACAATAGCGAAACTACTTCCCTCATCCTCAAACACAAGCTCCCCTCTCTTGATGTCTTTGGTGGCACATAGAAGATACCCTCGGTCATTGCCACCGTACCGCACCCCCATAACCGGCTTTTTACAACCCTGCTCTCCCTCACGTACGCACTCCTCCAACAACCCCTTTTCAGCGGCTGCCAAAAAAAGGTCGGCGTTCAAGTCTATTAAGGAGCAGCCAAGTTCCACATCCTCCAGGAATAACTGTTCCGAATACGGGCTTTTATTAAACCACAGCTTCGCAAAGCCGTGATTATTTATTACTAACTTAGCAAAGGCTGTGGCGCATTTTTCTATGAGAGGGGTGCATTGCTTGAGCCATACATCGTCTTTGTGGCCTTCTTGTGTGATAGCAACGCAACCGGAGCCCGAGACCAAGGTCTGCAGCTCCCTACTCTTCGTGCCGTTTACTTCCCACACGAGTACTTTGTCGTGACATTGTAGAACTTCATGCAGCACCCTCCGCAAGGTTGGCATATCTGTGACAACGGAATTAAATCCACACTGAAGAGGATTTCCAGTCTTTAATTTTACAGGAAATCGCAAGTTAAGCTGCTCAATATCATTTTCTGACTTCACCACAGAGAATGGGGGTAGTGGCAGCCCGGCATAAAAACACATCATAAAAAGAACGTCCAGTGGTTGTTTTAGCGTCATGTGACGGCACCCGGCGTAAACAGCTTCAATGTGGTCAAGCACAGAAGCTAGCACTGCCTGGCTGGCCCGATCCTCGTCTTCGGTGGTCCCAGTACACAGATTTAAGGCGCAGCGGTAATAATCGCGAGAGACGCAGAAGATTCGAACTGCTCGGTACATGGAGGGACCATTAAGCACGGGAAAAATCTTAAATGGAAATGTTGCTAATTTCTTGAGTCTTGCTGCTAGCTCCTGCTCGTCTGGGCCATCGCAGAAAACAGCCACAACATTGCCCTTATTCATTCTTGCAGCAATGCAGCGTCCCTGTAAAATCTACGGAAATAAAGAAAAATATAAAGGAAGATATCACAGAGTTTAGCTAAGTAAGCAAAATACATTTCCCGCACACGAGACAGAAAAACAAGACGAATAAATTGTGTAACTACCACCCGCGCGCCTACTGCCTCACCGCCTTGGCAAGTATCTCCTCGTTCATTCGTTTTTTTTTTTCGTCCTTTCTTGTAAAAATTGTACTCACATTATTCTTCACCCCCCTCCCTCCTCCCTCCCTCTTCAGTCCGTCTTTTGTGTGTTTTTATGGTCCCCTCTAATATCCTCATTGTTGGTTATTCCAAGGAAAAAAAAAACTCTACAGAACGTGCTTCATAAAGCAAAGGAGGACAAATACCATGGCCAACGGCACAAGCAGTGCCCACACGCCAAATGCAAACAGATAAAGGTCCTTGAGGTGCTTCAGGTAATGAACCATCACCTTTCCCGTTAGCTTGCTCTCACCCACAGTTCGGGTGGCAAAGTTGAAGCCAACTTCTTCATACTTTTGCACGTGGCACTTAACAAAAAGCTCGAGTGCTATTTTGTAGCCAACAGGACTCAACACTTCTACACCACGCTGAAAAACCTCCTTGCGAAGGCCAAAAAGGCCTGACATGGGGTCACTGAGAGGCGTAAGTGGACGAGCAAGCACGCGTGCACCCCATGAAATGACCCGTCGATGCAGAGGCCAGTCGCCATCGATGGCTACACCTGCACCATACCTGGTGCCGCAGACAAACTCAACTTCTGGCTTTTCGAGGGCGCGGAACAGACGAGGAACAGCTTCGGGTGGATGTTGAAGATCAGCATCCATCACAAAAATTAGGCTTCCTTTAGAGTTAGAAATACCGTGAATAACTGCGCTGCTCAAACCACGCTCCGTTGTGCGAACATCAATACGTACACCGTATCCCTCCTTCTGAAGCTTCTGTACAACTTCGACCGAACCATCCCGCGAATTATCGTCAACGATGAGCATCTCTACATCATTCTTGGCAAAACCGGCATCTGTGAGCGCATCAAACACCTGTGTTGTGAGCGCCTCTAAGTTCCCACTCTCCTTGTATGCTGGAACAACTATGCTGTACCTGATTGGCATCGAACAGACGTGTGAGTGCCCTTTTATTTTCTGTGTTTTTTTTTTATAGTTGCTTGTCCTAACATAATTTTAGTTGTTTCACATTTTTCGTTGAGGTGCAAGAAAATAAATGCGGCGAAATAAATTCATCACATCATGGCCCACCGCCCCATTAGGGATAACTCGCATACACACGCACTGACTCACTTATGTCCACACCATGAACAAACATTGGCACTCTCATGTAAAACATCCAGAGACGATAGAAAACGAGAGAACGGTTTTTTTTTAAAAAAAAAAAAGAGATTATCTATACCACTTACCGGTAGAGATATTAATTTATCTTAAGAAGTTCAATTTCAAAGAGAAGATCGGCATCCGGGGGAATGCCCCAGGCGGGAAACCCTTTCTTCCCGTAGGCAAAATCGCCGGACATCGTGAGCTCAGCTTTCTCACCGGTCGACATCATCAGCATTCCTTCATCCCAGCCCTGGATCACCTGCCCGAGCCCCACGCGGAAGGAAAACGGCTCATTGTTATCCAACGTTGACCAGAACTTCTTTTTGCCATTGACAAGGTAGCCAGTGCAGTGGACAGTGATTACATCGCCCGCTCTTGGTTGTGCGCCGTTCCCCTCCGACAGTACTTTGCGTGTGACCCCCATTGCTAAACGTAGTGATATTCTTCTTGAGGCACAAGTAAAACGATGTTATCAAAAGCAGAGAGAAAACCATGCATGCGCACATGCAGCAATTAGTCCAAAAGGGAAGAAGAAGAAGAAAAAGACAGTAAAAAACACAACAAAAAGGCAACAATGACAAGTTTCCTTGCGATTGACACCAGAACTCAGAGACAAACAGCAACCCGCCCCCTCCCTCCTAGACATATATACACGGGAGCCCGCATAAGCACGGTCAGAGAAGCGAGAGCAGGTGTGACCCCACACAAGTAAAACTCAAGGAAATCATGTATTGAATTCCCTGACACATTCCAATCGAACCCACTGGCGCAAGGACACTATAACACGTCGCGTCCTCCACCTGAAAAGCGTCAGTAAAGGGGTTGAAAAACCAAAAAAAAAATGGAGTGGATTGGGAGTAAAGGGAACAACTACCGCCTCAACCAACACAACAAGATTTTACGCGGTGACTCTTCCTTGTCGTCATGTCTTCAGCATCTACTTGTGTAGTTGGGAGTGCAGCAACCCTCTAAGCCGTTCCACCTCCATCTCCAGCTGCCCATTGCGGATCTTCAATTTTTGGCTCCTTGACTCCTCCATCAAGAGTTGCTTGCGAACCTCCTCGTGCCGTTTAGAAAGCAAATTCACGGAAGCACGTGAACCATCCTGTGTGGACCGAATCTTCTGCTGCAATTCTGTCACAGTCCCTTTTAGCTCATCACACTCTTGACTTCGACGCTCAAGCCTGTTCTTTATCATCCGCTTCTCTGTCTCCAGTGAAGAGAAGCGCTGTTCCCAGGATTCCGCGCCTCCAACAGCAGATCCGGAGCGTATGGCAGAAATAATTAACACCGCGTCACGCTCCGCACATTCAAATTCCGGCGAAAGGTGTGGAACAATTCGTCGTAATTCGTAGTATGAGCTCTCCATTCTCTCCTCGCTCATAGGGCTTGAAGTCAGACTTCTGGCCAAGTCACTAGAGCTCGAACGTAGCTTGATACCCTCCAATTTCCCCCCTGCCGGAGGAGAGTATTTGTGCCGCCATGAGGGATGTGTTCTACCGCTTCCATGACCTCTAAACGAATGCTGCTTCAGCCTCTGAAGTTCCTCCTCTAGTCTCTGCAGACGCGCCTTCTGCGACACCGCATCAATATTGGCAAGGCTCAAGTTCCCTGAGTTCGCCATTGGGCAACATCTATCGATCACCTTCACCCACTCCCGACCATAAAGACGGTAAGAAAGTAGCATATTGAAGAAGCAATAATGGGAATAAACAAAGAAATTAAAATACAAAATGGGGAACAACGCATCTGCGTGCACCGGAACTCTCAGTCATCGGTGTGTTGTACTAGACCATAAAACAGCCGTGTCCATGCCACACACACACAGACTCCTTGTTTTCTGGTCTTATTTTCGTCGGGTTGGTGATTCTTCATGATTTTAACTTACAAACAGGCGTGCTGAATATGCAGCGCTGTCCTTACAAATGGATTAGAAACGAAACAACAACAACAATAGAGGGGATTGGGATAAAGACGGAGCTGGAAAGATTTATCAGCTGGCACCTGACATGTGTTGTGGCTGGCGCCGCTCCTGTCGTTGATTCTCAAAATGCCTGTATCGCCGGCGCAGGTTATTAATGCGCATAAAATACTTGGATTCGGTTGTGCGGTAGGAGGACTTCTGCACCACATCAATGTTTTCTCCCTTAACTGTGTAGTCGAGAGCTGAACGGACGGCGTAGCTCCCGGAGAGAAGGTCCGCCGATGACCCATCGTGTACAAGCTGGCGATAGCGTAGCTTCATCGCAAACAACGGCAAATGTCCATCTTCCACGTCTAAGACAGTTTTCACGAGTTCTGTCGTTGTAGTTTGGTACACGCCAAAAAACCCACGCAACTTAATGATATCCTCCTGCTGCTTCACTGCTCGCCGAAACAGACGCGCCTGAAGCTCTTTACCCTCTGTGCCCTTGTAGACACTAATAGCTATGGGAGGAATGGCAAGAAACTTTGGGCTACAGCGATCAAACACCTCACGGAATCGCTCCTCGTCGCCCGCTGACAAAAGTTCCTTGTCATCCTCAAAGGTAGACAGCTTTCTTGGCTCAATCAACCAGCTCAAATTATCAGGCTGCATACCGCCCAGAATACAGGAGACAACATACATGTAGGCACAATCAAACTGCATCTTTTCTGAAAATTTGCGGTTCATTACCTTTGTGGACAAGCTGAGACGGAAAACACGACTGGCATCCGCATAGCGTCGAAGCATCAGATAACTGAAGCCCATATGATACAGCAGCGACACATTTGCCGGGGCCACCACAGTTAGGACTTGTCGACCACGACCGTAAACGTCCAAGGGCTTTAAAGTAGTTAACGCGCCCATATAGTCACCCAGCAGCACATTAACTTTGGCCGTCGTGATGATTCCAAAAAAGCCACACATCCACTGCGCATGTTTAGCTCCTGGCTTCGTAATTTCATCGGAAGTCTCCGCTTGAATAACCTCCTCAATGCCGGACTCTGCGACCACCTTTTCCATCAATTGCATCGCCTCATTCACAGACCACCCAACCCTTCCTGTAAAGCGTTTCTGGTACACCACAGTCATCTGAAAGAGAAACTCGTCAAAGATGTCCCACAGAAGCCAGTTTGGCACATCGCAGCTCCCAGAGGGAAGGGCATTAAAGAGGTTGTTGAACGTGTCCCATGAAGACTTGGCGTCATTTTGGCTCACCGCACGGTCAGTAAAGAGGTGCTTGAAACGCAGAAACGAGTACAGCTGCTCGGCAGTACGATTTTTAAAGCAATCAGCAACGGGTTTTATCCGCAACGAAGGCCATGGGCGGAACTGCCCAGGACCGGCCATGTAGAAGTTCTGTGTGAGGTTTGGGAATTGGTTCTCATACAAGTCATGCAGGAGGCTTGTATCCCACGAGTCAACCGCCTTGTTAAGCGCCCTGAAGAAGGAGTACACCTCATGGGGGATATCCGACTCAATGTCCGGGTTTGTCGTCATCTCTCTCACTTTCTTTTTGTTTGATTACAAGCACCTTTCTTCGGGAAGCAAACCAACACCAGAAAAACCAAAAAAAAAAAGAAACAACAAAGTGAATTCAGCTGCATCACAGCGTGCAGTTATATCAAGATCGCGCCTGCGATCAAAGTGCGCAAAAAAAAAGGAAGCAAAAGAGGCAAGCGTGCGTCTAGAGGAGATGGCCTGTCACCCCCCTCCCCCCTATTCTCACAAACGAGAAAAAGTAGAAGAACAGGAGGTAAGGGTTTGCTGCAGTGTGCCCCCCAACTTATCCCTGCACCACAGATGAGGTTTACCTACAACCCGCAAACGTAAAACGCATAACATTCTCGAAGGAACAAAATATTTTTGCCCTAAAAAATACACATATCTCTCCGTTTGTTTACAACCGTTATATCTTCATCTTCTTTTCTCACTGCCGCTGCCGCCTCGTTCTCTCGTTTTCCTAACGACATCGATCATCTAAAGCAAAGACAAATAACTGAGAGAGGGCAATAAAAGTCATTGCAGCAACCAAAGCGGGAGAAGACACTTGCGCAGAAGTGCAATAAATGGACGCATTTTGGAGGGCACACATGCATAAAAAAAATAAAAATAAAAATAATAAGGAAACCACAACAAATCCCTCGACAAGCTGCACGCTCTAATGCTCTACCCCTACCGCCGCTGCAAGAGACAGCTGAAGCGCCGCTCACAACTTAGAGACCATAAGCGGCTCCAGGCGTTTGTAAAGCTCTGCGAAGATCTTCCGCCGCCTCAAGTAGATCTTGTGTTGCCCCATGTCGGGGTGGTGTGTTTTTACAAGCGGCAAGTGGGGTAAAAGTTCCTCGATGGGGCGCTGCTCCATAGCCATCTGAGCTAAACGAGCAGCTCCCAGCGCAGGCCCCACGTCAGCGCCACTACAAAAGTCCAGCGGTTGCCCCGTGACATCTGCCAGCATCTGGCGCCAGAATGCACTGCGTGATCCACCACCTATCAGTGTAATGTTTGTAGGCCTTACGTTGCAGCGGTGCACTGCGTCCATTCCCTGTGCAAGAGCGAAGCTCACGCCCTCCAAAACTGCACGTGCCACCTCAGATCGACCATGCTGAGCTGTCAAGCCAAAAAAAACACCTTTGGCATCTGCATTATTATGTGGTGTCCGATCACCAGCAAGATATGGGAGAAACCAAACAGGTGTCACATCGAATCCCTGAGCCTTTTCGGCATTGGCGACAAACTCAGCAACGTTTTTACATCCCGTTAAATTTGCCGCCCAATCCAAGCATGATGCCGCACTGAGGATAACCGACATCAAGTGCCAAGAGTTAGGAAGCGCATGACAAAAGCTATGCACCGCCTCTTTGGTGTTGTGGCGGAATCCGTCAGACACAATAAAGTAGACACCGGAAGTGCCAAGGGAAAGCATCGCCTGACCCGGTTTGTACAACCCTGCACCAACTGCTCCTGCTGCATTGTCGCCGCCACCGCCCACCACAGGAACTTCCCTCATGCCCCACGCCTTGGCAACAATGGGCTTCAAGTGACCCGTGACTTCACTCCCTTCGTAAAGCTTTGGCATGTGATGACGCGACAATCCGCATGCATGCAAGAGGTCATCGTTCCAGTCACGCTTTGACGTATCCATCCACATGGTTCCTGAAGAATCAGACATCTCGGAAGCAAAGTCGCCTGTCATTCGAAATCGCAAGTAGTCTTTGGGTAGAAGCACCTTATCAACCTGCTCAAATATGTCTGGCTCCTCTTGACGTACCCAAAGTAACTTCCCTGCTGTGAAGCCTGGCATTATGAGATTGCCCGTTGTCTCTCTCGAATGTGGTACAGCCTTCTCAAGTTCACGGCATTGAAGAGCACAGCGGCCGTCGCACCAAAGAATACAGGGACGGAGAACTCGGCCCTTCTTGTCCAAAAGCGTGGCACCATGCATTTGGCCTGAAAGCCCCACAGCAAGAACCTTGCTCATGTCATGCTTGCGTTTGAGAATAAGCATGGCCTTGTTTGCTGCCATCCACCATGTCTCGGGGTCCTGCTCGTTCCACAAGGGATTGGGCCGTGACACAGCCAAGCCGGCGGTCGCCGTGTCGATGAGGCTTCCATCCATCCCCATCAGCGCCACCTTCACGCCCGAGGTTCCCAGGTCAATGCCAACGTACATATCCCGGGTGCTTTAATGTGTTGTTGTTGTCAGTATAATACTCCTTCCAGCAGGCGCCAGAAGAAGAAAATAGTAATAATAAAATAAGCAATCAAAAAAAAAAAGTTCCAGCAGCAGCTCACGTGACAACAAGAACAAAAAAAAAAGCGGGGAACAGCGATATGTATAGGCGCAGAAACATTAATCTATAACCGCACAGCAAAGCGATAGGCACTCTTAAGGCAGTGCACAACATACAGCACGCCAAGGCGATTACCAGAGAGAAGTATCTCGTCAAGCAGGGGAACATTGAGCAGCGTACGCTTCTCAGTCTGCAAAAATGAAACACACTTCCTAATATTACGTCGCTTTGATGCGGTGGCTTTTGCATGCATCTCTAGTGAGTCCAGCTCCACGCAGCGACGCCGCTCCAAAACACGTATCACATGCGCCAAAACAACTCCGTCAGAAAAAATTAGGGAGTTGCCGCTCAGCTGGAGATCACGACAGGAGACGGAGAAGGAGTGATCCGCAGCGGTGTAATGAAAGTCCGAGCCAAGAACCGCAATAAGCCACTTTCGCAGCAACTCCACCTCGTCTTCCGTGTACTCCACGCCGCTCATAATAGCAACTGGGGCATTCAACGTACTCACCGTGACATTTGCCTCACCTAACGGCGCAGAAGAGGGGCTTGCTCGCTTAGTCAGAGACGTACACACTGCGCCCCGACGTCCCGAAAGCGGTGAGGCAATGACACAACGCGGGGTGAAATCATCAGGGTGTCGCAAACCTTCTTCGTTGCCGCTGACCCTTGCAGACTGCCATGCCGCCGACTCAGCCAAACACTGATGCGCACGCACCTCAGGCAGTGAGGTCGAGAACGATGGCCTCGATGCCTGGGTCATTGGTACATGCAGAACCTCAGAGGGAGGTTGCCCTCCAAGGTAGGGTGTGTCACTGGAGCAAGGAGCGCGTCGCCGTGGAACGACACCGTTGGCCATTCGCATAACATCCTCTAGGAGTAGCAAGATGTATCGTCGATCACCATAAAATACACATTCAGGCGCGTCAAGAAAAAAGGGACTCATCTTCACAGGACAATATTTTTGGAGCTCCGTAAACGCGGCTTGAATGTTTTCCATACAATTTGATTTCACTCTCGGATTCCGGTGAACAGAAAGTCGGTTACCCGTGACCTCTGCCACCACATCACACAATGCCGTGCCGTTCGTGAGAAATGGAAACACCGATGGAATATACAATGAAGAAAAACCATCGGTCCGCACCTGCCACAGTTTTCGCTGTGGTGGAAGAAACGGCGCCATAAGAGCATTCGGAACAACGGCGTCATCCGGAGGCAACTGATGCAGCACAGGGTCTGCCAAGATATTCAGTGAGCACAAGAACGCACACACCGCCAACTCTAGGGAGCTCATTGCGCTCGCTGCATAACTTCCTCCATCTGGGTAAGTTTGCCACGTCATAGGCGACGCAGACCAAAGCTGCTCACAGTTTGTCGGTAAATACGTATCCACGACTGTGCGCATTAACGTGAATAGTGCTGCCGAATCCCCTCGCACAATTACACCCTCTGGGCGTATGAGACGACATTCCTTAGGGATTTCAAACGTCGCATTCTTCTCTGCAGCACGCAAGAGATTGAGAGCCGAAACATAATTCAACCGAACATCGTCCAAATTTTTGGGTCTTAACACGATCGCAGGGCGCATAACGCCCCCGTCTTTTCGCTCCCTCTTCAATGCAACATCCACTAGATGACGCAGTGCAACGCCATTTAGCACGGGATCATCTATGCGTTCTTCCAACTCCGTTGAATCGCGTGTCACAATGTTAAGCCGTCTTAAATAATCACGTATCCACATCTCGTCAAGACGAGATACAAACAACATTTCATCCGGTGTACCATCGGTTCCATGCTCTTTGGGAGAAGAAGACTGTTTTAAACAATTCTCTTCCCCACTGGATGCATGTAACGTGTTAGCAGCTGATACCATCCTCGCCGTAGGAATCAATGATCGATGCTGAACAGAAACAGATCCACCGGATATCTTTTCCCCTGTCGCTTTCTCACTACTCTGAAGACTTGTAGAGGAATTCCATGGAGGAGGGTCCTGAGGCGGAGCTGCATCAATCCTCTCGAGTTTGGAAGTTTGTCGTTGCGTCACCCTCTCTTGGTAGTCACAGATGGTGAGACGCGTCATTGGGGCCATTGCCATGGGAACGAAAAAGAATCCAGCGTGCGGAATTTGCTGAGAGGCCGTGGCGTTCTCTGTCTGCTGTTCCGCGGTGTCTAGCATACATTTGTATGCTATCAATTGGCGTGCAGCCTTGAGAGACATTAAACGCTCCGTGTTCTCCCTGAGATCAACGGACCCTTTTAACTGACTCAGGTCCACGCGAATTCCTTCAAGCAGCTCGCGGGTCTCCTGAGCAATGACGTCCGTCCCCTCCTCCCCTGTCAGTTGTCGAGGCCTGAAAATGCAACCAGAGGCTGCGGCCACCAGTCCCTTCTGGTATGATACGCCGCGCTCGCCCACGCCATCGCCTCGCCAGGTGCTCATTCTCGCAGAGTCAACGCACGCCCTCCAAGCATCCCTCTTTAGACACAAGGAAAAGGCATTGTAAATATTGATTTATTTAAAAAAAGAGAGATAAAAAGAGAACGCGCAGGAAAAACTGCTGTCGGTTGTCATCGCACAACTGTCTGGAAGCCACCGCTCCGCTTCATCCCCCCCTCCCCTCCCCCAAATATATATATATATATATATGTTATGTGGGCCACGCAAGAAGCGCACGACTGCAGCATCTCAAAAAAGGAAACAACATTTTATATGTTTGATGGGCTATCGTCAACTGCATAGCCATGTTTCTTCTCTGACTTCAATGCTGACGACAACGACAAGGGCGAAGACGACGACGACGACGACGACGAAGTGCTGGTCGTGTCCTCGCTGCTGTGGTGATCGCACTGGCAGAGATTGTCAAAGTTGTAGTCGAACTGTGTCCCGTTTTCCTCCGAGTCAAGTGCCAAGTGATTGAGATTAAGGCGATCGGACCGCACAAGCTTGCATGTCGGACAAAGCATACTGGTCACATCATACAGCAGCTGCTCACGAGCTCGCTTCCTCAAGAACCGCTCACGATCCCGTCGCTGACTTCTAGAGAGCATCTCCTGCGGGCTCAGAGTGGCCAAGACAGAAGGTCCAACCTTCTCGAGCTCGCCGTCTAGGTTTCGCATGTTTGCTAGTAGACCCATTAGCTGGTCGCGAAAGGACTCCTTGTCTGAATACTCGGCACTCATTTTGGTCACTATGGCTTCGGCATACGACCCAACCTTCTCCGGGTGGACCCGAAACTCCCCCAAACCCTTCAGCATGGTGCTAAGCTGCAAACGAGCCTTTGCCCTCGTTGTCTCCGGGACCACCATCACGTGGGCAGCAAACTGATAAATAATTTTAAGGGCAAACAAACCACAGTGAGGAAAAAAAAAAAAGGGGGGGGGGGGGGCACCAACGCCTGCAACGACAGTGACCATCCACAATGCAACCAGCACTTCCAGTGGCAAAAAGCAAACACTTGTAGATGGCATCCGTATTTCGCTCACGACTGTCTCCTTTGCCCTCCCAATTTTGGTATGAACATTCACCAGAATTGCTCTTCGTAAGCACACACAAAATAAAAAAAAAACCCTCTCACGCATATTACAATCGTCTGCATCATCTTTCACGCCAACCTCGTCAAAAACGAAAAACAACAACAACAACAGCTGTCCTGTTTCATGCAAACACAGTCATCGCTGCCTCCACCATGCCGCCACAAAAACAGCGCACGTCGCACAGTTAAATGCGACGATAATTACACTGTAGATAATGCTGTAGAAAAGTTCCCACTCGCCCCATAAGTAGTATAAAATCGCCTCAACGAAGTCCACGAAAGCCCGTGGATTCATGACAAAATGTTTCAAGGTTGGCTTCTTCCCTGGTGGTGGGCTCAGAAAAGGGTTTGACCAATCAAACTCCTCCACTACAGTATCTTCCGCACCCTGTCGATGCTGCCGTGCCGCCTTCGCCAATTCGCTATGTTCATAGTCGGCCACGCGGGCAAAATCACGAAAGCATTTTGGGCTCTCAGGTGTGATGACGACCCGCACGGACTCAGGCAGTGAAGTGAGATCCTCGCACCAGAGGTACTTCGCGTGAACCTCCTTGATGGTGCTCGGCCACTTGAGCAGAGTTGCCATAACACCTGCGAGATGGTGGCGAGCCGCGCGTGTTAGAGGATGGTACCGGTCGTAGTCGTAATTGCTATCGCCAAAGTAGTCCAACAATATCTGCGTGATGCGGACAAGGTTCTCTGACTCGGTCTTTTCATTGGCTACCCAGTATAGGGGCGATGGGGCACGAAATGCCAATTGACGCTCAAGCGAGTGATCGCGAATCACACGATTCACCTCCTCCACATCGTGCTGAGCCACCGCCGCCCGCAGCCGTCGTAGAGCGGTGAGCGTCGCCCTCTCATCACCCGATACAAGCCCTGAAGATTGACAGTAAAGTAACAACAAAAACACCACACACTGCAGAACAACTGGCATTTGATGATGCACCTACAACAAAGCAAAATAAATATTAGACAATGATGAGATCTAACTGTATCGCTGTCAAATACATAAACAACATAGTTCCATTAACGAGTCCATCAAGGTGGTGTATAAAGAAATTTTATTACTCCTCTCACTTCTTAGGTTGTGCCTTTTTCAGCCATTCTCCCAAACTACATATACACAGAAGCACACATTATAATTGGCATCTCCAGCGACTTTCCTCCACTTCTCACTCACCTCCCCACTTCCCTCATTCTTTTTTTTTTCGTCAAATCAACCTTTTACCCCCTTACAACCTTCTGGGAAGCGCGCAACAACTGAACTGCACCTCAGTAAATCCATCGCTTGGAGTTCACTATGTTTACGCAATGCTAGCACTGCAGCAAGACGCAGTAAAAACTCGCACGTAGCAAAGGAGGTTATTCCCCATACGAGTTCACCAGGAAAATCTTCCTGCAGCATGGGTAACAAACCACCATCTTCTGGAATTGGCGGTGCATTTAGTGTGGGACATACATCACTGCATGCCACGGTCTGCGAGTTACTAGCAAAGAAGCAAGGGAAAAGGGCGGGTGCCGCCCTTGTTAGGGCGTGCCGTCTGATAATGCGGCAGTGCACTCGCGACGAGTCCAGCAAGAGACGAGAGAGGTGCAGATAATGAATTGAAGCCACTTCATCTGGACTGTTGCAGAGTGGCTCTACGGCGGTGGTGGCAACTGCAACTACGGGAAACACTTTGTATCCGCTGTCAAGCGAGTAAATCGGATGCAATTGACCAATGACATGGTACAATGATGCGCCAATGCCCACTTCTTCCATGGTTTCCCGCTGCGCAGCAGCTACAGGCGACTCACCATGGTTCACCTTCCCTCCTGGAAATGACATCTGATTCTTATGACAACGAACATTTGCCGTTCGCTTCGTGAGTGTAATGCACATCTCCTGAAATCCCCTCCCCGTCATCTTGGATGGTGGCGAGAGGAGGACCAACGTGGCGCCTTCGCGTTGATGGGGCGTTCGCATTGGATCCTGCAGGTGCGAATAGCGGCGCCCTGTGCGGATATCTTTTACAAAGAAATGTTCAGGAATCTCTAGTTCATCTAATCGTAGATGCAGTGCCCTCCTCACCAGCGCAACCCACTCAGATGTGGTGCGTGGAAGCAAATGAGTCGCCCCAGCCGCGGCCATCTCTTACAGAAAGGATCAAAAGTAGGGCAGGATGAAGAACCGTCCTTTCTTTCCCCTCTGCCCCTCCTAAATAGGGAGTGAATCCAAGGACGAAAAAGCAACAAAAAAAAGACAAAAAAAAATGTGTGTGGGGGGAGGACAAGGTCAACGCCCGCAAAGAGCAACAGGAAGATGAATGCAAGAAAAAAAAAAACAAGAAAAAACTCAACAAAGAAAGAGTATAATTCTAAAGAACATGGTGGCTAAAAAAGTACATCGTTTCAAAAACAAAACAAAATGGGTGCGCAAAGAGTCCAGCGTGCCATTCACCTGCGTCGCTCCCACACGGTACCACTTTTTTCCGTTTTCTGCTTTTTGGAAGCGTTATCCTTTCGTGTCGCGTGATAACGTCATTGCAGGCCCCATTTCCATTTTCTCTCCCCCGTTCGCGTGGTTTCGAGCAAATCGCCATCGCTTGTCGCCAGCGGCAATAAAGGCACACGCTGTGGGAGTTTGCATACGGCCACGTGTCCCAGGAGAAATCTAGAGTCCCTTGAAGACAACAATCGCCAAATAGCCCCTGTGAAACATGTACATGAGGTGCTTCATCTCATACGTGATTTCAAAACCAAAGCCCTCTCCAATCACGCAATGCCAAGATGCACCGTACTTCTTGTCCATCTGCTCCTTGATGTGCTTAGCTGCATGCTCATAGCTGTCTTCGTGCTTTTCAATCGCGTTCACAACAATTTCCTTGCACTCCGCCCGCATCTCCTCTGTCATATCACTCACCTTTTCCAACGGGTAGTTCAACGCGGAGACATATTGTCGAACGTCGTCCAAGTTGCAGGGAGATTCCGCTTCCTTGGCACCCGTTATCGCCATTGGCCCTCTAACACCCACTCACGTGGCGGTTTTAACAGTCAGACAAGGCTTTTTTTTTTGAAAAATAAAACAAAGAAAAATGGATAGGCACGAATGCATCCGAAAACACACATCAGAAAAGTCATATAGATATTTATGTCTGAAGAGACAGAGTCAGATAAACGAGTGTTAAACCATCACAAATGCAACAGAAAAAGTACACGGAAGGCGTTATCAAGGCACGGACGTAGCAAAGCAAGTTGACAAGCAAAAACGCATCTTCCCAGAGAGGTTTGCATACACATATAAATAATATTGATAGGCAGGTGCTCATGTTTGCACTCCAATGGGAGTCCAGTGCTCGTACTGGTAGACTTCACCCTCTTCATGCCAGACTCAAGAAGAGACGACACTCCCACCAAATTTTACGCCTTCATACGGCTGCCTTTCGCTGCCGTCAAGGTTAAACAAGGTAATGCAAATCGGGTGTAGGGTCGAAAGTGGCCTATTTTTGAGCGAGTGAAGAAGAGTGCGGATGGCCTGCTCCTCTGACAAGGCCCCCACGTCCCCAATAGGCACGGGACTCGCTGACGACCTGCTCAAGACAGGTTCCCGGTCCCGTCCGTAAGTCAGGCATTTATTTTCGACCAACTCATCGAAGGTCATCACCACACCTTTCTGCGCTACATGTGCGATGGTGGTGCCGGCCCCCCTATCAAGAATCCACGACAAGAGCGCCTGCTCAATTTCCTTCAGCCCACCCACATTGCAAGCAAGAAGAACCGCAAAGTTCTCGTCATCGTTCTCATTATTGTCGTCGTCAGTCGAAACAACGACACAATGAATTGGATTTTGTGCTACAAGAAACTCAAGCATCTGCCTGGCCGCCCCCGGTGGGAGACGTCGGTTAAGACTGGGGTTGCGAAAAACATCGCTCGTACTCTTGTAGAGGCGAAGGAAGGAACACAAACCCGGTCTCGTGTTCAGCGCATGATGCGCCGCATGGTCCAAAATGAGATTCCCCCAGAGACACTTCTGCCGCGCAAGTGCTGTTGTCCCCGGCTGGAGCGTAAAAAAGGGTGGGAGCTGAAAGAAGCTCCAGTGATCTGGTTCGTCCGACATGTGGGTGCTATGAGCAGCTCTCACACTCCCACTCCCTCTTCTTGCTGTAGATCTCCAGCAGAGTGATAAATGGAGGAATAACGCGATGATGATGGGGGAGGGAGGGAAAAGGGAGAGCGAGGAAAGTTCTTTGCGTAGACAAGAAACATGCCCATCCATGTACTGCCAGGATAGGCGGAAAAGAACACAGGGGGATGCGCAGAAGCGTCCATTCGTGCACTCGTTATCGCGCACAAAGGTAAGCCAGGCCAAAGTAATTAAATAGAGTGAGTGAGAAGGAAAAGGAACAAACAAAGATAAAAAGAAACGTCATCCATCACTCCCCTCTTTTGTTCTTTGCTGTCACATCAGGAGCTACACAGATGCATGTGTGTGTGTGTATATATATATATAATCCTAGTTCACACTTCGTACCAATTCCACGCCATCCTCTGTCACGGCTTTGCAAATAAATTTGTCATTGCTGATCACCACACGCTTCTTTACTTCATCGCAGCACTTTTGCATCAAGTCCACACCCTCCTGCGCCGTTAAATCAGGACGCCAAAGACGATCAAGCATCGCAATCACAAAGGTGGCACCGTACCCGTGGCATCCATACGGGACCTCCTGCATTGTCCCGAGGTAGTCCATGTAGTACAAATGCGGCCCCGTGGCGACGTCGTCATCAGCAGATGCTGAAACGTCATAGCCGGCAAGAAGGCAATTAACAAGATAAGCCCCATCACGACTGCGCAGGGCACCGGCAAGAGTATTACGCATAAATGAAGCTGCTGCAGAAGTTCTAATGACACGGCCGTGCTCCCGCATCCTCTTCAAGGCCATATTGCATTTGATGTACTCCACAAAATTAACCCGTGGGCCGTTTTCGCCTGTGCACGCCACCACCTTGTGGGAGTCCAACTGCGTCAACTTGTCTTCCGTGTCCATGATCTTGATGTAATAAAAAGCGTTCAGCCCAGCTGCTGCTACCAGCAGAAAGTTGTTACAACGGAAAGCAATGGTTGTCTCCGACATGGCTTCCTGAGTCACTGTTCACAGCAGATAGTGATGGCGTACTTGTTGATGATGAGCTGGAAACACACAAAGAGCAAAATCCTCTTGAAGAAAATAAATTAAAATGAAAATGAAACAGTACAAAACACTTCATATTTATTTATTTGTTTTATTTTTTTCAATGTTCATTTGTGATATGGAGAAAAAGAGTCAAATAGTGAGAGGAACATATAAAACAAAAAAGGGAAAATAGACAGAGAGCATTGAAACATCAATGCATACATGACTTTGTCTCACATATCGCATTTACTATGTATTAAAACCAAATCCCACAAATTTCCGTAGAGAAACTATCTACGGACATCACCAGAACGATATCCAAACTTCAACGCAGACTCATGCAATAAGAGCCAGGGAAAACGTGTATTCAGATCTGCTGTCAATCAATGAGTGATACAGTGGGAAGCAGGACGTAGCCACTGGCTCATCCCAGCAATCGTATGATAATAGTACACAGAACCATCGTCCGCCTGGTGCTCTGCAAACTCACCACAAACATTCAATTCAGGCCTTATCCACAACAGAAGTTCCACCTCCTTCCCAGTATATAGATGAAGCATAAGGTCCATCACTACCGCTAAGTGCGGGGCGTGCGCCTCGACCACGTGAAGAAACTCTCTCCGCATGGGATGAGGCAATACCTTGCATGTCGAACAAAGCTCATCGACAGCAACCTGCAAAGAACCACAATTACGTATTAAGTCATCCAAAAAGTCGTGACCGCCTTCGGCTCCAGAGTGCAAACTCCAGTTGTAGAACTCAGCATACCGCGACACAAACATCAATAATATGTTGTACACATCTGAATGAATTCCGAGACTTTTGCTCTTCTGAAAAGTGCCCCAGTGATGCATTCTCTCACCAGCTGAGTATGCCACTTCAACACTATCCAAAGAATTCTCCGTTCTCGCGGGATTTTCATGCCGTCCCTTTTTCAGCGTCTTCTGTGTGAATTCCACCTGTTCCTGTGTTCCTGTGTTCCTGCCTTCCGCGCCACGCCATGAGGATCGCGCCGTACGCATCAGGTTCTGTAAGGATTCTATATATTTGCATATGTTTAGCTGCGTCACATGGACGATGTCCAACGTCATCCTCCAGACACCCTCTTCAAGAACACTCAATGTGTGTGCCTCTACATCCCGATGCCGTTGTGTCAACTCCGTAACCAGAGCCTCTTGTTGCTTCAGTGCCTCTGTAAGCTCCTCCATGTTCATTGTCTTGAACGGTTGTGAAAGCAAAGGTGAACCCGATTGCCTCACTTCGCTACGACTGATGCAAAAAAGGCTACTGATGTGCTGTCGCAAACATGCAAGAAAATTATCATTGTCTCGGAGCGTGTGCTCCCTTTGCTTCTCGAAAAATTCCATTTTTTCATTGTACACCTGCTCCAAATGTCCCAGCAAACTTTGCAGTTCCGCGCGCAATAACGATAAAAGTGCCGCGGCGTCAACACTTACTTCCACACTTTCTTCATGTGCCTGCATTTCTCCCCTCGTCTGCTTCCCTTCCTCAAGCGATGGCTTTGCAAGCGCCGCGAGACCGTCCTTTAACGTTCCAAGCATGGATTCAAACTCCCTCCATTGCTCTTCCTGAACAAGACGACGGCTCTTTCCCTCCCATGCAGCTAATTCTAAAGCATATGTGCGAAGTAGTAATTGCCGATGTTGACGGTGGTGGCGCTCCGCTGCAGACATGTACGCGTCCTCCAGACCTCGCCGTTGGTATGCCTCTTCTCGCCGCAGAGTTTCCTCCTCACGCGTTACCACTGTCATGTAGAAAAACAGACGGTGCTCTTCCCCCTCAATCGCACCTCTTTCTTCGCGCTCCTCACTATTTACAAGTGCAGCGTCTGCTGTGTTCAGATGTGAATTCAGCTCTTCCATGAAACGCCTCACATCACTGAGATCCACTGAAGCCCCCTTTAACCCGTTCTTTCCTCGCCACTCCTCCAGTGCCTTTTGAAACGCACGATCCCGCTCCTGTTGTATGAGTGAAGGGGCCACGCGTACCCACAACACCGCACCGTCCCGCAGACGTTCCCGCTGCGGATTGCTTGACATATCTAGCGGCGTGGTTGCGCGGCAGAACTTTGGTGGTTTTCCCTCCGTCTTGTAGAGCACAAGACCACTCCATTTCTCAACGCCAAGTTTGGATATTAGAAGCGGGATGCACATCGTAAACATCTTTTGCGGAGGCACCGCAAGGGCAATACGGTCTTCCCATGACCACTCGTCCCCGATAATTCGCAGCACAACCATCAGTCCCCATGCGCTAGAAACAAAAACAAAAACAAAATATGTTCAAAACGTGGTTAGAGAGAAACATGTGTGTGCATGCACATACATTACGTGAACAAGAAGCAGAGTAAGGCCACTACAGCCAAACAAGCAAAATATACTGTAGCACAGCAAAAGCAAGAAACTGAATGATAGTACTACTAGTTGTACTAGTAGAGGCAGCAATTGTCATTGATGAGGTCCTTGTTCTTGTGATATATATATATATATAAGAATGCTGTGACACGGGCAGAAAGTAAAAAAAGAAAAAAAAGAAAAAAGGAAGACACACAAGCTAAAAAACTACACCGCATCGGTGTTCAAAAAGTTAAAAATGCAGGACGCTTTTTCTCCGTTGGCGCGTGCAACATCCATGGGAGTGCACCACACGCCTCGAAAAAAGCCCCTGCTGAAAAATCAGCTCCCACATGATACAAAAATTGTAGTGAATGGAAATACTTATCATCCACGGCACACAAATGCGCCGCTGTCTCGCCTTCAGTGGTGCGCACATTTACATCACAGCCACTCTCCAGCAAGAGTTGTATCAGCAAACTGTTGTCATCCCGTGTGTGAAGACAAGCCAAGTGAAAAGGGGTGAAGCCGGCAGCATCTTTGACGCTGGCATTGGCTCCCGCATGCAGTAGTTCTCCAATCACATCCAGCGATGGTTTACACAAGCCGCATGCGATGTGAAGAGGAGTTTCCCCACATTTATCACGTTGAAGAACTAAGGGTGGAGACACAGACGCGAAACGGTACAGGACATCACGCACTTTCCGTGATGCACCCTTGGAGCTGTTAATGGCCGTCACAAGCTCCTTCAATTCCAATGAAGAAACATGTGTGCTGTCCGTTTCAGTTTCTAAAAAAGCTGTGTCATTCGTACTATCCATATTGCAAGCGGAATCCGATTTTATAAAGGCGTTTGTCAGCAGAGCAGGGGGTGCGCCCCCTTCTGGATGATGGCAAAGACCAGAGGGTGCCGCCGCCCGCGAAATGTGATAACGCGCAAATACAAGTTTTTCATTAAAAGAAGTGATAACATTGTCACTGCCCCCTAGACAGCGATAAGCCATACGCGCTCGCAAGGAGTGAATATTCTCCTCGGCCTTAGTCTCCATAATCTGCAACTCCACCTCTGTTAAAGATAAATGGTACATCTCGTCCCACAACAATGCTGTATTCAACGACTCCGCCGGAAGTCCAAAAGAAGCCATCAACTCCATGTGCCGCACGTCGACAACATGAAATTGCCTCCAAATACGTGCCTCCTCTTTGTTTAGTGCATCTATAACATTTTGAAAACGACTCATCTCTTCGTCCTGGCACAGACGCAGTTTATGCGTTAACTCCCCAATGCAGTTCAAACGCCTCGTTAAAAGCGTAATAGACTCACTACCAGGAAGTGATAAAGACTGATCATCTTCTACTTCAGCCCCCGCCACATCTGTAGGCATGCCACACAAAAAACACACATACAAAAGCCTAAAAATACAATAAAATAAAAAATATGGTATTGTAATAAAAATATGTGTTTTGCCTTGGCGTCTACCTAAACTTTTTTTTTTTTTGAAGGAAAGTTGGAAAGCAATAACACAGAGGAAAGGCCATGAAGCTTTTAGAAGAAAAAGAATGGACGCAGCTGTCCGTCTCCATAATGCAGCAAGAGAGGGCGCTTCAATACAGGATTTAAAGCCTTTCCTTTTGTCTTATCGTTCTATGTCTACGCCCAGCTGTTTTTTTATTTTATTTTATTCTTCTTCTTTTCGCTGCCTCATTTTTCATCCATTCAGCTACATATGTGGGGGGCCTTCGCCTTGCGCTTCAGCTGCTTTGTTATGGCAGTAGCGCATGGCTTGTACGACTTACGGTGAATGGAGGAGACACCGTACCGCTGCACGGCACGCATGTGGTATTCCACCGGGTACCCCTTGTTCTCCGCAAACTGATATCTGGGATATAATGTACTCACGTAGTTCATAATGTCATCGCGTGTCACTTTCGCAAGACACGAGGCTGCAGCTATTGTTAAGCTCCTCTTGTCACCCTCAATTATGGGTTGGACGCATCCGCCTGTTTGGATATCTGTAAAAAAGTTGATTGTCCCCTCAGGGGCGGCGTGTCCGTCCACCAGAATCAAGGGTGGTTGCACAGGTTCCATATCAAAAAAGTCTGCCGCCCCTCTCACAAGCTCAATCTGCGATGGGACCACGTACCGCTTGTGATAGTCATGGGGGGCAGCTATGCAGTAACGCGAAAAAAGGTATTGTGCGATGGAGCAATGCTTCGGTCGGGGCGCCCTTTCAAGAGAAAAGCGTGTATCGTTCAACGTGCGCCAAATAGCCAAACAAGAGCGGTGCATTGTGTGCATGGAGGCCACATAAATGTTGGCCATATCTATATATGCGTGATTCGCTATACCAATTGCCCACAAGTACAAATAATTCCCACATATGTTTTGGCCGTGGTATGAAATTAAATACGGCGTTTGCATTGAAAGAAGCTTCTTAAATGGCAACTTCTGCAGCTTTATGTGGGATGGGAACCGCTTTGTCAAAACATTGTCCGGCGCAGCATCACCACCTGCGTGATGCACCACAAACACCTTGTCTGCAACTAAATCAAATAATGTCTGGTACCCCGTAATATTCTGAAATACCACATTGCGTTGCCCCTCAGACAAGGACTTACTATCAAAGATCTGAAACTCCTCCCTCGCGTTATACACAGCGCTAAGCTCATTGTTAAAGCTAGAAAACGGAATGCGACACACGGCGGCACCCACCACCGGCCCTGCCAGCGGTCCTCTGCCAGCCTCATCGCAGCCAATAGTGAGGTAGGTCTCCTTGATGCTCCGCCGAAGCACCACACCGTGCTTACGCATGTAGGACTCCGCCTGAGTACGCTCTTTTGGCGCCTTCCGGGTGTCTGCTAGGGAGTTTGTAAACATTTGCTGCTGCTGCTGCTGCTGCTGATACGCGCGGACAGAAGAGAGTGATGTCGGCAGCAAACCATCACGGAAAAGCTGGTAGCCGACAATGTCTAAAGTGCCATCAAGCGTCGGCATATCTGTCAAGGTTTTCCGCGACGGCAGCTGAAGCCTTTGCAAAGGGTTCCACTGCAGCCGGCGATCGTGCAACACCCCATTCATTCTATGCCAGCGCATTGCCGAGCGTCGGAGCGCGCCAGCAAGAAGCCGCGGTGAAGGTCTAAAACACACCATGACCTCTGAAGCAATAAAAAAATAAAAATAAAAAAGACAAAGGAAAGAAAAGCTTCTCTCTCACACACTCGACGACGCGCCACACAAAAAGATTATAATTATTAGAATAACCTGATCATTACTTTTCCCCTAATAGAAGTTAAAAATGGTAAAAATAAAGATCATTTGATCCATTTTTTATTGCCTTCGTAAGGCCAAACATAAGCTTATTTCACTAAAGACTAGTGATAAATTTCACGGTGACTCCTCCGCGTCACCCCTTATCATTAACTTACCGACGCGAAAGGGAGGCGCCACGGACGCCTTCAACCCACCCCCCATGTGGTGGGGCAGAGACGATTGAGTTGGGTTGGGTTGGGTTGGCTTTCAACACTTAACCTCCTTCCTACAGCACTCGCTCTATAGACATAACATAAAACCGAGTATACCATTACGAAGGAAAAGGAAAAGAACAAAGTAAGCAGTAACGGAGGATACATCCACAACAAAAGGGTGGGGAAGAAAAAGAAACTAATAACAATACAACAACCACTTACGGGAAGATAGATAGAAAGACTCAGGAAAGCTTAGGAGCACAAGAAGCATTTCTCTTTCTTTCTTTCTCTCTCATACCGTGCGGTTTAACTCCAGATTTGCATTGAAACGGTCAACTGCTGCAGTCAAGTGGGGGATAATAGCGTAGGGGTCTGCAGCAATGTATGTGCTTCCAAAATATTCTAATGCCCCTGTGTCACTGCGCGGGTCCAATGCACTACCGCGGTCAATCACGCGAAGAATAGCGGGCATCTTCCCTAGATTGTAGTTATTCGACGCATCCAGAGGTGGGTAAGAAAGAACAAAGCTAAAGCTGTGCACACCAACAGCATCACGGAGGGTCATCAGCGCAAGAGCAACCGCGCGGGCAAAGGAGGGATCTTCAGGATCCTTGCTGAGAACAAACAGTTCCCTCTCCTTGCGGGGACACACATTGGAGAACACAGCAGAGTTGCCAACACGAACCGCAAGACCAAGCATTTGATGTAAACGAACAAGTTCATCCCAGTAACTAGTTCCATGTTTCTCCAAGTATTGCATTGCTACACGCTGAAGAAGGTCAATGCCAGCAAAATAGCGATCCCTCGTTAAAACCATCTGGGCATGAAAATGGACTTGGGATGCAGACGCTCTTTTGCCCACATCGCAAATAATGTTCGGATATACATACAAGGGATCCTCGCGGTGAGCCCTTTTAAACCATCGATGCGACACAGCAACGACGTCTGCAATGATATCCGCATCCAAGGCCAATGGATCATGCAAGTTGGTGATAACAAGACTGTGCCACTTACTAAGCTTGGCGACATTCGATGCCGTGTACGAATGCGTTCCGGTTATGCGACCAAATATGTCCTGAGCTGTTCGTTGCTTGTTGCAGAAGTCACACAAATCAGCTCCACTACCTTCTGTGTAAAGTTTAGCCACTGCACTCCTTTCCGTCGCATTGCTACCATCGCTGCCACTGCCGGGTCTAAATCTGCGGATATTGTTAAAAAGGGCTGTTTCGCCGGTAACCAAATTGTGCACCTCCACCACCTTCTGATTTTCAATAGCCCGCAGCAGATGCTCGCGTGGACCACCGTAGGCAGAAAACATTTCTTCAGCTTTCGCGCGAAATTCAGGCAGGATTGACAAACGCGCACAATCGGTACGAATTGTGTACATGCGTTTAAAGACACTCCTGATGTGAGGGAGCTGAGCCAGCAAATCCGGCAGCAAGTGGACCGAAGAAATCGGCTTTTGTAATCGTACCGGTACATCATCCGTAACAGCTTTGACCTTTTCAAACAGCGGGGCATGCAAGCGTGGAATGAAGCCACTGACAGTAACAAGAAATAATGCACAGCCAAAGGTGGTAGCAACGATGCGCACCCACCGCAACCGCGGTGGTGAAAAATACCTGAAAAACGTCGTCCTCCACATGCGCCTCTGCAGATGACAAATCATACCTTGCTATCGTCGTGATTGTTGGTGCACAAGGAAGTGAAGAAAAAGTAAGCCAAACCAATAAACAAAGACGGAATTGCATGAAACAAGAGAACCAAAAAAAAAAAAAGTGTTGGGGACCTAGAAAGGCGTTAAAAATTTTAAAAATTCCACAGGGCGAAGTGAACTCGCTGCATGAGGCTCAGAAAAAAAAATGGAAGTGCAAAGCTGTTACTCCGATTAGCTGTAGTATTATTCCTTACAAGCGAGTAAAAAAACAAAAAACAAAATACAAATATAACCCGTGGTTTTCACTGAGAAAGTGCTACAGCTGCCTGGGGCGCTTCTCGGATGCGAGTACTCTGAAGCGGCGTTTGATGGTAATGCGGTGGCGGCTGTACTTGTCGTCGGGGCTAAAGCGAGCAGGGTGGGCGCTGAGCGTCGGCTTGCCCTCCGGGTCCATCTTCTTCAGTGTATATTGGCGCTTGCCGTCAACAATGTACACTTGCAGATGCATGACACACCTTCCCTCTTTCTCTTCTCTGTTTTTGTTTTGTTTGTGGGTGCTTTCCACAAATGCGTGACCAATGCTTCTTTTTCCCCCACAGCGACAGCGTGCGGACGGCGGTAGATAAAGTGACCAAGCGCAAGAAAATCAGCAAAGCAAATAACAAGAAAGAGGGAGAGAGAAAGAAGAGGTACAACAGCACACACCAAAAAAAAAAAAAAGATGGGAATCGATAAATACACGTATTGTCTTCATAACGTTCGCACCCGTCTTTGATCTGCCGGCACAGAGGCAAGCATACATGCTTGGATTGAAGTGACAATTCAAGAGATGGGGAATACGGGCACAAGAGCCAATACGATAAGTCATGTCGGCCATCACACCAGTTGGAGCACAGTGACTGATGGGGGCGACAACAAGGACTGAAGCAACTGACAGAATGGGGGCAGCCACAGCGACAAGCAAAATAAGAAAAAAAAAAACCGCTGAGTGCCCTTCAGACGAGGGAGACAAATCACCACCAAAAAACTCTCAGAATAATGCAACTCATAACCCCGCGCCACATCTCATCTTCCCTCAACTGTGTGGATCCGAATCGGCGTTTCTTCCCATTTTCCCCCATCTGTTTTGTATTCCATAATAATACATATCGGTACATGACAAATAAAATAACAAAAACTGCGCCAGTAAGTTACACTGGCGCTTCTGCCTCCCATGCCCGAAGGAGGGCGGCCACTCTTTTATCATCTAAGAATACAACAGTATATACAAAGAGAAAGACGCTTTTTTTTTGTAGTTTTTACACTACATTTTTTAAATTCTCTGGCGTCATAAGAAAAGATCTTTAATCCCCTTTTCTTTAATTGCTCCTTCTGATGTGTGCCTCATGTTTGTTTTAGTATGCAGCATTTTTCTTTTATCGCCCACAGAGGTGGGTCTGTAAAACTTGTCTGCCACGCACCACACTTGTGATGTAAAACACGCATTGAAAGGACGGCGCGTAGCACGTCGACGTTGGCAGGAATAAAGCCCGTTCTGGCAGTGCTGAGAGGTCCTGCAAGAGAGGTTTATTTGTGCAGGTAGAGGGTGGAGCGCAGTTCACGTCAAAAAAAGCACTTCCGGGAGAGGGCCAGCAAGATAAAAGTTTGCTACCTCCATGTCGGATTCGCCCTCGTCATCGTCTGTGACGAGCCCTTTTCTCAACGCCTGCTCGTGCGCCTCCACCACTTATTCACAGTACTTTCGCTTCACATCGGCACGCAGCTTGCGACAATTGAGTTCTACGCAAGCATCGATGCACAGCGCATAGCGCCGGAACACGCTGAATCTTCACCATTTCAACTTTCCAGCGACAACACTCCATCAAAGGCAGCAACAGCCCAGTACACGGAAACGAAGAAATCACATCGATGGTGACATCGTTCACAGGACCGTTGCGACAGGAAGGAATACATACCGTGCTATCGTGGATCGTTACCGGCTTCGTGCGGCGCCGCTTCAAGTGCATGCATAAACACCGGCAAGGAAGCAATGGATGCTCCAAGATTTCTACTGCACGCTCCTCTGCACTTTTCAAAGTTGCTTGCAAAGAAGGAGTTTTTATCGCTATCTGCATGGGCTCCCCATTTTTCGCGAGACACACCTCGTCTTCGCACCAATCCAGGGCGGCACTTTTTATATCGCGGGCCCTGACCATATTTCTTAAAACGATCTGAGAGGTGCGCACACCAACATGATTCACTTCATTTTTTTGCCGTTTTTGTGCCAAACACCAAAAGAAGGGGCCACCGCAGTTGTCGGGGCACCTCTTTGGAGGGTGCCCTTCCAATCAACCACCGTGTCCAACTTTCAACAAGCACGCGCCACACCATACTTCACAGGCAGCTCATACTGTGGGGTCTTAACTGGCGTCAGCGGTGGAAGCTTGGTGCAGTTGGTAACGATGTGCATTATTGAGCTATGGCGTGGGGTAATACCCTATCGCATCAACTCGTGTGTGTGCCCCATTTGACCCAACTCGTCCTCATGAAAGAGAGTTTCGACAAAAAAAAAATACCTTTAAGCCTGAATCGCGTCCCCTTCACCATTCTAGCAAAAATAAAGCTGCGACGCTGCCTAGCGTCCAGTAGAAAGCAGAGGGCAGAGAAGCAAGTCCAGATATTTTCCCCGGTCAAATAAAAGAGGTTGACCTGCTAAGCACGATCCACATTGCGGCAAAACGGGGGGACGAGAAATAAAACTTTCGCCTAGTTTTTCCTTTTTTCTTTCTCTCCTGCAATGAACGTCACTAGGAGATGCTTCCGATGCTGTTGCTGTTTTTGTCTCATCTTGTCTTTTTTTCTTCGTTAGCTTGTCTTTCTTACTTTTTGGTTTCCTTCTTATTTTGTGTATGTGATTCCCTCGTCACCTCTCCACGTCTTCGCAGAATTCTTTCAAACGTCATCTGCTGCTCTTCTGCCCCTCACACTCTCTCACTAAATCCCACATGCCACACATGCTACCACGGCTGAGAAAGAAGAAGCAGAGAAAAGACGCACTATCGTGGGTGTTGGCAACCCGCCCTCCATCTTGTTACTTTCCCTGTAGGAGTAACTGTGGGGCATTCTTGTACACCCATTTATGCCCGTCCTGAACAAATTCAAGCTCCTCCGCGAGTGACTTGAAAACCTTCCCGTAATCCACTGGTTGTTGTGGGTTGCCGCCACCAATTTGGGACATAATCAGTGCCTGATCGCCGCCGTTGGCATCCGCGCCTAGCAACAATTGAAGAATGCCATTAGAACCAAACATAATCAGAAAATACATGCTGAGAGATGTCACGTAATTGCAATCAAGATCGCTGATCTCTACGCCGTTCTGCATCATGCCACGAAACCGTGAGGCAAGTCCAAATGGGAATTTGGCCACCACAAACCCAGAAAAGAAGTAAGAAACCAACACCATCATGCCCATGTTGGGCACCATCATGAGGATGTTGTTCTTCATCATTTCCCCCATCATATTTGGATCATTCATCATCTCCATAGCGTCCGTCCCAACTTTTTTCTGTAGTGGACCTTGCCGCATTGCCTCCGCGCGCCGGCGAAATGCCTCCGGTGAGAGGTTTTTGCCCTCTCCCAGAAGCAGCTTGCCATAGTTCGCTACATTAATGCAGCACACCTTATCCATCTTAGGCTTTTGGGGCGACTTCATGAGGAGACCAGCGTAGTGGCGCAACATGCCAACGAAAATGACGATGGCGATGAGGGGGAAAAGCACCCAGTCACGGATGCTCGAGTCAAGTAAAATGTTCTGCGACATTGAAGGAATCGTGCTCGCTAAGAATCTTCCTTTGCTGACAACCACACACACAACAAAAAAAAAAAAAAAGTACGCAGTGCACAAAGCATGACAATCAACCACACTTTCCAACGGTCTCACTATTCCCCGACACGTTTCTTGATTTCGTGAACCTCATTTTGCACACATGGTGTTTGCCCTACCGACTTCCACCTCCGCATCAACAGGAGATAATAGTGTTGTTTGCAGCGTTGACATCAGGAAATATAATTTTTGTATACTTTGAAAGGCGCTTGCGGTACTCCATGGGTGAAATAGTTGAAAGTGTTTCGGGCTTCCACAGGAAGGATTTGAAAAAATTGGCCGCTTTCTTCTTCCATGTGTATTTTGTCAGCGTATCTATAATTCCAATATAATACACTTCTTGCTCGTACAAACTATTAATTCCTGCGCCAAACTCGTGAAATGCATTTTCCAACCGCGGCGGCGATGCTGGACGAATCTCCATGAGAGCCTCCTTTGGCTCGCTACCCATTGGATACGTCATACGCATACTACGTATATGTCTACCGGAGCGCGACACTTTAGACTCGTTGTAGGTTACACCAATTAAAAGAGAGTAATCCATGATTCCAGCATTGCCCAGAAATTCATAGTCCTTCAAAAGGACAGGAAGCAGTTTCTTCCGCTCATTTCTTTCCAACCAGAAGAGACGCGTAAGGTCTTTGTCTTTCCGAGTTTCCAGTTTGCAACTATCAGTGGCTGCGACAACCACCACTTGTCCTTCCAGCGTCCCGGCCAACTCAGGAGCCTTGATGGTTTCACGCGGAGTCTCAATAAGATACGGATGCGGCTCCCCCGGGCGTTGGATGAGCTTCAGAAAGTGCTGATATTTGCCGGGCTTTGGTATGCGACCTTTTAGGTCCCATTTCTCGTTCAACGCGGGGCACGACGCAAAGACATCCCCAAAGCAAAGTATATACCCTACAGCGGTGCTACTCTCGACCCTAAGAAGCATCGAAAAGCGTGTCAGCAACGTGTTAGTGTTCCGGGAAAGGTGTTCTGTGTACTGCGGCAGGAGTCCCAGTAGGACATCAACCTCCTCCTCCGAAATTGTTTTACACATGAGATCCATCGAGTTGGACCTGAGAAAAAGTGCCATGGATCGTCCCTCGCCAAGCTCCAAGACCAGCCGCTCTTCCGGCAACTTCCACTCGTTAGCAAAAGTAGCCTCATCAAAGCCGTCAAGTTGACGCAAGAAACGAAACACATCCGGGGCATACTCCTGCACCTCCACCATCTCCTTTTGCCCCTCACCGTTTGGCACTTCAAACTGCAATGCTCGTTTCTCCCGGTACTTCTCAATTCCTAGCCCCTCCAGCGTCTGGATGACTCCGCTTACGGTGCGATGTCTGAAAAAGGGCACATTTTCCTCCGCCCTCAAGCGGTCACGATGATTCCGCAGTTGAGCATCAGCTGCAGCAGCCAGTGCCCCAGCGACCTGTCTCCCAGTAAGACCACGTCCACTCGTGGCGGCTCCCCCAATAGACTGGCATGTTCCCATCTCCAGTAGCACAAAAAATGGGGGAAAAAATGGGGAGGGGGGAAGATATAAAAATAAAAAACGAACTATGTGTCCGTCTGTAGCCTTATCACCTCCATTTGTTCCAAAAACAAAAAAAAACGGCAAAAAACGGGAGGAAACAGCTTGATTCAGTGTGCGTCCAACATTCCCCACACTTAAGTTGTCTTTTCTTTTTTTCAACGCACAGATGAATTCAAAAGACATTTTATGATAACCGGCTCGCTGGAGCCTCAGAAAGTTGCTGTCATTAGGAACTCGCAAACGCCGGGCCCTCCTCCTCGCAGAAGGTCGCAGCAGGAGGCTGGAGCCTGAGAACATAATGCAAAAAAAAACAAGAACAAATTGCAATCGCGCCGCTTTCCAACGCGGTATATTTGTTGTAATAATAAAGTAGTAAGAGAAAAAAGAAAAAAAAAAAGGGGGGGGGGGGGGGAGGGTGAAGATTGAAGCAAAACCCTGCTCTCATTTACAAAGCTCCAGCTGCTCGCACACTCCACAGGTGGCTCCCTTAGGAACAAAGAAAACAACAAAGGCCCTAACAGACACTCAGTGCTTGTGTAAAGGCCCATACATATAAACATGGGTGTGCGTGTGATAACAATGAAAAACGTCTCTTCACATGTGATCAAAGCTGGTACTCTTTCGTCCCTTTTGACTATTGTTTTTTTTCCTCAATTCATAGCTTTGATTTCATCCGATGAAAAAATTGTCAACAGGCCTCGTAAATCCAAAACTGTAGGCCAATGCAATAAAAAGAGGTCGAGTGCGATCCGGCACGGGACCAAGGGCTTCAGATGGCAGCACCTCGACGTAGCCCGTTTCAACTCCCAGAGATTCAAAGGCGAACAAAATACGTCTACACACGTCTTCTGGCCTCAAGATGTGGTCAGCGCGTACGCGCTTTGCGGCAGCCATTGCCCACTCGTACGGACCACAGGCATACTTCCGCCGTGTCAGTGGCAGGAAACAGTTGGGCAAACTCAGGGCGAGTCCATTAAACTATCGGAGAGTTTGCGCCCCAACCATCGCAAGGGAAAAGTCAAATATCACGCACTATACGCTGAATGACCAACTATTATGCATCCTTCTACCTTCAATGTAAGAAGTACCAGCACCTCACATTGGGAATCCTCTGGATTACGAAACACGTGCGTCAGTTTTAGCAGCTGCCAGAGAGGGTGAAGAGCATGTTTGCCACTGCAATCCAACATTCAGTGGCTACGAGCAATCACAAGTCACAGACACACACACAATCGGTCTGTCAGCCCGTCAGAGGGATGCGCAGTACTTGTCCTGTCCTTCAGTCGTAGTGAAAATGACAGTATAAATATCGCTCAGAGAAAGAATAAAAAATCGTCTTATTGAAACCAAGATAAACACAAAAGGCACTGTAGAAGCAAAAAAGAAAATAACTCCCTACTCCTGACCACTTCCACCAGCACAGCTATATACAAAGCATCTTTATTGCCGCCATCTCCACAAACGAGAAAGCGAGATTGAAAAAAAAAAAAAAGACACACTCCTACACACAGGGAAGCGCGACGAGTCAAATCAATAACCACCTTGATCACCAAAACGTTCACTGATATCGTTATTAAACGGGTTAACTGGCGGAATAATGCCCAACTCGCTCGTTTTATTGAACAATAATTCACCCAACAAAGCAGTACCGAGTTGTGAGGGATGAAAACCATCAACAGGCTCAATGAGTTCCCAGAGGGGCCCGTCAAACAAACGAAGCATACTCGCAACGACATCATCAAGGGCATGAACCTGAATGTTTTTAAATTTTGCTGCAGATTCATTTAGAATACGAGGTATTTGCGCGTTCAGTGACTGAGCCGTCTTCCAGGTGGCATCACGGACCGTTTCGTTGCTATTAAGCCAACCCCAACAAGGGGAAATGTCAACACAATTCAAAAAGTCGTAAAATTCGGCATATGTTACATCGTTATGAAGACTCCCTATAGGATGCGTGCGATTGTGCATTTCATCGTACAAGACCCGTCCATCTGAAACAGGAAGTATCAAAACATGGCTTCCAGCAGGCAATAGAGCCTCAGCCTTTTCTAGGGCAGTGGTTAAGTGCGCGTAATACTCTGCTGGAGTAGTGACGGCGGGAGGACGATCGCATACGTCATTCCCAATCATTGCGAAGAACAAAATGGCCGGCTTGACAGACTCAGTTCGGTTCCGGGCAACAACATCCATCATTTCACTAAGGCGCGCGGTTGTGGCGCCGTTCACGCCAAGGTTCTGGTAGTCTCGATGGTTACATTTGTTTCGCTTCACCAACTCGTTGTACAATGACTTCATGGGACCCTTGCGATTCGGTTTGTAGTCCGACGCATGGGCAAAGCCAGTGATAGCAGAAAGCATGGGCCAATCGAACCTATTATTTATGATGCGCGTAAAATGTGCGAAAGCGTCATGCGAAAGTTCGTAAACCCTCACAAAATCTTCTGGAATGCCAAAATGCGCAGTGACGCTGTCCCCCAGCGCAATAACCCCCATGGGCGAGGAGTTACGACACCACACTTCCTCATACGCTGTTCCTGTGGCGCTGTCCACTCCAAAAATACCATTGCAGTTCTCGTCCTTGACAGCGTCCACAGTGTTGCGGCCAGGATACACAGTGGGATCCTTGTCGTCGCAGTCGCGGCCCCGCCATTCGCCCCCGCGGTTGGTGAACCGACTAGAGAAGAGGTCACCGTCTGCGTCGTTCGCGGGGCGCAGCTCCTCATCCTCCGTCAAACACACCTCCGGAAATACTGCGCACACATTTATTGGCTCGACATGCTCGAGGCGATACATCCTCCGCAAGGAGTTCACCGACACCGTGTCGTGGTCAAGTGGGAAAAGATGACACCTCGTGTCCTGGCAATATCTCAAGGTCTGGCAAACAACGTCCGCGGTCTTGTTGGCGTCGATAAGAGGCAGAGCACTGCGAAACAGAAGACTGGCAATATGACACAAAACAGAGTCCCAAAAAGAAAAAAGTCACAAAACATTTTAAGCGCATCCGCCGCAGTGACTCCGTGCAACTGCTTAAGCTGAGACAACAATCCAGCAATGGAAGTACACACAACACAGTCCCACTTCGCCGTTATCCAACTTTCATCCGTCGTCATTTTTTTTGACTTGCTGCTCACAACAATTTTCGCCTCCCCAAGCGAAACCAAAAGCAAAAGTGTAGCCGCCAAAGCCACGCAGCGCAAAAACGAGGGCCGCATCACTTGCACTGTCGCCTGAGAAGCGCAGGTGAACATAATCAGCTTCAACACAAACGTACGGAGAGTCACACTAGAGCCAAACTGAAACAAAAAAAAGCAGTAAATAATGAAAGCCAGGAGAATATTGAGAGCTAGGAAACAAGCAAAAGAATACACAATAATTGAGAGAAGGTACGACAAATTCACCCATAAATCTCTCGCACACAAGGCACTCGCAAAAACGCAAACAATACCGATTTTTCTCTCCTTATTTGAAGCCATCAACAAACCCATTCGCAGAGAACACTACTTTGGGTTCTTCAGTCGCTGCAATAGTTTTTCCTTTGTCGAAAGTCCCATGTAACTCACTGAACCACCAGGCGCCTCCTCTGTCATGACTGCATCCTCACGCCTTCGTTTGTGCGACTTGAGCTGCTCAAGCACGTATGCCTCGTGATCCTCCCTTTTTAGACGTGATTCATCAACCACGCAGGACGCATTAGGCGCCCTTGCACCAGAGGAAATATTTTTGGTATGTACAGAAGTGGCAGAACTCTCGGCACCGCCGTCCCCTCCACCATGGCCAAACACTTTTGCTTGCAGTGCACGTCTCCGCTGCTCTCGCCAAGCAACTGGATCTTTGCTCAGCTCTAACAGCTCTGGATTGACATCGCTTAGTGAACCATCGGCATCACTTCGAGACATTCGCCCAAATCCCGTCTCTAAAAGCTTTAAAAAAGACAAATGCCGAAAGTTAACTTCCCTCCCTCACTACCTCAACGCACTACCACAGAAAAAAAAAAACATGCTCGGCCACCACGGGATAGGTAACTGTCCCCAATGGTGGGGCTCCGTCCAAACAGAATGCGCTGCACACACCCATGCAACATCTCGGCGTCTCCGAGAAAAGCAAAACAGAAAGAAAGGGAAAAGTGCGGTTCGTTCATTGTAACTATGACAACATATGATTTCGGATCATGAGGAGGTATCACAGAAAGCATGAAAACTTGGAATCATGACGGTAGAGCACGCAGCTGTACACGCATTAATATGTGGGACACAGTGAGGCATGCTCGGCCACCACGGGATAGGTAACTGTCCCCAATGGTGGGGCTCCGTCCAAACAGAATGCGCTGCACACACCCATGCAACATCTCGGCGTCTCCGAGAAAAGCAAAACAGAAAGAAAGGGAAAAGTGCGGTTCGTTCATTGTAACTATGACAACATATGATTTCGGATCATGAGGAGGTATCACAGAAAGCATGAAAACTTGGAATCATGACGGTAGAGCACGCAGCGGCAATACCGTATGCGTACAGCCATATACGATGCCCCATAAAACTCTTCAACGTTTTTGTTGTCGTTTTTCTGGTTCTGAAAATGGCATGCGTGCGGCACGGGGATGTCGTTGCTACTTCCCCGACCCGCCCGTTCCACTGGGCAGCGAAAACGGCTGCACACACAGCCACAATTAATTGAGAGAACACATGCGGTGGAGAGAAAAGAAACGCTGATACGTATTATTTCTGCTGTTTTTGTTGTTCTTCTTATTTTGGTCGATCCCGCTGGACCTGTGTGTATGTAAAGACGGAAGAGAAGGCAACAAAGAGAGAAAACATTAATAAGCACAGCAACGAGGGGATTGAAGCTTCAGAGGCAACTTGTCTACTCCATGCGTCAGCAGTAGCAGGACAAAAATACGAAGGTCTATTTCATGTTGTGGGGTGGGGATCTACTCCAAGCAACTGGTACGGATCGTACCAAAGTGGGATAGGCAGATCAGGGAAACCGCCGTCAAGGGCTTTCAGGATGGTGTCTCGCCACGTCACTTGCGCCTCCTCGCAGAACCGCAACTTCTTATTCAACAAAGCAATGGTATCCTGCTCAGCCTCTGAAGACAAAGGGGGTGCACGAAGCTCGCCAGGCAATGCAACACAAAGAGCTGTGGAAATGTTGGGTGCAAGTTTGCTGACACCAGCGTTGTCTGCCATCGACCTCCGCAGCGCCTCGTCCATGTCCAATCGTGCACGCTTCGCCTCACGCTCTTGTTCTTTCTCTCTTGAATCCGACAAGATATAACGCTGCTCCAATGCCGAGATTAACAAGCTCCAGGTAGCTTGCTTGTCCGTCGGTATTATATCCAAAACACGCAACCATCGGAGATCGTTGCCACTGTTTCCCATCAGGTCCCGAAGCCATGACTGTTGGCTGCTGTGGCTCCAAGAAGACAGTTTCAGCCGTAGTATTTGTTCCACAAGATTTATCAGCCCCCCAGAATCTTTCAACCGAATCAACGTGCCGACAAATCGGCGCAACACCACCATACCTCCACCCCCTTCAAATGCATTTTGAATAGTTAGGCCAGACCTAACCAATATATTCATGATAGTTACAAATTGATCAGGCAATTCAGATGTTTCACAAAGCCGAACAAACGCCAGTATCATATAGGACCGCCCCTCCGGAAATTCAAGCATTTGTGAGCCCCCCGTGATTTGTGTAAGTTTTGCAAGCCATTGCAAATGTCTGTACTCGTCAACGCATTGTTTCCCAGCAATAAGAGTCGGTGGGGCTTTCATATGTGATTTGCTTGGCATCTTAACTGGAGCTTGTCCACGTGGAAAGGCAACAAGGGGAGGGATCGGATTGTTGCTATCCGATGCGCTGCCGCCTCGCGTGGCGTCTCGCCCAACCAGTGGGGGCTCAGTTTTGTTCACCGTCGTGACGGCAGGACGAGCCATTGGCGGAAGATCCACTCCAGTTGATTCTATGCTGTAGCCCGCCCCCGAGCGTAGGTAAGTCTCAATCTTTATGCGACGTTCCTCTGCAGAGGGAAAGCGAACGTTAGAGGCCAGCTGATCGCCTTGATATCGAGTTCCGCCGTTGCGCCAATCGAGAAATTTTGTGTTGTAGGTTTGCTCTGTCAAAACCGTCGACGGTATCCTTGATTCAGCCATCAAAAAGAGAACAAACTGACTTACAAATCCCTCCCAACTCGGTCTATCTGGCCCTGGACGTAACCTATCGTAAAGCAGTTTGAGCATGTCGCAGCAAGCCGCAAAGCAGATCGCTAATTCCCCTTTATTTTGCCATATAAATCGAATTTTGGTCCGTTTGTTCTTTTGTCCCTGCTTGTATTGATGCATGTATTTGTGACGCGCCTGGGCAATGAACATTTCCACGGCGGTGCGAAAGTAGTCAATGACGCGATGACGTCTTTCGGGAAATTCATCGTAGTTTGCCACCACACGGCGCAAAACACTGCCAGAGCCATGTGGTATATCAATCCAGCCGGAATCGGGCTGCTCAAACAAAAGATTCGGGTTCAGCTGCAAAGAGCAAAGACCAGAACAGGGCGTCGATGTGGTGGCAGTGGCGGACGTTGCCGTAACGTTTCCCAGACGTCGCGACGGCAAACGCCGAGCCAGTGCCCGGCTCCCCTCGTCCTCCTCGGAAGACGTGGTCGAGCTTCCGCTACTGCTACTGCTTCCGCTACTGCTATTGCGTGTGGATGAGGAGTACGACGAGTCTTCCGAGCAGGAGCTAGAAGGCAATAAGGACGCCATCCTCACCTCTTCCTATGCCCTTCTTTTGCAGCCAAGGAAGGGCAAACAAAAGGCCAAAGGCAAAACACACAAAACAAGTGAACGGGAGACAACATTAACACCACATCAAGGAGAAAAAAAAGTTAAAACAAAAACTTAAAGAACGGAGAAAGAGTGAGGGATGACATAGCAAAAGCACTGCTAGACAATTATTCGCTGCTTCTTACAGTTCTCTGCATGGCGTCCTCTCTGCACATCAATTCTGTCAGACCATTTAGAAATCCCCGGTACCCACACACCCACAAACAAAAAAAAACCAAAATCATCCCATCAGTATGATGTAGTCTGCGGAATAATAATGCGCGCCACGCGATGCTGCTCCTTCAGCCGAAGAAGAAAGCGACGCTCGGCAAGCAGGCCCCCTCTATCGCTACCCCGCGTGATAAAAGCGGGCGTTAATTGCTCACCCGCAATGGTGCCGCTTGGTTCAGCTTTAGCGTCAGCAAACACGCCGCGAAGAACAGCAGCGCACACTGCCGCCAGGTCTCTCTCGTCCTCCACGCAACAAAAGGGGGCCAATGCGGCACGGTACAAAGACGACATCAGCGCATCGCTGTGAAAAGGTGAGGTTTCCCCATCAAGCGCCAGTCGTGCCATAACCTGCGTGAACGGGGTTAGTCTTTGATCCTGCATGGCGACCCCAAAGTCCAAGGCTGTCATCTGTTTCCTCCAATTCCTTATTATTGTTACTTGTACTGCTGTCGTTTTCCTTCTCTTCCCTTGTGCCTTATATACACATGAAGCAAGCAGCATCCATCGGGCGGCTCTCTCATCCTCCACGACAGCGCCATCACAGTGGCACACATCTCCCCCAGAAAAATGGCATGAAAAATTAATGCACAAAAAACTATAGATTTCGATAATACTACAAGAGGTAAAAGGTCCAACTGGCCCGGTATTAAATAATCTGCCGCGTTACTTACATACACCATTGGTAACGGTCCTATCCTCTAACTTTGGGGATTCAAGGTGCATCAGTAGTTGCATCTCCATCATTGTCTTATCCTCGTGCAAGTAATCCGTCGCACAACGAGCCACTTCCCATAGTCGGACTGACACCTTTTGTGAGAGACAGAGCTCAAGTGCACACACAATCTCCGGGAAGAGAGACAACATTGATGTTCGATTCTCAGAAAATGAGAGGAGGTTCGCTATGATCATTGTACACGACACAACCGTAGATATGTGCTTCAAGGTACATCCCACCTCCCTAGAAAGTTCAGGAGTAATGGCTAAAGTTTGTTGCCTTCGTGACATCACACTGGGATCGTCAGCTGGCGACGTAACGGAGTTCATCACGCGTTGCATTTTTTTTGATGTCTGCTCAACAATCTCCATCTTCAGTACACGGAAAAGCGTCTCAATGGCAAAAAACACCAGTCGCCGCGACCTCGCGAGTTTAAAATGCAGTTTGGGGTGTCCAGAGAGATTGACAAAAAGATAGAGAATATGTTGTGTCACCACAGGTGACACCTGTCGCAATTCTAAGAGATCTTGCAACGCATCGAAGAGGCGGTCCTCGAAGACAAGGATGGAGCTCACGTGAGGAAGCTCTGAGATACGCCTCGCCAACAATACAGCCACATAGTTCAACCCAAAGTGCTCCTCATCGCCGAGTGCAGCCGCCAATACGTTGACCGTGCTAACATCCATCAGAAGCAACTCATCCAGCACTAAATCCCATCCGAGCAGCTGAAGATACACTGAAAGAGTGCGTTGATGAAGTCGTACTCCTGATGGAGTCGATACAGACTGGGAAAGAAAATATTGTAGCGTCGGTACGAGGTGGCAATTTCGTCGCAGTTCAACCCGCTCGTGAGGCTTTGCTTTCTCGATGCAACGCAAAATGAGCCGAACACACCAAAGCTGTTTTCCAAATGTGGCCTTTGGCGCCGCCGCCTGCCTCAAAACGTACTCAAGTTTGCTTACGTCCCACAGATATGGTTCAGCTTCCCCGTCCCCCGGGTTCCGCCAGGCCTCACACTTTACAACTCCCATTTATATACATTTATATATATATCTTCTCTTTCCGTCGACGTCGCACTTCATACACGGATAAAGAGGGAGAGGGACACACAGACGAGACGAGAGAAATATGTATGCATGCAGCGTCTCCCTTTTCCCTTGATGTATACTCCACTCCTTTGTCTACATGTACGTATACCGGGAAATGGCGCTCCAACGCTCCTCAACTGAGGACTAAAGAAGAAGTTACACACACACAAAAAAAAAAAAAACGCACACGACTATCTATGACTGTAGTCATATGACACGATGAAGTGGTCCCAGACATGTTTTATTATCATGCATTTCTTTTTCCTTTTTTTGTTTTGCTTCTGTCAGAGTCCTAAGGTCACGACACGCACCCGTGCAGCCTCCGGATCATACACAGCTAGTTTCACCACCGCATCACTCCCTTGAATCGCTTCAGCGAAATCACTCAGCGTAGTCACAGGGGCAGTACCCACGTGAGAGATGATGTGTCCGGGGCGAAGTTGGGCCTTCGATGCGGCAGAGTTTGATGCCACTTCCATGACGATAAGACCCTTCGGTTCATCGCCGCCATCCTGGAGGCGTAACCCCAGCAGTCCGAAGCGTTCCACAGCCGCCGTAAATTCCCTGCCCTTGGACGGACCTACAGAGGGCAGGATAGGGGTGTGATCGCCCACCGTCCTCCCAGAGGGAATAGCATTCCCCATCAGGGCTATAGCGCGCTCAACGCTTTTAAGTCGCTCGCGCAGCGCATCCATTTCAATTCGCGGTACAGCCTGCCGTTCCACAATTTTTACGCGCTCTACACACATTGCACACTCTGCCATCGCACTGTATGTGACTTCTAGGGGTTTTGTCTGTAGCAGATGAAACCCACTGGATAGGTAATCACTATATCCCTCCATCATTTTGTGCAGTGCCTGCTGAGAAGAAAGACCCACCTGATGCACCTCACTTTTTGGCGCGCTCGACCTCCTCTTTCATTGACTCAAGCCAACCCATACGCAGCGAGTCTAACTCCTCGCGTGTTCGCTCCCATGTGTCTCGCACCACGCGGTCTCTAAAAGCCACCATCTCAGTGGAGGTGCTCGTCTTCATCTCCCGAAGTTTCTTAGAGCTTGTCGCCATGGCAATATCGTTGATCATCTTTAAATCCTCTGCATACGAACGCAGCGTCCTCTCTGTTGCAAGAACATCACCCGCCTCGGCGGCTTTGGGTGCTAGGTTCACTTCAGGTTGCGCTGCGAGCTCCCTTTGAGGCGGTATTGCAGCAACTGCCCCTCGATTCGAGCAGATTGGTGGTGTCGCATTCTCAAAGGGCGCGGAGCGCAGCTCCTGTTTGAACACCTCGGTTTCGTTGGCGTGCGCCACAAGCAACGTGAGCACGTCAAGGAGATATGGAGGGCACGTTCCGCTTTTCTGCAAAAGATCAAACTTGCGATTAAGGCTTGCAGTCATACTCCTTTTTATTTTCCCTTTTCTTCTCTGAGTCTGTTGTTTCTGCGTGTGCACGGAGGCGGGAGGTGCTCTCTTCCTGCGCCAAATGAAAGCACAGGCATAAAAGGCCGAACGGGAAAAAATGAGGATGCCTAAAACAAAAACAAGAAACACACACAAAAAAAAAGGGGGGGGGGACAAATATATAATAATAATAAATTAATAAAAACGAGGACATACATAAAGGGAGCTCGCCGCGGCAGTTCTGTCATACCTCACGCGTCAAGAGACATACACCTTTCGCTTCTCATCAGCATTCGCTAGAGAGTACCAATGTACAGTTTGATTTTCCCCGTACCTTTTCCAACGCCAGCTGATACTTCCGCTTAAATTCTACGGGTGGATTTTTTTCGGGTAGGACAAGGTCCTTGGCTATAAGGGTAAATGGCATCTCCCGCTCCTGCATCATACTAAGAAGAAAAAAAAGCCCCTTCTCCGTTACTCTTGTTCCGCTGATGTCTAAAAGCTCAATCTGTGATGCCACTGGAGAAAAACGCAGTATACCGGCCAAGAAAATAACGGAGTTGTCATCCACAAAACGGTTACAAACAGCGCGAATATGCTTGGTATTCGTAAAGTGTTCGTTGGAAAGTGCAATGGCAACAGAAACTAGTGGAACATTGGCAATGTCCAGGTCCTCCGAAGTAGATGCCAGAACGGTAAGCAAGGGGTCTATATCATTCACGTCCAACTCACGTGCAAAGATATGCAGCATTCGGTTTAGTAAACACCTGGCGCTCGTCGTGGCACCATGCATCTGTTCGAGATATGCAGCCTGAGCGTCAATGAGCCTCCGCACTTTCGCGGCATCCCGAATCAGCTCCGAGACTGTCTTTCGATCCCCGTTACAGTACATATCTGGCTCCCGATTCACCAACTGTGTTTAACCTTCCTTCGGCAGTGAAAGAGGCGGGGTTCCACCCTACGCTTCGCTCGTAACTTTCCTTTACTCCCCTTCCCAGCTTGCAGCAAACATGTAGGTTCTATGCGCGTGATAGCACCAGCCCAGCGGGATGGCGGGAACAACGTCGCAAAAGCATCGAAAAAAAAAAAGGCAAAATTTTTAAAATGGTGGGAGAGGGCAGTCACACCATTGCCACAAATTCATATAAAAAAAAGGCAAAGAGTGAGTCGGAGGACAACTGGATAAGGGAATATATGGGAGGGGGGTATCCACCAAAAATGCAGCATCGCCCCTGAGTTCTGGCCACTTTGCCGCAAAAAGCATCCACGACACACCCCTACACAAAAAAAACTCGTGTGTGTGTGTGTGTTTATGTGCCTTGGCATTTAACGCTTCCGCTTTTTTCCGGCTGCTGTTTTCTTAGGGCCTTCTTTCGGTTGGACATCCTTGAGGTGCACCTTAAGATAGTCAAGGTAAATTGTCTCGCACTTTCCGGCACCGTCCTTTACCTCCAGGGTGGGCGACTTAAGAAGAATTGTCCAAATGCCATCCTTAACACGGTAAATGGGGTATGCCACACCATCGTTTAGTACATCGCAGCGCGGGAGCGACGTCGCTGGTGAAGATGGCGGCAATGCAACAAAAGGGAACATCATCTTCGTCGGTTTAGTGGACAGCTCCGCCGAAACCTCAACGCCATCGTTACCACCCATTCTAGTTTGTCTCTTATTAATTGCCGGAGCCGGCGAGAAGACACGCAGCTGGGACGTGACAGGTGACTCCGCCAGTGTTCGATCCATGGCGATGTCAAAGATGTCCCACAACTCCTCTTTTTGCCCCTCGCTAAGAAAACAGACGGATTCCAGCTCTGCCAGCGTGGCTGCAAGAGCCACGCCAAACAAGCTCTCGCGGAACATGGGCACAAAGCACGCTACCACACTTTACAAAGAGGGAGGAGGAACAACACACACACATACAACAAAGAAAAAGGACAAGTAGAGAAGAGAACCTACACAACGTAGCCACAAAAAGTACGGCTCTTCCGCAGTACATGTTACACCGTCTCCCATTCCACCTTATTTTCTAAAGAATCAACTTTTTTTTTTTTTTTTAGGAGGGGAGGGGAGGGAAGGGAAGGGAAGGGTATTTCTTGCCTTTCTATCCTCATTGTTTCTTCTCTGTCTGGTTTTTTATTTCATCGTCCTCTTCCTCTTCGTTTCTTTCTTCCTTTTTGTTTTCTCCTTCCCTCAGTCACAACGACGATCCGGCCTGTGACCCAGTCATACCGTAGGTCTTCTTGACGTATTGCAGACGCTCAAGCGCCAGTTTAGACTGCTTTGCTGCGGCTTCCTCGCTGGGAAACCTCGCTGCATCGCTTTTCGCGTAAGCTACAAGAGACTGTTGGGCCTCATTTCGTACGCTAAGTATACTACAGGCCCAGAGAGCCTGCATCAAAGTTGTCCCGTCAAGAGCGTCACGGTGAGCCGCCAACAGCTGAGTGCAAATGTAAACAAGTTCATCGCTTCGTTCCTGTACAGCGGCAAAGCTGGCTAGAACGCCAGCGGCGTCAACAGGACTAACATATCCCCCCTGCTTAACAATGGATACAAAGCGTGAGGCAAGCAACGGGAACAGTTCACCGTCAAAAAGGTCAAACGACCCAAGAGCATTTAACGTGAGATGAATCTCGTCCGCCCGAAAGTCAGCTGCAACCTTGCAAGCCCGCTCTGCAAGTGCGCCAAAAACCTCCTCTGCCAAAACATTCGCACGGTAATAGGCATCACATGTCTTTGCAATAGATGTGGGATCAAATGTCCCGCCCATAGCTATTATGCGTTCCCCACACGCGGTAAAGAGAGGTGACGTTGCTCTCCCTGCCTTCACCAAGCATCCAACCAGAGATGCCATGAGAGGTGCTGGCAAATCGGCCAGCTCCTTCATCAATCGTTCCTCCAGCACATTGAACAGGGAGTCATCGACAAATCCAACCTCGGCGAATGCGTCAAGAATGGTCACAGGCACAAGTAAGGGACCTTGCGACGCGTGACGAACAGCCTGATCACGCAAAACAAGAAAAAGATCTCTGTGAAAAAAATGAACACGTGCCAATGCATGGGCAACATTTGCTGTATGTGCCACAAATGTGCGCGGGTCCTTCATGGCAATTGTAGCCCGATCGCAGAGAGCCTTATACAGTTCCTCATGCTGCACTTGCGCTCGGCCATATGCATTGAGAAGTACAGCACATGACACGGTGTCTAAGGTCGGCGCCAGCTTGATAAGAGGACGGATGTACGCAAATAAAACCTCATAGAGATGTGGCGATCGCAGCACCAGACAGGCATGCACAATTCGTGCCAGGGATGGCGCATCCATTGCCTCCACCGCCTCGCGAGAGAGGCTGCGCTCTACCACGGCGGTGAATGTCTGCCCCTTAGTGGGTGATATGCGCAGCTGCGTCGCAGCATGGCAAATCGTCCCGGCCACGCCTGGACTCCAGGCAGTTTTTATATCGTCTAGACTCTCGGATTCAAACAGGTGACGGCCATGCAAAACAAGCTCCTGCTTTCGCTCTGACGCAGCTAACTGCTGTTGCACCTTTTCTACGGCCGAAACGAATGCCTGCGTCGACATCGACCGCATCAGCATGGAGTGCCGCAACAGTCCAGAACTCACGGCATAGCGCCACATTTGCGCAGGCAATCAGACAGACAGCCCAAAATAAATACACGGAGCTACAACGAACGAGGTGGACGGGAAGGATCAAGCAGCCACTGCGTACACGACTTTCCAAACGAAATTGCGCCACCTTCACGTGGCAAACCAAACAAAGCAAAAAAAAAAAATGGAGAGAAAAAAAACAAAAAAAATAGTGGGCAATAGGGAGGACAAAAACAACAACAGATGAACGGCAAAAACGAAAGGAAGTAAAAAAAAAATAGAATTCAAAAAAGAGGTTTTGCTTTTGGGTCTTCGTGTTTCTAAAGGGACACAAATAATAAAAAAAAAATCAGGAGTCGAAGAACAAATTTGAGAGTACAAAGTACGGACAAAGCCGCAGTGAGGCAGAAAACATACACACAAGCAAACAAGCAAAAAAAAAAAGGAATATCACATAAGTCATAGAAGTACAGTCGGTTTTTGTTTTCTTTTTCTCGAGCTTCACTTGAATTTGGCAACTAAAAGGTACAACCAAAACGCCACTGTGCATCTCTCGCGGGCGTCCATTTCGTCTCAAGGAGCCTCCTCATCAGCACCGTGTTTTCATCATCCTCTTTCATTTCCTTTTTTTTTATTTATACTCATTTGGTGTTTTCTTGATTTTTATCACATGATTCATCAGATAATTCCCACGTTTTTTAGGTACTGCCTGGTTTCATAACTCCCGTAGCCGTCGCTCTGTGAGTCGTAGCCTGCAGCGGACACACTTGTATCACCATGCTCCTCCTTCTCACCACGATTTTGCCTATCACGGGCAAAGTTCCTGCCCTGTGCATGGTGAAATTCTTCCTTACGCTTATTTACTAACGCTGCGGCCCCGCCGCTGGAGTGTGAGCGCTGCACAGGCTCCGTTTTACGGTTGTCCAACACAATACGCTGCTGGTGCTGATGAGACTTTGACACAGTTTGCCCAGCTGCAGCTACGTTCTGAACCTCGGGATCAGCATGCAGGGAGGAAGAAGAAGTCTGATGAATGGCAGGACGAAAAGAGTTCCTTGGGTCTTCCAGGGATGCACTGATGTTTGCGCTCGCACTATACCCTGTTCCAGCGGAAACAGACCCCGCAACAGAATGGTTTGGGGTCGGCAACTTGCCTCGCAGCGAGGACAAGAGAGGATTCTCTTCACGTGCCATACGAATAACACTGCTTTGGCGTGATCCGGCAGAGGGGTTCCACGGAGCTGCAGATTCTGCGGATCGATTCGTCGCACTATGGCGTGAAAAATCTAAATCTTCTTGAGGAGGTGTGCAAGAGCACGACACATCTTTTTCACGTGATGCGTGTGTGTCTACAGTTGCACTACCCCCTTGAGGATCTTTTGCAGCTTGTCGTTGTAATGCCGTCATTGTATCAGTGGTATTATTGAACGCTGAATGCGCCGCCATCGGAACAAAGTTGGGGGGATTTGATGAAGCGGTTGTACTATTAACTGCGGCACCATACGACTCCATTGCCACAGGCAGTTTGGACAATCCGGCCAGTGTCAGGTGGAGTTGCTGCATCGATAACGCCATGGACTGGAGCTGAATCTGTATGGCCTGTTGCTGCTGATACAATAGCTGCAGCATAAGTCGATCTTCGTGCGTGAAAGCGCAGCCGCCCTCCGCCGGTCGCTCTGTAGAATGAAATAAGCTTCTCGCCGGAAACGCCATGAACGGCGAGGTGAATAGGTTCGGCGCCCCAGTTGGGAACGCTGCCGACATGTGTGACAGAAGGAGGAAGCGGCGGCGGCGGCTACTGCTGCTGCTGCTGAACAAGGGAAATGGACAAAATGTATTACAACACGCAACGCCGCGACCTACTCCGTCTATGCAAAGCCAGAGAAGTGCGTGGAAAAAAAAAGACAACAACAACAAAAAAAAAAAACCGAAGAAAAAAAAATGGTCCCTCACACATAGACACAGACACGCGGAGAGATGCAGAGAATGCGAGAGATGAGCAGTAAACAGCGAAAGAAGGAATCATGGTTGCGTGCGCATGTGGTTCATCTCACCTCCGCCTAATCGCACCACTCCATTTACACATGAGGGCGAACAAATGTAAAAGGCCACCACATCCGGGAACAGCATCTCATGTTCTTCTTTCTGGATGGTTCTTGTTCTCACTCACCTCCGTCGCTTGCTCATCGTATGAGCGGAAAAATAACAAAACCACCAACCTGAGCCAACGAAAAAGACATCTCCACCAAAGGGGCAAGCAAGTATCACACAGTTGAAACAAGAACACAGAGACAAAGCAAAGAGCAAGAGGCAAATAATTGCCAGCAAGACACTGCATTCATTTCTCTCACACAAGCGGGAGGAGAACGCTGCTTACTAATGAGAAGACTCCCCACACACATCGTATTGAATTTTACGACGGCAATGAGTGGATGAAGTCCTTTGAATCAATCATGCTGGTAGAGAGCAGCGTGACACGAGCCTCAATATTCTCGGAGTATGGTTCACTTGACGCGGCGTTAGCGCTGGGATCACCGCTCACAAAGCGTGTCACATTTTTACCCAAATTCATCAAGGATTCCACGTTATTGGGCACCTGGCCTTGATTAATTTGGTGCAACAGCATTGCCTCCGAGTATGTTACACCGCCCACCATCACAATAATAATGTCCTTCGCACGGATGGTAGGTACGGCTGAGGCTGCAATGGGAGCGCCCTCAACCTCCTGTACAGGGTATTTCTCCTCCGACAGCGTCCCATTGTAAACTCTATTGATGAGCTTTTTCATGAGGGGAACGTACTGTGTCAGGATATTCTGAATATCTTTTCCAAAGTGGCCCACAGCTTTAGCAGCAATCTTCAACATGTGGCCTGTGGACACACGGAACAGCTGATGCAGCCGTTTATCCGCCCCTCCGTACTCCAGCACGCGATCGATGAGTGAAATTCTGCCCACCGGACAGTTGCGTTTCTCTAACATTTCCTTTAATTGTGCAATGTTATTCCCATTCACCTTTTCATACCGTAGAGCGTAGAGCATCACCATGCGCAGGGCGTCGTCAATGTCCGTCTTCGGATCCTGTACAATATCCATCATTTGCCTGGAGTGTTCTGCGACGTTACTGGAAGTTAACATTTCCTGCTCCAAGACCGACAAATGCGTTAAATTACGTCCATTCACCTCCGTTACCAACTGACTCGCCAGACCGCAGTGTCGTGTCACCTGCACCGATTGCTTACGTGCCTCAGGAAAACGACTCATAAAGCTTTTAATTTCGTCCAATGACACATTGTTCCTATCAAAGTTGTTCAGGGCCTTGTAGGCCTTCACTAACTCACTCACCGCAATACACACCTGCCCATAATCGTCGTAGCGGTGCTGAGCAAAAAACGGATCGGTGTGCGCCGTAAGAACATGCACACGCTCTTCAGGTTTAGCATCCGGGTCGTCGATGGTGACCTCGTTTCCATATTGAAACCCAATAATTTCATGTATCATCGCCTCATAGGTCCATGGCATGACGAGAGCTGTAACCGGGTCATCCATCCTGTCTAGAATCACAAGCACCGACTCCTTCGCTTTGAGGTCTGGAAAACTTTGATGCACTGTTTTCAACTTGCCTGCCACGAGCTTCGCCAGCTTCTCTGAGACTTTATTCCCTCCTCGATAACGGATGGCAGGGCGACGGTTTGTCATCAACATGAGACTTACAATAGCCTCCGTCATACGATCTAACGACGCGCTATCCCATTGTGAGTAGGTGATAGGGTTCACAATGGGACCGGCCATCGAATGCAGAGCTGTGGGCTTTAGCTGTGCGATAGCCACGTACTCTGTGAGGGGCACGGAGTCCAAATAAACCTCATTGAGGGCTCTTGTCAAGTTTAAGAGATCAGCATTTGCCAAAGACTGCACAATATTCGATTCTAGTAGGTGTGAAAAGTAAAGGGAAAAGGAGGCAAAGTTGCCCTCCGCCAGTTCCTGATACACGCAGGCCAACGAGGACGGTAACGGTCGGCAAAATATGATACAGTGAAGGTGCTTCATTGGGTAATGTTCCCGGTTGCTCAGCATGTCCACAAGCACCACATTATGTTGAAGCAGCTGATGTTGCGAATACACCACAGATATAATATTGCGGGTTGCGTCATCGCACAAAAGAACTTTGAGGCCGTCCGGACCATCCAGGATTCGATCGATGTATGCCCACGCCTGTTCAATACAGTTAAGACGGGCTCGTGGGGCAAGGGTCATTGGCTGGCGGGGTAAACGAAACAAAACACACACACACACACACACAACAAAAAAAAAAAGAGAGAGAGAAGGGAAGCCCAAAGCCAAGTAAAATAACAAGAGACATTCCTGACAACAGCATCGCTAGAAACAAAGGACATGGTGAAGCAACGGAATGGAAGAAGAAAAAATGCATACACACACACAAAAAAAAAAAGAGGGGCGAAGTTTAAACCGTAAAAAAAAAAAAAGAAAACGGCACGCAAGCCAGTCAGCCACGAATGCACTGCAACAAATGTACGATAGGCGGGTCTTAAAAGGAGATGTACCTCTGTCACTGTCGTCATTCTTTCCTCTGTTTCTTGAGCACTGGAGCTGCTGCGCCTTCGTCACCTCCCCCTTCCTCGCCACTTGCCGCATCATCGTTTCTGTGACACACGGCATCCAATACGAATTCCCTCATTGGCACACACAAAACCATTTCCATCCTCGCGACTCCACGCATTGACACCTGTTCCTCCACCGGTAACGCGAGGATCCTCGCCACATCCTCGTAGCAGTGGGCTTCCTGCTGAATAGCAACCATCAAGTGCTTCATTGCGGGAATGCACGAAATGGAGCGGGTAATATGATACTTTACAAAATTGAAGGGCGTGCAGTACTTCGCATGACAACGCAGCAAATCTCTGTACAAATCCATCCATGACGTGTATGCAAACGGCAACTCATCAGCTTCACTACCCAAAGCGTTGTGCCCCTCCATCGAGGAAACATTTGAAGAGAATACAGACATATCCCACATCGCATGGCGTGCAATCATGGCTGCATCAAATCCAAACTGTGTTGTTTTGGTTTCACCGTCCTCACGGGATCTCACGGATCCGTTAAGAACAAAACACATTTCCTTAAATAATGGATGACTGCGGAGTCGTTTCACAGTTTCCGCTGCGCGATCATAATGTGGTGGTGTTTCCGATGTCTGGTCTACCGTACGGGCGTGGAGAGTAACGGCATGGACGTGATTGGGCCCCACCTTTTCCATAATGGAAATCAACATGTCTGCCGTCGCCTCCGCCGTTTCCAAAAGTCGAATTTTAAAGCTCAGTGGCACACGCCGACCACGGGTGGTTAGCATGTCAGGAGCGTTGACGGCATCATCTATGGCAAGCAGAATAGCCGCTGCCTTGGAGGTGTCTCGCATTAGTGCAGCTCCCATTCCATTACTAACGCTAAACTTTTTGGGGCATCCCATGTTAACATCTATGCCATCCACGTCCTCACAGCACAACAAGGCCGCAGCCGCACCTACCGCAGCGTCTGACACGCCGAGTTGTAACACAATTGGGGCACCTTCGCTAGTTTGATTTGCTACAGCCCGTGCCGGTGTGGTGAACACGACACTTCGCTTGTACTGATTCTTAAAGGGTTCATAGGCTACAAACTCAATCATAAGTCCCACATCGTCATTGTGCGCACGAACCTCGCGACGACAACGTCCCAATCTGGCCGCCACAACCTCTTCGGAGAAGACAATATCTGCCCCTTGTGCCGCACAAAACACGCGAAACCCCACATTACTAACACGCACCATCGGAGCCAGTATAATCTTCCCCTGGTAAAGTGACATGGTTTTGCTTATGAGAGAGAGAGAAAGAAAGAGTGAGTGAGAGAGTGTTGTATGTGTACGTTACAAAAAAAAAAAAAGTGAAATCACATTCATCGTGAGTTTGGAACTAGGCCACACTCACGCCGACTCTGCGCCCGTGGAGAAGCACACGAGAATGGGGGAACCACACCACCAAGACCCTCAGCATCAGTCTTTTTTACTCCTAATAATGAATAAACCAAAACCCATGGGAACCAAATATTTTCTTCAGAGGAGGCCCCACTACTACCACACACCCATACACGCACATTCTCTCACCGGTTTCGGCATGCTAAACACACATGGCATCCAATTTATCCTACAAACTGAAAACCAATCAATATTTCTCTCATATAATTCTTCTTTTTTTCTACTACAACTAGAAACTAGATATCAAACCCTTATCAGACTATGAATTTGCTACCTTGCCTATTCAGCGTTCAGGTAAACGGCGAATTCGTGGAAGTCACGGTCGAATTCTGCCTCAATTTCAGCAAAGGTATACGCTGGACCCTCATCCGCGGCAGGTTCATCTGTCCAGTCAGGGTGCATCACCAACCAGGGACGATTGTGAACGTAAAACCACTGTTGGCACATGGGGCATTTATTCTTGGTATAACCCTTCATCATCATGTAGTAGTTGGACTGCGGGACATGAGGAGCGCAGTTGCCAAAGCAGAGCACAATTTGCTGGTCGCCAGGGTTACCCACTGCCTCAATACGGATAGGACGCTCCTCGCTGCCAATGGGTGGTTCGTAGAGGTGATTTACGGCAATGTATGGACGATCATTCCACTCCTCACGGTCGTGCTCCTCCAGAATGAGAGTGTCATCTGCCTCAAAGAAATGCCAGACCTTGGCAGGCTCCTGCCAGTAAAGACGACCGGAACCCGTGACAACATCGTCGTAGACGGGAAGAGATTGATCCATCAGCTTACTCATGAATGGGCTCTTACGCCATGTATCCGGTGGTTGCTGAAGCTCGTTCAAGCCGTGAGGTTGTACAGGGTACGCCTTGTCTTGATACGGTGTAGGACCCGAACCTCCACCCGACAAAAATATGCGGGATGCACCCAACAAAAAAAAAGCAGACCTGCGCAGCATATCTATCCAGTATCTGAATAAAGCTTTATAACCACAGAGCAAAAACGCAGAAAAAAAAAGGGAGAATAAAGAGAGTGGATAAACACATTTTTGTTTCATTCATACATACGCTCATACGCACACCTACGCTTTAAAACGAATTTCGCTTTGTATCCTTTCACCAGAAAAAGAAAAACCATCAGTACTATCTCCATGTATGTATGAACAAACACCACGTATATTCACACATACATGCATGTACATACAAATGAAGATAGATAGCAATGGATATGAATGACTCATGAGATAAAATAAAAATGGAAAGACAGGAGTAAACAATTCACACATATTTGGCTCGTACTTCATTTTGGAGCTACTCTTAAAAAGACTTCCTCTTTTCAAATACCACACATATCCCTCGCTATCTCACACACACATGCGCGGCGGAAACAAAAGAAAGAGCAAAAAAAAAAAAAACAATGAACAAAAGCAAACCACACACGTGCTAACCAGAATTTCAACGGTTGGTGCAGCTAGGACGCAAACAAACAAATCTTTTTACATTATATCAAATTGTATCTTTGCGCGGTACCCGCCAATAAGCGGCTGTGTCGGACTTCCGTCCCCCCGACTGGCCCACGACCCTGCAGCAGGACAGGCCCAACGGAGGGCGGGGCTGGCAAAATGGAAAACATTACAACTTCGCTAAAACTCAATTACAGTTCATTCATTGGTCCACTAAGGCAGGTCCAAGGAGAACGCAACATTAAAGCAATTCAATTAGAGAACGTGAAGGGCGAGCCCGCGTCACCCGCACTGTCTCCAGGCTTCTCTTCTAGAAAAAAAAGCACACATACACAGAAAGAAAGTCCAAGTAGTTAACATAATAAGAATAGTATTGGAAACATGCAACTCTACTAATGGGAAATCGATGTATAGTCTCCGCTGCATACTGTTTTGTTGCTCTTGACCGATAGACCAAAAACAAAATAAAAAATAAAAAAAACCACAAAAAAAAAACACAAGATGCTACTACGGCTAAGCTCGGCCAAACGCTTGGAGCATTCCCAAACTGGTTGTATTATCGTTGAGTATTCTTCCGGCGCCTCCCCCACCCAGGCCGCCACCCCCCGTAAAACGTTCTCCTCCTCCGCCAAAGGCACTTCCATAATTTCGTCTAGGCGGTGCTCTTCGACCAGCCAGTGACTGCCTAGAAGTAAAAGGCTCAATCGTTTGCTGTGTTCGTTGCTGACGCATCTGCATTCCCTTTTGGTGCCTCAGGACAGAAGGGAGTGCACGTTGGCGGTTGTCTACCCTGGCACGTGATGCCGTTGCGACAGGTTCCCCCCACATTGCTCGGCTAGCACTCGTTGAATTACGTGCTGCACGTATTGCTTCAATAAACTCACGATGCTGTTCACGCCAGTGTGTTTTTGGAATACCACCAGCCGCCGGGAAATCACCTAACATGGATTTTGCACGCTTACCTTTTTTCTTGTATGAATGCCGAGATCCACTACAAAACCCACCATCTTCGTCAAAAATAGCGCGTTGTTTGCCGCTGTCAAATACCTTACGTTTTGTGTTTCCCTTGCATACACTCTCATGGTAGGCAATGCGATCAAATAAAAACTTTCTTCCGCAACGTGAACACGGATGCAAGTTCGTATTCTCTTCAGAGTATTCAGGAACACCTGCAAAGGACTCCTGTTTCAGCAAGGACCTTGCACCGATCACACCAGCACCACGCGCTGAACCACCAATGCTATTTTTCCCGCCCCCGGGCAGCGTCAGTTGTAAGGAGGGCATGATTGGCATCGGTCCAACAGGATTGAGATGCCAGCGTTTCATTGCTTTTTCGTAGCACTGCGGTATGTGTATCGGGAGAGAGGCTGTGCCGAATCCCTGCTGACAAATGGGGCAAATGCGAAAACGAGGAGGCATCGCCTATTCTCCACCTCCGTAACAAAAAAAAAAAAAAGAAGGGAGAAATATGTATATATATATATAATGCAGCGCAATCAATACCTATATTGTAATGTATACGACCCCTACCTAATTACCCTTTTATTATTATTATTATTATTATTTTCGTGTGTGTGGCAGCAAAAAGTAAGAATACAATCCTCACTTGCTGATACGTTTTCCTTTGTACGGTTTCTTTGCTTCCGTTTAGAGACTGCAAGGGAACACAAGAAGGAACATTCATCGGCATCGTCCAGCAAAAAAGGCATGCGTTTTTTGTTGCTGCTGTTTTGTTGTTGTTGTTTTTGGCAATGAACGCGTGGCGCTCAGAAAGTCAGCAATATCACTCAGCACACGCCACACGTCAATAATAGCAAAAAACAGCAATCACACATAAGAAAAAGGCAAGAATTATATATATATATATATATATATATAAGGCGGCGATCATCCATGATGGTTATGGTAGCCCAAAGACCAATGCGTTTCTCACTGCCTTCAAGACGCCTCGCGTACGTACATCACAAGTTCCACCTAAAGAAGAGGGCATCACACTAAAAAGTATAATGTCCGACACCTTTATTTGCCCACAGCGGCATTAACGTGATGAACACTGTCTTCATCGCTGCGTTGACAGCAACGCGTGTGCGTCAACTGTCAAAGTTAAAAACTGGGGAAAAGCGGAAAAGTTTTTGGGTTTGTGCGTCACTGCACGTACATGGCACCCATCTTGGGTCCATTCACCACCAAAAGGAAAGCCCATGACGAGAAAAGAGAAAAGAACGAAATATGTTTAAAAAAAGTGCGAGGTTAGAAAAAATGGAATGTAAATCCAGTCTGCTGCTGCTGCTGCTGACGATGCCCTTGAGAAGCGCCGCTGAAATCAAACCCCATCGGTACTCCCCCACCTGTATGAAACATTCTGTTAAACATATGCATTAAAGCATCATCTTGTCCCATAAAACCTGAAGACCCAGGCCCAGACCCACCGGCTCCTTCAACTGCGTTGTCAAGCATCCCATTGTCGTACATGCGTTTTTTCTGAGGGTCTGACAGAATGGAGAAGGCCTCACCCACCTCCTTGAACATTTTTTCGGCGTGTGTTTTTTGTTCCTGGCTGGCATGAGCCCATTTGTCTGGATGCCACTGTAAGCATGCCTTTTTGTACGCACGTTTAATCTGAGCACCATCGTTTTCGTTAGGTGTCAGGTCAAGAATTTTGTAATAATCCTTGCGTTTTGCCTTCTTTGCACTCGCTTTGATGCGCTGAAGCTCCCTCCCGTACGAAGCGTCCATCTCGGTTGCCTTTTGAATATCTCTTAAGGCGTCATCGTAATTATTTAGTGCCTCGTGAATGCGTGCACGTCGCGCAAAGAGCTTGGCAGTACTTAGACCATTGTTAATAGCAAAGTCACAATCAAGCACGGCACTTGAATATTCTTTTAGTTCCATTTTTGCCGCAGCCTGGTTGGCACGCAAGGTGGCTACCATTCTTACATTGGTTGCGTCCATATCCAAAGCAGACGTATACGCATTAATGGCATCTCGGTAACGCTTCTCTTTATAGGCGGCATTCCCAGTTTCCTTGTGAAATTCTATCACTCGTATCTTTTTTAAGAGTGCACTAACTTTCGGGTTATCCGGATCCAACTCCACCGCCTGACGAAGAATATTCTGAGCGGTTTTGAAACCATCCTGACCACGGTAATAGTTGGCTATGGCCCGCACATACAAGTAATACGGATCCTGCGCATAGGCCTGAGCAAACCGCACAAGGGTGCGGTTGACCTCCTCGGGTTGCTGCATAGCGCGTGCCTCACCAAACATAAATGCAACAGGGGCGCAGTCAGGGAATGATCGCGCTGTCGACGCCAGAGAGCGTTCCGCCGCCGCAAAGTTGCGCTCCTCCAAAAGTCGTCGTCCATCCTCAACTGCCTTCCTACCCTCATCCGCACTCAGATAGAGTTCACGTACATGTCTTATGTCCTCCTCAGAAGCACCAGACGTTTTTAGCGCTTCGACGCCCTCACTTAGTCTTTGCGCAGCCTCATGAAAATTTCCCAAATTACAATATGCGTTGTGAAGGCGTGAATAAGCCTTGACAAACGTCTTGTCAACCGCAATGGCCGCCGCGGCATCCCGAGCGGCAGCCTCAAAGCCGTTCTTTTTAATGTAAGCTGCGCTACGGTTCGAAAAGAGAGAGGCCTCTTCTGGATTAATTTTAATTGCCTGAGTGTAATGCGTGATGGCACTGTCAAAATCGCCGGCCTTAAAAGCATTGTTCCCCACATCCCGAAGCTCAGTCCACTGTGGCAGAGCTTCACGAGTCTCACCCTTCATCGGGAATATTAGAATGCTAAAAGTGAAATAGGTAAAACCGATGGGGCAAGCGGTGCGTCCTGTTCACTTTTAATCTCCACTTATGTATTATTCTTGTATAACTTATTTATGAATAACTACCTTATTTTCCCGTCTTTGTGGTGAATGGACCCTAATAAGCCTTGCTATTTCTTCGCAGCAGAACTCACGCAGGGAAACCAAATACAGGTATGTTGCGTTGCATAGTCAATGGAAAGAAGGAAAAAATAAAATACAAATACAAAACAACAAATATATATATATATATAAGAGAAGGGAAGGAAAGGGGGTGGAAGTGTATAAATGTATATGTGCAATAAAAAAGGGCGCTACACATATGTTATCCGTAGCAATGACTCTCCACGTTAATTCTCACTCTTTCACACATTTATGAATTCAATCCTGCGTTCCATGCGTTGTTGCATGTACATTCACAAAAAAAAATTATACACCTTAATTTCATAGATGGATATTAGTATTAAGCGTGCAAACAAAGGCAAATCAATCAGGCATCGAATCCACCAGTGAGTTTCGGCATCACAACGATGAAGCAGACCTTCATCAATCGCGCCACCGTGGTATATATATATATTATATATATATATATATATATGTATACGATACTTTCTCCCCCTTCGTCTCTTTCTCTTTTGTTTGCTTCATATTTTTTCGTATTTTCGTGTTACTGTCTTGGGCACACCGAGTTGCACCGAGGCAAGAGATTTTGTATTCACCATTTTTTTTTTTAATGTCGAAGAAAAAGACTGGATTAAAAATCCAAAATTCCCCTCTTGCGTCGCCTCGTCGCTTCCACACACGCCTTGCACTTCTCCGAACGCCAAAACATTTTTTTTTTCTTTTTGACTCGGTCTATGCCACTCTCAACAGTTGCAAAAAAACAAGAGGGCTGTGTAGCGAATAGGCGTCGTAGGAGCGCAAATTCAGAATATGATGCGTAATGACACTCTAAAACAATGTTTGGCGCTGACATCGAAACACTGTCACCTGCAAGGTCGGTGCATTTTACCCCTTGTTCGCAAGGGGCAAAATAAATCAACGGGAATGCAGTCTGTAGAAGTGTTGAGGAGCGTTGGGGGCGTTAAACACTTCTCTGCACCACTCCGGTGGTCAGTGTTGGAAAGACAGCAATACGTGACATTGGAAGTTGTGTGTCTCTCTCTCTATGTGTGTTCTTTCATGCTGTCCCACCAGTAAACAATAAATCGTGCAAAATTTCCTTCCGCGCCTTAACAACCCCATCACGACACAAATCATTGATGGCAAATGACATCCCCAATGTCATTGGACCTATTGACCAGCCAAAAGACAGTTTCCTGTACAATGAGGCATAGAATCCGGGCCTCATAAATATCCTTTTAAGATCACCTAACCCTGAGTACGCAAGCTGCTCAACCTGCCGTTGTCGCCTAGCAATATTAAGAGGATACGTCGTGAATTGGCCAGCGACCCCGGCACACATGCCGGCAAAAAGCCGCTGGCCAAAGGTTTCACATTTATATCGCTCCTTGATAAATTCATACGTGGCAAAACCTATACCGGCAAAAGGGAACGCACCCATAACAGCAAGCGAGCAACCCTCCCAAAGCGAGCGTAGACCCTTCTGTCGCGCCATCTCACGCAGCGTCCAGTAATACGATTGAGAAAATGACGTAAGTCTATCGGTAGCAGCTTTGGTGCGTACAAGATCAAGCGGATATAACATAGTTGTCGTCAACGCAGCCGCTGATCCACCCGCGAGAAAATTGGTGGCAGGCGTAGGAGTTAAAGAAAACAATAGCCGTTCAGAGGCTGTTTGAAATATATCAAAGAAACAATATGCAAGCGCCCCGTATGGAATGACTCTCATCATGGTGATTCCACTACCTTGCCACATATTCGGATTCTCTACATACATATCACCCATTAACGCAAACCCTTGACGTCCAAGCTTATGAGTGTCAAAGGCGCCCAGACCCACTTGATACATAATTTTTAAACGATCAAATGGTACAGTCCAGAACTTCGCCACTCCAGCCGCCACCCCACCACATACAAATGCCTCAGGGATTGTCACCAAGTACTCCCGATGAGAATACTGAGCAGATTTTTCGTCATACTCTCGCATACGTCTCTTAATGACATCATTGACAGTAAACCCTGTGGCGACAGCAATTGGCCCCTTGATCCAATTCATCTGCAGTCCCTTATACCAGCCTTGAAAAAGACCTTCTTCTTTATAGATTAACTGGAGGGCGTGAAACACACCACGGTAACGCCTAGGAGCCACTTGCATGCGCCGACGCACAATATCCAAGGGGTAGGTGGCGGACTGAGCAATAAGACCAGCCAGTCCACCGGCTACCATTCGTTCATGCACAGAGATGGCTTTCTCCGACGAAAGATTATGCCATTCAACAATACGACTTTTCAGCGTTTCAAAAACAGCAAAACTACATCCCGCATACGGCATAATACCCACAAGCGTGGGAATCAAACCAGAGTAGAGCGCTTTCACGCCATGTGTCTTAACCAATGTGTTGCACACAACGCGATAGCTTGGAGGTTTTTCCTCACTACAACTGTGAAATGCTAGACGCGCCCTCATTAAGTCCAAGGGGTACGTGCAGGTAGTTGCCGTTGCCCCAGCAAGAGAGCCCCCCAAGAAACGCAAAGCTACAGCTAAACCTTCTTCTCCGACCCCATCTACGTAGCGAGACGTCGCCAAATAGACAAGCCCACTGTGATAGTAGTCGAAAGATACAAAAGTAATGGCGGTATATGGCACTACACGCATCATCATCGCACCATTCCCAATCCAAAGTCCCAAAACACCGTGATCACGCACAGTCTTTACACCTAAGCGCACTGCATTGGAAAGTGTAAATCGTCTCCCGGAATCAACCTGAAAAATAATCTTCACCCTGTCTCCCGGCGCTATCACGGTTTTGCTCACGGCGCCAGCAACACCACCTGCTGCAAATCCTTCTAAAAATCGCACGACACCCTGACCAAAGCGACGGGTACGGCTGGGCTGCAGATCCGCATCAGGAACACTATACCCAAGAAAGCGCTCAAAACCCATCTTCTCCTCACCCAAAGAGGCAAAATACTTCTGATTTTCCTCACAAAAAAACACCCATTGTACTTCAGTCAGGCCTCCAATTTTGTCCTTATCAAAGTTTTCCACGAGCTCGCGGATGCGCTCAACTGGAAGAGAAATCAACGGTGCAATCTGCCTCACAATCACATCGGTCGGAATAAACGGTGTTGCCACCCGTACGGCTGGATTAGCGGAAGGTACATCTACATCCTTAGCCCACATCTATAGCAAACAAAGAAAAGAAAGGGAAAAAAGTGTACTGACAAACAGCATGAACCCAAACCCAAAGGAGCGTTAGTGAAAGGTAAAATCACGACACCAGATCACCCTTTCCTCTTTTTTTTTACCGCTAGTATATAACTATATACTTCTCCTTCCCTGCTCTTACGCACAAGCAAGGAAAAAAGGGGGTCACCGGAAGTATCCTCGTGAAAGACGTAGACCTCCATTCATTGTAGCCAGTAAATTGGTTTAAAAAAACAAAAAACAAAAAAAATCACACAAAAAGAGAGTTACATGGAAATAAAATAAGAAGCTTTTTTTTTTCTTGGCGTGTCTTCTTATATAAATTCCTCTTCTTTACATGACTTCCATAGCGTCTGGTGTGGAATTCAACATGGTTAGTGATATGCCATAAATGTGCCTAGCCCTTTTAAAGGCTGATCATGAAAGTTCAAAATGGGACCAACAGAAGAAGGAAAAAATTCACGGTGAATCGGACTTGACGCAATAAACATCCAGTAGAACAAATTTTGTCCCAGTTTTCTGCATTCTAGTCAACATCCCCGCACATGCATACAGAAGGGGAAACAATCTGCACAATCCACACACACAGAGACAAACATAGGAAGGGAAAGCACAGGCATCTCTCCATTCCATAGTAGCATGCATATATTATATATATATATATATATATATATATATGGCGAACACCAGCACAAATGATTCAAATAAATGAACAAAGGGGCGGGGGGAAAAAAAACTTTTTTTTTCCTTTTCCTTTTTCCCTACTTGTAGGAACCCCAAAACACGGCAGACATTTTATTTCACCGTAAAGGCACGGAAAGATCACATGCACTCTATGACTTCATGGCCTCTACGTAACATCCAGTTTGTCACGTCTCCGTAAATACGCATCAAGTTCACCCCTGATACCACGAAACTCTTCTTCATAGTCTTGGCCTTCAAGTCGATAGAGGCGCAATTGCTCCTCCACCTCTGCATACAGTGCTTTAATGCGAACCAATTCGCGGCGTAATGCCTTCAGTTCAACCTGATTAAAACGCTCTTCCTCAGAAAATTTAACATTGCTGGACACAGTGCGACTCCAACAGCTATGCATATTTTCGATATATGCGGCAACCTCACGCAATGATGGAGTCGCTGAAAGACCCTCAGCCAAAGGCTTTTGAGTAGCAAGACGGGGAAAAGCATCCCGTCGTATCAAGCGTGGAACTTCGCATTCTTCAATTTTTTTAAAGTAAATCGCATCTGAAGAATAATCAGCATCTATAACTGTTTCAGTAATAAAGGAATGTTGATTACCAGCGGTTCTTTCTCGCGACAATGGATTTTTTTTCCGTGGTACAAAAGGGGCTAAAATGTGTTGGGTAACAGGATCATAAAAACGCTTGATCCAATCCATTTGGGGAAAACAAGACATTAATCCACCAATCAACTGTGTTGTCGTCAAGAGAATAGCTTCATCCTCATTATTGAACGGAGCGCTTCCCTGAAGTTTATTCTCTACATGAACCACAGCTAAGGCCCTCTGCGAAGGCGGGTCCGAAGCAAAAACAGGAAATATTAGTAGACTTGAAGTCGTTTTTGAACCATCTGCAATGTGCTGATTCAAGGCAATTCCACTCCCCAAAACGTCTGCATCCAAGGACCCCAAGCATTTATGACGCACCAACTGTGGGGGAAAAGAAAGATGAGCAGCGCAGTTAGCAATGGATATCATCTCATCATCTTTACGAACAAAAATATGGGCAAACGAGGCCTTCAATAATCTTGTTGAACCTTCTAAAATATTATACAAGGTGCACGCCAAACAACGTGAAACCTCCTTTGAGATGACTAGGTGTCCCTGAGGAGCTTTTTCTCTTGGAACTGGATACGCGCTGATGCTAGAAGGTCTCGTAACTACTGGTTTCCGTGTCGAAACTAAAGGAGGCATTCCTAGCGAGTGTTTCACCTGTTGAGTTAGTTCAGGTAATCCATCCGCCCGCCGAGGACGTTCCTTTTCACCAAAACGTTTTTGTATGCATGTTTTCTGATCAGAAAATGTAGTTGCTATAATGTCCACTGCCCTGCGTAATCTAAGAGTCAAAGGCACCATTTGATCAGGGCGCAGCCCTTGTTCTGTACTTGAAAGTGTATCAATAATATCAGCTAACAGTTTTAGTTCATCTAACTGTTCATCTAGCTCGCTTGTCATCCTTCCAGTGTTAACAATAGCAATGAGTACGTGTTTCACACCCCCCCCCTTATGCTTGTTTTGATTGATGAAGCCCTTAACACAGAAAAAAAAAAACATAAACAAGCAAAAAAAAAAACACACACACACACACATTCCAAAGCAAGAACAAAAAGAGGGAAAAATACTTCAAAGATACAGCAATATATATATATATATATATATAGGCATACAGATAAATAGGTAGACACATAACCTAAATAAATTTAAAGCATAGCGATGACAAAAAAAAATACAAAGGACTTATCTACACATAGGGTAGGGACACAACACACCAACAAAACAACCAACAGAAAAAAAAGAATAAGTAATACGTACGCCTAACGCTCAGTACATGAGTGAAGAGAACTTGAGGAAAGCTTCCTTCTCCCCAGCTCTCCACGAACATTCCCACGCACACAAAAAACATACAACAAAAAAAAAGACAAAAACACATTCACTATAAAGTCCTATATGGTCCGATCTTTATCATTAAACCTGAAAGAAAAAAGCTGGTTTGAATTGGGCCACAATAATCGTCATATTATCACAGCCGACCCCTTGTACCCTGGGAGCTATACACTTATCCAATACCATTTCACACACCAAACCAATATCACCATCTGTTTCTTTAAGACCCCTCTTGACAAGATCACAACACTCTTCATTAGAGAGAACATCCCAAACTCCATCACAAGCAATGACAATAAATGCATCTTCGGAACTCGATCTACATTTATTCACCTCTGGCAAGGCCGTAACCATTTGTTCTTCCCAAGACATTTTTGAATTCTCCTTGAAATCAAAATCACCTATTGCCCGGCTAAGCGCAATCGTGCCATTGATACGTTGGCACTGAACAGTTCCACCCGCCTTTTCAATTCTTGCCTTCTCTGTAGCTACAGTAGGTTTGTGATCTCTACTCAATGGGATAACGGTGTCTCCTCGAAATAATACCGCGCGACTATCACCAGCATTTGCACACACAATTTCACCTTGAGCTAACAGCACACAAATTATGGCTGTACCTCCTTCTGATCGAAGTGTAGGCATTTCAGAAAGCTTCTGATCTAAAGATAGAAAGGCCTTTTTAAACGCCTCATCATATATACCTTCACGGTATTCTGGCGTAGCCATAAGTTCATCAAGAATATGTCCACTACAATACTTCGCAATTTTATACCCATTGTGTCCATCAAAAACTCCAAAAAACGCATGGTGTTTATTACCTTCAAGATTTAACTGAGCCACATGAGCATCCTCCATTGTCTTGCGCCATCCTTGCATTCCACAACATCCTACTCGCAAATGTGAAGTTTCAAACGTGCTAGTATGCTTTTCTGTAACAGGCTTAGATAGTGTCTCGCCCATTTTCCTAGTTAAATGAATATAAGGAAATATATATACCAAAGAAAAAAAATTTTTTTTTCTTTTCTTTAAAAAACAATATACGCCTTAAAACATATATAACTACATATGTACATTAATCACTTCACAGTTGAACTTCAGCATCAACACAGCCCCAATGATTGTTTCTAAAAACAAAAAAAACGCCCAAGAATAGCAAAGTTGGAGTCAAAGAAGACAAACCTCGTAATAATGCAACTTTTGCATAAAATCAATCCTCATCAGAAAAGTCCTGCAACTCATGAAATCTTCCAAGAGCCCCTGAAAGCGTTGTGGACTGGCCTCGGTCAGATAACTTGGATGTAAAACCAACGAATACAGCTTGATCCTCTCTAGAAACAGTAACAAGCGGTTGTTGTTGGATGGCCGCATTATCAGGTGCTGGTTCAAAATACTGTCGATCCCTTGCATGAGATAACTGGACATAAAATGGCGCCTTTTCGTGGCGAATATTGTCTGTAACAGTAACCCCATCAAAAAAACGATGCCGCAAAATTTCTTCAAATCCATAGCGTTCTTCTGGATCAGCAATTAAATGGGAAATTAAATCAACAACATCGGGTGATAACGCATCAGGTTCTTGAGGAAAGCCCAAGTATTCCTTGAAAAGAATTATTTTTTTGGCTGTAGCAGTTTTACTGTCACTATAGAATGGTGGATATCCACAAAGCATTTCGTAAAGAATAACTCCAACACTCCACCAATCACACGAATAACTATAACCCCGGCCAAGCAAAACTTCAGGAGCAATATATGCAGGAGAGCCAACAGTTGAAAAAAAAATGGCTCTCCTTTCTTTCTTATCCTTAAAACGAGACATTGTATCGGCACTATCATCACATATGCCTATAATATTTGAACGACAAAGGCTTTCCAACCACTCCGGATCTCTTTTTGACAAACCAAAATCGGCCAGCTTTATATGACCATCTCGATCAATAAGAATATTATCAGGCTTGACATCCCTATGGACATAGCCCATCTTATGAAGTGAATTCAAAGCCAAAACGAGCTCTACTATGTAGAATTTCGCTGTGCTCTCCGAAAAGACATCTTGACGAATTAGCCAAGATATCATATCTCCTCCAGAACAATATTCAGTTACTATATAGAGATATTCTGGATCCTGAAACGTTACCACAAGATCTGTAACCCAAGGACAACCTGCCCGTCTCTGTCGCAATTTGGCATCCGAAAGAAGATCACGTTCAGTATGAATATTAAGAGACTGTTGCCGTTGTATAATCAAGTCTTTACGAATTTTCTTCATGGCATATATGACTTCGGGATCATCGGGTCTCCAGCACTGATAAACCTCAGCAAAAGAACCTCTTCCAATGACATCACCCACACAAAACTCATCCACAGAATGTTTCTTCTGACGAGCATGTGAATGCTCAATTGCAAAGGTTTTCCTATCACCCATCAGACCACGAACATAATACTCACCTGTATACTTTTTGGCTACAACTACCTTGGCATCGGTGGCAACCTTAGACTTGGCCTCCTCAGCCATATTTTGTTCCTTTGGTATTTCCTTTTTCATGTTCTTGTTGTCGTAGAGCAAACAGATATATATATAGAAAAAAATATATATCTCAACAAAAAAGTATTGAAACTTTGCACTACACTGATTATGAGTTACTCACCATGAAAAAAAAAACTTCCAAAAAAACACAATCAGTGTAAATTCAACAAAAAAAAGAACTTATTGTAAATATTCAAAGATGTTTTTTTAGCTTTTCTACCTTACTTTTTTCGTTTTTGTAGTTTTTGATGTGTTTTTTTTAAATCCTCTCGGCCGCCTTGATTTCAAGCTATTCTTGAGAACCCTGTGAACGCTTGGATTCTCCCATTCCAAATACGTGGCTTTTCGTATGTCCGACGGAAGATGTATCAAGCGAACGTTTGTCCCCTTCAAAAGGACACGGCATTCTACTGATAGAGAAGAGTCACGTCTTTGACAACGCACATCAGTCAGCTCAACGTCGCCGTGAAGCATATCCAGACGAGAAAGCTTTCCAGTGTAAAAAGCCCCATCAACTGTCTCAACTTTGACAAAAAAACCCATCGAATCCATCACTGCACGCAGCGGCGCCTCCCCCTCCTCCGTCATCCTTTTCTATTTCCTATGCGTTCAAGACGGAAAGAAGAAAAAAAAAACTCAACAAAAACTGGACAAAAAAAAAAAGGATAACAACAACTACCAAAGCTGCGATGCCACGCCCACCCCAACCGCAAGGCGCCGGCTTAAGATAATCATTGGGGGGGGGGCGACGTTGAGACCGGCTCGCCAAGACCTCGCACCCAGCTCCGTGTGCAGAGGATGGCGTCTTCCGCCCCCACCCCACTGGACAGCTGGCTGTGCCGCCATGCCCGCGTGCTGGGTAGCCGTCGGGCGCCGGGCGTTTTGCCGCTGTTGTTGCTTGTGGGGGGCCGACGCCGCCATGCAATACGGGGGCTGGCCGCTGCCGTCCCTATCTCCTTTCGTTTTTTTCATTATTATCATTGGTTTCGTGCCGTTTTTCATTTTGGCTTCCCTAGGATAGTCTCAGCAGGTTCTGAGTTTTTTTTAAACAATTTGCCTCAAGTCTTTTTACGGCGACAATGCCATACGTGGGTAAGCAGGAAAAGGGGGGCACACAGCTGGTGTACGCGGAAGTAGTGGTATCTTTTGCCACAGCCATCGGGCTATTTGCTTTGACAGTTGTGCAACTTCTCTATCGTACAACGCGTCGTGCTAGACGGCTGTGGCGAGCTGAGAATCAAATTAGATTTGATGGGGCGCATTTTTTGAACAGGCCGGTGGGAAATGCTGGACGAAAAATAATAGAAATTGGCCTAAAAAAGCACGCAAACAAGGAGATTAAACCGCCCTCTTTTGTTTTGACTGCCGTTGTTGCTAATGACAGAGATGTCAGGGCGGATTGCCTTTCTATGCTTGCAGAGACGCGGCAAATATTTTGCAAGCGATACGGTGATTCGGCACGTTTAATGTCAATGCGATGTTGTTTATCCTGTTTTGAAAACGCGTTACCACCCAGCCAAACGGAGGATTTTTTGCGTCTTTATGAGAATGTTTTGTTTGGTCAACATCGAGTTGACGGGATTTGTGATACTCTTACTAGTGATGATATTAAGTTTTTGTATGCTTTTTTTCATAATACAATACTGAAGGAGATCCAATGATCGGATATAATGCGAAATTATATATATATATGGTGAAAAATCCCATATGGATGTATGCTTCCTTGGATGTAAACTTTGTACGCTTTTTCTCTATATTTTGATATTTTTTTTAAAGAAATTCTGGTCCTGAAATTGTTTCTTATTGCTGTGTTTTTGATTCTTTTTAATGATTTTTTGAAGTTTTTTTTTATATATACCAGTTATTGATCTCATGAGCGTTACAATCAAGTTGTCAAACGGCACACAAAAAATTGTTGAGGTGCCTGACTTGAATATAAGCGTTTCAAGGTTTAAGGAAATTGCGTCTTCCGTTACAAATATTCCTGCCGATGAACAAAGAGTTGTATTTCGTGGCAGGGTATTAAAAGACGGCGACATTCTTTCTGAGATGGGCATGGAACATGGCCAAGCAGTACATATTGTCCGTGGTCAGAAGAGCATAACACCTCAAGTACCTCCTCCATCTACGCAACAATCAACAAGTGTACAAGATACTCAAATAAATACGGCCGCACAAGCGAGACCGGAGGCTGTCAATCCGTACGCAGCTTTAGCAGCGAATTCACCTGCGATTGGAGGTTTTCCCACAAATAACCCTGGAAATGCTTACGCCGGCATGCCGTTTTCTCCCGAGTTTCTATCCACTGTGTTGCAAAACCCAGCCTTTATGCAATACATGGAAACTATGATGAGAGACCCTCAATTTTTACAGCAGGCGATGCCACAAGCGCAATCGCAATCGCAATTTCCGTTTGGTGCTAATGAAGGTGTGCAACGAGCCTTAAACAACCCCGCGTTTATGCAGCTTGCGCTCCAAATGATGCGTGAACCATCTGTGATGCAACAAATGGCTCAATCGTTGCGTACTGGTTTTCCGGCTTTGAATACCCCTTCCTTTGGACAACAAAATACACAGCCTACGAATAATATACAAGGTGCAGGTTTTTCCCAGCCACATGGGAATACCCGAGACCTTTATCAAACTCAGCTTCAGCAACTGAGAGACATGGGATTTCCAAATGAGCAGGCGAATCTTGCCGCCTTGGAGCAAGCGCACGGCAATATTGACTTCGCTATTGAAAGGCTTCTGAATATGTGAAAAAAAGCCGTATGAAATACCTGATAGGATGGTTTTCCCTTTTTTTTTGTCTGAAGTGAGCAACTATTTACCATTTTTGGTGCATATTTCTTTTTAAAAGAAATTAATTATAATGATTTTCATTATATCATTTTTGATTTTATTTATGTGTTTAATTTATTCAGTACTAATTGGAATTTTAATATCATCTTAATGGAAGCATGCTCCTTTTTTTTCTTTTCTCAGTCCTTTATTGGTTCTTTGCTCTTCTTCTCAAGGGAGGGGATAAAATAAAAACCTATAGGAAAAAAAAATTGAAGGAGGGAAAATGACTTCTCTCGGTACTTTGGCGGGTCGGCCTATTTCTTCAACCACTCGAGAGCAGTTTGAACGGTACAACCGTATGGATATTCTTGGAGAAGGGACATATGGTGTTGTGTATCGTGCAGTCGACAAAGTTACAGGACAGATTGTGGCTTTAAAGAAAGTACGATTGGATCGCACAGAGGAAGGAATCCCACAGACTGCTCTTCGAGAAGTTTCCATTTTACAGGAAGTTCATCATCCAAATATTGTAAATCTGCTTGATGTTATTTGTACCGATGGCAAGCTTTATTTGATTTTTGAGTATGTTGATCACGATCTCAAAAAAACACTTGAAAAAAGGGGTGGAACTTTTACTGGACTTCTTTTAAAAAAGCTTCTTTATCAACTCCTTGATGGCCTATTTTTTTGCCACAGACACCGAATTGTGCATCGTGATCTCAAACCTGCCAATATTCTTATTACAAATGATAATGTTCTCAAGATTGCTGATTTTGGTTTGGCCCGCACATTTCAAATTCCCATGCACACTTATACCCATGAAGTTGTCACATTGTGGTATCGGGCTCCGGAGATATTATTGGGAGCGAAGCACTATACTCCTTCTGTGGATATTTGGAGTGTTGGCTGTATTTTTGCGGAATTGGCTCGAGGTAAGGTTGTTTTTCGTGGGGACAGCGAAATCGGGCAACTGTTTGAAATATTTCAAGTTCTTGGGACACCAAGGGATACTGAGGGATCATGGCTGGGAGTATCTTCTCTTCCTGATTATCGCGATGTATTCCCCCGTTGGGCCGGAAAATCTCTTGCTCAGGTGATTCCACAGCTTGACACTGAGGGAATTGATCTTCTCTCACGAATGCTCAAGTATAACCCTGCTGAAAGGATATCTGCAAAGGAGGCATTGCAGCATCCGTGGTTCAACGACGTTAGAGTGTAGATGCGTAATGCAATGTAGATGGGGATTTTTTCCTTAGATCTTATCTTGACATTTTGGGGCACTTTGTTCTTGGTCGAGATTTTTTACTGTTTATTATTATTATTACGTGTTCTGAGGCACTGCAGCGAAGAAAAAATGTTTGAAGTAAACGAAATTCCTTTTCGGTTGTTTTGTCTTTTGAATGTTTATGCTTTAACTTTCTTTTTTATTCTTTGATATTTATATTTGTCTCAAGTCATTCAAAAAAAAACTGTTTTTATTGTCCTAAATTGGAAGGAAATGCCTAGGCTTTCTGAGGAAGAAGAAAAACTTGCTAGAGCCGCACTTGAGGAGAATGATACGTTGCGTCGGATATTGCAAGATTCTCCCAAGGGTGGCTACGCCCACGAGGAAGCTACTGTGATGAGTGTCGATAAGGCTGATAGTGTATTTACACTCAAACGTGGAAATGACATTTTGAAAGGGGAAATTGTGGCCTTGCAATATCAACTTGATGCTTCAGATGTCAGTGCTGCAGAGACTGTTCACAAGTTCAATCAATTACAGAGCAAAAGAGCACATTTGAGAAATGAAACTCGGAGTCTAGAAAATATTGCGAATCATCAAGCACCAAAAGTAAAGGAGGCAAATCGTATTGTTCTTAACCAGTTAGCAATGAAAAGATCATGTGATGAAAAAAATAGGGCATTAAGAGAAGAAGTAAAAAGGCTGAAGGAATTTAGAGAAAAAGGAATGGAAAGGCTTTATGCTGCCCTGCGTAAGGAGGCGCATCTCAAGGAACAACTTGAAAATACTAATTTGGCGTTACATAGTTCTGATTGTCAGGTACTTAAGAATGCCATTCTCTCGAAAGATAAGACAATTAGAATGCTGAAAGAGGAAATTGAAAAGGCTCGAATCACACAAGGAAAACAGACAAATTATGGGAACGAATACTATGATGATACTTTGGCAAAACTACGCAAAGAACACGATGATCTTTGCGAGCAAATTCAAGCGCTTCAAATGGTTCTTCAACGCTAACTCCGCATTTAATTAAAAATATATCGTCAGGGATCCATGTTGTTAGTTTATGAAGTTTGATGTGCTGATGTTGCCGTTGTTTAGTTGTAGGCTTGTGTCTCTGCGTGATATATATTATTTTATTTTTGATTTTTTTCGAGTTTGCGTGTGTCGTATGTAAGTAGAAGGCCATGTATTTATCAGATTTATCAATAAGCGTTGATTTTCTTGTTGATCGTATGTATTTCTTATATGTATATAGAATGCCTCGTTATTGCCTTCTGGAATAGATTTGAATTTACCTATCCATACCTGTTTGATTTCTTTATTATTATTATTATTATTTATTTCTGTATTTACCAGTTCACAATCACCAATGCGGCGTTTTGGCATAATTTCTTTGCGGCAAATCAATGCAGTACGCTTTGTGACGCCCCAATTTTTGAAAACTATTCCTAAGCTGCGAAATATTGGTATCAGTGCCCATATTGATAGTGGCAAAACGACGCTAACGGAACGCATATTATATTATACTGGTAGAATTGGTAAAATTCACGAAGTAAAAGGGGGAACAGAGGTTGGAGCAACTATGGACTCTATGGAGCTTGAAAAAGAACGAGGGATTACTATTCGTTCCGCAGCAACCCATTGTCAGTGGAAAGACCATTTTATTAATGTTATTGACACTCCTGGACATGTGGATTTCACCATAGAGGTTGAAAGAGCACTGAGAGTTCTTGATGGGGCTATTATGCTTATGTGTGGTGTTGGAGGTGTTCAAAGTCAAACGCTTACAGTGGATCGACAAATGAGACGATATGCTCTGCCGCGCATTTGTTTTATTAATAAACTTGATCGTGACAATGCAAATCCTCAGCGGGCACTTCAGATGGCAAAGGAACGTCTAGGTATAAATGCTGCTTTTATTCAGCTAAATATGGGGATAGCGCAAGATTTTGAAGGTGTTGTCGATGTTATTGAAGGTCGTGCTGTATATTTTGAGGGTGTCAATGGAGAAAAAGTCAGGTTTGATGAAGTTCCTGTATACCTCAAGGATGACTTGGAGGCAGCAAGAAAAGAACTTATTGCGAAACTTGCTGAATGTGACAGTGAAATGGAGGAAATTTTTCTTAATGACCAGGAACCAACTTCGGAAATGATTCATGCAGCTATTCGACGTGCGACGCTGGCCAATAAATTTGTACCTGTGTTGCTGGGTTCTGCTTATCGAAACAAAGGTGTACAACTTCTTCTTGATGCAGTTTGCCGGTATCTTCCGTCTCCTATGGATAGGAAAAATACTGGTTATGTGCTGAAAAAGGTGAAAGATGAAGAGGGAAATGTTTCTAATGTTAAAGGAGATAAGATTGACTTGTTGATGGACGATGAAAAACCACTCGTGGCATTTTTGTTTAAGCTAGAAGAAACCAAGAAAAATGGTCTTTCAAATTATGTTCGCGTTTATCAAGGGAAAATGCGGAAGGAGCACCTTTTAAACGTTCGAACTGGTAAGACCTTTTTGCCTTCAAAGCTTGTTCGAATGCATGCTGATTCCGCTGAGCAGGTGGATGAGGCAAAGGCCGGGGACATTTGTGCAATTCAAGGGGAAATCGATGCATCATCAGGGGATACAATTATGAGAGCAGGTCCAAAAAGTGGAGTGCTGCTCTCTTGTGAAGATATGTATATCCCTCCGAGAGTTATTTCTTCTTCTATCAAGGTGAAAGACGATAGGGATTTGAACAGGTTGCGTGACCGTATGGGTGCATTTATGCGTGAGGATCCCACTTTTTCCTTTTATCGTAATACTGAAACCAATGAAGACATTCTGGAAGGTATGGGAGAGCTGCATCTTGATATTTATGTTGAGCGCTTGAAACGTGAGTATGGTCTAGAGGTTGAGCTTGGAAAACCTACAGTCAACTATCGAGAAGTGATCACAGAAAGAAAAGAGTTTGATTTTGTTTTTAAGCGACAAAGCGGTGGCGCGGGCCAGTGGGCACAATTAAAAGGTTTTATTGATGTTCTCCCTATTAATATGTCAGCGGAGAAAGGCGTGAAGAACAAAGTTACTGTAAGTTGTTCTAATGGTGATATCCGTGAATCCCTTCAGAAGTCTGTCATCAAACAATTGGAGCGCAAAATCTTTGTAAAGGGTGAATTGATGGGAGCACCAGTGTGGGGAGTACACTTTCATCTTGGTGGTGGTGCTATGCATGAAGTCGATTCAACTGACATGGCCTTTAAAAATGCGACACAAGAATTGTGGGAAACACTCTTGCCCCAGCTTAAACCTACGCTGGTAGAGCCATACATGGATGTAGAAATCACAGTTCCAGCGCAGTGTATGACTGAGGTGGCAACCGAATTTGCAAAGCGGGAAGGTATTGTTACGGAAACCACTGTCAATGGAGTAGATGCGGTGATTCGTGGAGAGACGGCGCTAGACACAATGTTTGGCTTTATCTCCGATCTTCGGCGTCTCACAAAGGGGCAGGGAGACTTTGGGATGCAGTTCAAAGAATACCGGCCTATGCAACCGTACAAGGCCCAAGTCCGCATGGACGAGCGCAACAAGGAAGTTGGTCGCAAGTTGTACAAACTTAGTGGGGAATGATTTTTCTTTTTTTTTGACCTGAAGAATGGCTGCATGCCAAGTGTAGGTTAAGAGGCGATGAGAGGAAAGAAGAAAGGTAAAGTAAAAAATGGAGGTAATGTAAAGACTTCGAGAAAATACTGGAAATTACAAAAAAAAAAGACTATTACAATCTAAGAAAGTACTAAATGAATTTTCCTGACTTTGAGTTCCTGCTTTATGGAAACACGACTCTTCACACTTGTGACTTTGCTACTGCATTTTATTTTGATTATTACGTATTGATGGAGGTAAATGGGAAATATGGATTAGACAAACAGAGAAAAAAAAACTTAGATATGTGGTTTGCTGCATTTATTCCTCAATTCTGTGTTTTATGTGTGCTCCAGACATTGGGTGTCTATTGGTATTATTATTTTGTTGACGTTGTTGTCTTGTGGTATTTCAACGACATCAAAGTGTGTTAGGGGGTAACTCGGCAAGAAGCAAGGAGCGTAAAATAATAGAAAACACAAATATAAAACAATAATGATGTTTGCTCCACTCGATAAATCCTCGGTGAAGTTGGGCATGCGAGTGCAGAACCGCGCCGGCCTTACTGGTACTGTAAGATGGATTGGCAATATAGATAAGAAGCAAAATCCACTTGGTGTGAAAGGAACCTACGTCGGGGTCGAGTTTGATGAGCCTACACTGTCGCCAGACCGCCATGATGGGTCCTGGGGAAAACAGCGCTACTTTACATGTTCCCCTGGAAGAGGTGAGCTTTTAAAACCCAAAGCGATTTACCCAGAGGCAAACCCCAAATCTGTCGCGATCCTTCGGCAACGCTATGGAGACAAGGTTGCAGATTGGCATGACTTTGAACTGGTAAAGTTTTCCATCGCTCGCAATTTTGAAATGACTGCAGTATATACTATGCTTGAGAATCACTTTGAGTGGGTAGCAAGTTTTAAACCATCCTGTGATGAGTACTTTCCAGATTCCATGTGTGAGGATTACCCGTGTGGTTACAGCGGTGCAGTCGACTATGATAATAACATTATATATTGTGAGCGTCCTGGTAATGCAGGGAAATGTACACCTGCTGCATATATGGAGCGCTACTCACATGCTGTTATGACGCGTTGGCACGCTTGTGTCATGGAAATTGGGAAAAAGTTAATGAGGGAAAACAATTACAAATTTAAACGTGTCTGTTACGTTGTTGATCTTTCTAATGTTGGATTGACTATGAACCGATCTCTTATTGCGTTCGGGCGAACAATAGCGGCACTCGACCAGGCGAATTATCCAGAACACTTGGGGCGATTGTTACTTGTGAACTGTCCGAAATTTTTCCGTATGCTATGGAAGGTGTTTCGTATGTTTATTGATTCTGAAACCGATAAAAAAGTTATTTTTGTGCCGCCTGGTGATGGGGTGAATGTGTTAAAGCGCTATATGCGCGAGGAAGACATTCCTGATTTTGCCGGGGGACCCAGTAAGGCATGGCGGTCTAACAATTGCCGCATTGGATCAGCCGATCCTCTCAAGGTATTCAAAGGAGTGACAACCATACCAAGCGTCACGTCAGATGATCTGCTTGAGGGTTTTGAGGAGCCGGATGAAGAGGGTCTTCCGCAGGAAGATAAAAGGAACAACAGTTGCGGTGGTGTGGGCTCCTCCGGATATACTTCGGAAAGCAGCAGAATGAGTGCTTCACACCATTGAGGGCTCGCGTTAATTGTTCATGGTTTTGTGTTGTTGTTGTTGCTGTTTTTTTGGAGGATGCCTAAACACCTTGTTGCAGCATCAGAAGTTGACCTCCCTTACGCTACCGATGCTTTATTTTTATGTGCTAAATAGATGTTTGCTGATTTTCGCTTACCTAATTGTTTTTACGCATTACAACAACTACCCCAGTCTTTTTCACTACGGACGCTTTAGCAGGTACAACAGCAACAAGCGCCAACACCACTGTACATAAGGAACATTTTTTTTTTCTTTTGCTTGATAAGTGATGCCCCGCATATGCGTTGTAATTTCTGGATGGTTATGTGGTTTGAGGCTTTATCACCATTTTTACTTTTTTTCAACCTTCTGTCTTGGTGGTTGTATAATAATTTTGTTTCCATGTCGTGATGTGTGTAAATGCGATTGAGGCGGACGCCCTTCCAGGTCTCGATGAGAGAACTGTTCTGGTGTCTAGTTGCCGCTATTGCTTTCCGAAGCCGATTACAGCGTCTTGACCTCTGGTTTTATAAGATACCGGTTTGTTGGTTAACTTAGAGCCTTTCTCCGTGGCGAGGGAGGAGGATGAAGGATGGATGTGGGAATCAAAGGGAAATAATGACCATTCTTACGCCTGCGTCTGTGCACTAATTCATGCGCAGCCTTTTTTTTCCCGTTAGCGTTGGTGTTTGTTTGTTTGTTTGTTTGTTTTTTTGGTTGTTTGTCTGCTCGTGATAGCGTTCCTGAATCTTCATCTTTGCCATTTATTGGTTTAGCATTCATTCGTTTCCTCCTGAGTCTTGTTGACTCTGGAGTGCGTTCTGGCGTGCAAGCATCTTTACTTGTTTTTTTTATTTTTGAGGGCCTCTCTTTGTGGTTGCCTAGCGGAGCCGTTTTCGCTGCATGCGTATATATATATATCTATATACGCGTCAGTTTATTTAATTTTTTTTTTTCGCTTCTTCTTCCCTTACTGACGACACGGTGTTCTTAGTGCGGTGTGTGCGTGGGACGTTTTTGCATTGGTTTCATTCTTTTTTTTTTTGGGTGTTTTATTGCCGTCCCACTTGGCCTTCAACTTCCGAGGAGGAGTCGATATAGCGCCACACTTCAGTTTATTGTTTCTTCTGCCGTATTGAGTGCTGCTTTTCCCACACACACACGCACGCATCTACACGGAGTAGAACGTGCTGTAAGCGTATTTTTGTTGCCTCAAGTAGCACATTGATACATTGAGGATAAAGAGGGCGGTTCATCCTCACAATTGGTAACAATACCGAGAATGACAGAAGCAACTCACGCCCTCAAGGACCCATGGTTTCTCAGCTACATTCCTCAGCTTACTCCAGACGTCGTAAAGTATGATTTTAAAGGGGACTGGAACAATGCAAAACAGGCGCTCCAGCAGCCGCTTGACTACGTTCGTACCGTGGAGGAGCTCTGGTCGACCATCAATTCGCTACCGAAGTTACACCAACTTGGAAATGGTAGCACATTTATATTTGCTCGTAACAATGTTGATGCAAGCTACGAAGCTTTCCCACATGGCACACGGGTTCTCGTAGATCTTTACAATGCATCCGCTGCGGAAAAGGGCGTGTACGTTGTACTGAGCAGCGTTCTAGGAGAAGGACTGGCTCAAGACGTTTGCAACGGCAAAACGGTGTGCGACGTGCTGCGTCTTTCCTCACGTCCTAATCAAGAGTCCCCGGAGTTGGTGCGCTTAGAGGTGTGGCTCAGTGACCAGTCGTATGCCAAGGATGTAACACTGTATGTCAGGAAGGGGCTGATTGAAGCTGGTTTGAGTTCTACGGAATTTATTATTGGTGAGTCAAGCTTTGAAAAGGATACGAAGAAGCACTCAGTGCTTGGTGCAAAGAGTTAGTTGCGGAACCTTCTCCATTTCCCCACATTTTTTTTTGTTGTGTGTGTGTGTGTGTTGGGGGGGACCTGACCGTAATGTTTGTATTCAGTTGGGAGGTGAAGTGGGAATCGACTGTGCGTACCGAAGATGGTGTTTTCACTTCCGCCAGGCTGTGGAGAGTTGCATAGAAACAACTACGGGCGATAACCAGCGGGATAAACGGAATGGTGGTGGTTTCTGTGGAACGCCTCTGTTGTAGTATGGCTGCGCACCTCTGCATACATCTATCTCTGTATCTATGTCACCCACTTCATCTATTTATATTTTAAACAGAAGGAAGGATGCAGCTTTTCGTCAAGTCGGCGTCCGGCAGGACCATTGCCGTTCAGGCTTCCACGCAAGAAACCGTCGCCAGTCTCAAGTCCAAGGCCGGTATCTGCAATGGCACCCTCTTCTTTGGTGGCCAGTGCCTCTCTGACGAGGCCATGCTCGCCGACTACGGCCTGCAGCGTGAAAGCACCATTCAGGTGATGGTTCCTGTTGAGGGTGGCAAGGGAAAGAAGAAGAAGAAGAAGGTCTTTACAAAGCCCAAGAAACCGACGCACAGGCACAAGCTGGAGAAGATGCGGGCGCTCAAGTACTTTAAGGTGACGGAGAACGACGACGGCTCCTACGAGGTGCAGCGCACCCGAGACGAGTGCCCCAATCCGAGCTGTGGGGCTGGCGTCTTCATGGCGCAGCACAAGGATCGCAAGTACTGCGGCAAGTGTTACTTGACGTACGCCGCCAAGTGATTTTTACAGCAGCATCACGACTTTCCTTTAAATGATTTTGTTGTTGTTTAATTTTATTTTATGTTCTCTTGTCAGTTGCTGATGGGCGGTTGTCATTTTCTTCCTTTTAGACTGGTTCTTTTGGGCTGTGCTGCGCTGTTGCTCATTTAGAAATTAAATTTGTATTATATTTTTGTTTGTTGTTGTTTTCCGTCTTTTTTTTCTATTGATTTATTTTTTCTACTGTTTTAGTGGTTAGTATTGATTTTCTTTGTTTTGCAGGAGTGCATGTCGAGTTGGCGTGGAAGGGCGTCCACCGTAGTGCGGTCCGGTGACAACATCATCCAAGGAAAAACAATGGGACTAGACGACATTGACGAGTGCGCTCCACCGTATCAAGGTACGCTTGTTACGGGTGAGTGGGGAGAGGTCCTCAAGGGAAAATCCGTCAATAAGGGCAACGGTAGTGGTGGTCCTTCTGCACCGGTGCAATTTGGTGATTTATTTGGTGGCCCTGTTTTTTCGAACAGCACGAACGTGGTGTCATCGGGTAGTGGTGTTGTCGGCGGCGTGAGGCTTGGTTCCAGCTCACCGTGCCACGAGTCGTCAGATCCGTGGGCCTGGACCTCCAGCACATCCCAGCAACAAGACCATCAACAAAGGCCACACACCCTCGAAAATAATATATCCGCCGCATCTAATGATCCTCTTGATACGTTCTTTACTACTTCTGTTCCCAGTGCGCAGCCACCAACGTCGGTGATACAAACTCAAAATTCACCGAAGAATCTCTTTGACTTTTCTCAACCGGCGGTGCGCGTCCGACACTCGGATGAGCATTCCCTCCTGGAGGCGTTTGAAAACCAAAGCAAAGGACGAAGGGCAGATGTGCGTGACGGTCCGTCTCTGGCTGTCCTTAGTCAGGGTTCCTCCAACAATGTGGTGAAAGCGCGTTTGTTGAAAATAATGAATTACTACGATATCTTGGGTGTCACCCGCGACGCCACGGAGCAGCAAATACGGCAGAAGTACAAGCGAAAGGCACTAGAACTTCATCCTGATCGTGCGGGTCGCAACCAAACACCAGAGGAGATGGAACTATTTAAAGTAATGACAAAAGCACAAGAGGTTTTGTGCGATGCGGAGGAGCGCGCGAAATATGACGAGGAGTTGCGATGTTCCAACGTCTGTGAGAGTGACGAGGCGCGGTGGCTTTTTCACTTACGCCCACAGTGACGGTGCCTAATTTATACCGAGAAACCTACAAAGAAAGACAACTATACGCATATACATAAGGATAGGTGGGACGCGGAACGTCGTGGAGGCGCTTATGTGTTCACAATCCAACGAGTGTGTCATGCCATGTGACGGAAGCAACCGAGCCGCAATAAAAGTAATCTGGCGATGATGAAACTATCCCAAGGTGTTCAATAATACGAGCGACAAACAGTCTAAGGGAGATACGGGGGGGGAAAAAAGTCTCTGCGTTTGTGCCCATGTGAAGAAGAAAGAAGAAAGGATGACGGATGTATGTGCATGCTGCAAAAGGTGGAGGGTGGCGAGGGGTAAGAAGGATATGTGCAAGAATAATTTTTTGTTTTGTGTTTCTTATTTCCTTGTTTTATGCTTGCTTTTTTTTATGTTTTAATTCACTATGAAATTGTGAAAGGTGGGAACATCACAGTAAATAGGGTGAAGGCAGAAGCACAACAACGGGTGGGGAGAACAAAAAAAAACCTTTTTTTTTTAAGGAGAACAATAGTGGGAGGATAAAAAGAGAAACCGTGTCTATTTGAGCTACAGAAAAAAACCAATAATGCGGCGCAGTTCCATCCTTCTGAATGCCACCTGGAGAGAGCAGGGTATTAGCTACTTGAAGTATCTTAACGTTTGCACTGAGGCTCTTCACAGCGCAGTGAAAGAGAGCCGCCGCGTAAAATACGAGCGCTACTCGGCACCTGGCTACGTCGCCCAGAAGCCTGACGGTGCGGGCGGCGTGGAGGTGATCAATAATGTTCCTTCGCATACCAATGAGTACTAACGAAGCCGAAGAGGAGGATTTGTGTTTCTGTTTCTGTGGGTGAAATTGAAGAGGATATATAAGAGAAGATGGTACGTGAAGCAGTCTGTGCAAGATTGGATGTGAGACTGACACAAGTGTAAGGGCGGAAATTTAGCAGTTGCGTATGATAGGGAGACTTCAAAATAGGGTGATATCATATATGAGAATGGTACGACTTCACCTCTGAGTTGCATAATTTACCCCATGGAACTGTGTTTGCGTGCATGTAGACAATATATATATTGTTCGTGTTGTTTCTGCCTTGGTACTGCGCTACTTTTTTTTATTGGTCTTTATTCTTTCATTCTTTTTTTTTTTTAATGGTTTCTATACCTTTACACTATTTTTATGTAAATAATGCCATATGCAAGTTTGCTTTGTGCGGTCACGTTGGGCACACTCTGTTGTTGAATGGTGTTAGAGGGGGCTTTCTTAAAGTAAAAAAAAAAAAAAAGAACTGTGGCCGTAGTGGAGGGACAAGCACATTTTTTGGGTGATGCCGTGGTACCTTAGTACCTTTCGTGTCAGCTTTTGCGTCATCTACTCTTACTTGGCCTATGTGCAAGTGCGGTGGATTGCTGAGGCGGAGGAACGCTATAGGCGTTCTCTGACGTGGAAGCCCGCCGTGGGCACTATATTTGATCACAAAATTGTCATGAAACGCGGGGGATCGAGCTATGTGCAGTATCGCTTTGAGGTGGGAGATAAGGAGTATGTGGGTGACAGATTTCGTAGCGGCGGCATCCACAAGGAGGAGATGGTGTCCAACCCGGCCCTCCTTGGTGCGGGAACGCAGCTGGTAGTGTACCACAACCCTGTCGATCCCAATGAGAGCGCCATGAAGCTGCAGACCGATCGTGGAGCAGAATCGGTGCTTTTTCTTGGTATTGCAGTTTCTCTTCTTGTGGCTTACAGGTCAGTGCGATGCGAGACGATACTGCCCAATATGTTTTACACTTTTCTCGGCGTGAATCGACGACTTGGTGGCATCACAGGTTTGAAGGAAGCTCGGGTTCATTCAAAGAAAAATATGAAGTACGGTAAAGGAACAGGTGCCGTATGGCAATAATAAGAGCATAAACGGTAGGGTGGATAGTGGAAAAGAGGCAAAGCGGTGAGTGGAGTCGCACTCGCTGTGTGGAGTGCCCATTGCCTTCCCACATAAGCTGATATATGTTCTGTGCATTTACCGTGATGTGTTCTCTCGTGTTGGCGAGGTTGCAGTCTTTTTTGTTGTTGTTTTGTTTGTCCAGTAAAGATGCTTTCAAAGAATGTGGTAGGTGACGGGAGACCACATTTCTTGTTGGTTGCGTGTGGATCTTCTACCGTTTTCATAATGTTGTCTTTTTTGTGTGTGTTAAAGTGTGTGGGTGTTTACTTTGCCCTGCACTTTTTCTCCATTGCGTTTCACGTTGGAACAGGGTATCACTGTTTTTCTTCTTTTTTGCTGTTAGTATTATTATTATTATTATTGTGTGCTTCTTCTCTTGAAAGGGGAGGTTAGCGAAAGACGGGGAGGTGAGTGGGAGTGATATCGCCAGGGAGAGAGAGAACTGCGAAGGTAACACATGGCTGAACCACGTTCTGCTAGCAGTAAGACTCTTAGTGGGGCGAAGCGAAATGGTACTAGCATTGAGTTTGATGTTGCAGAATTCATGCAAGCTATGGACTGCACAGAGAAACATACGGTATTAGGCATAGATGAGGCAGGAAGAGGTCCTGTTATTGGCCCCATGGTATACACAGGAGCCATGATTGCCCTTCACGAGCATGATCGTCTCGTAGAATACTGTGGGGTAAATGACAGCAAAGTGCTTGGGGAGAACCAGCGGAAGGCTGTGCTTCGTAAGCTTAAGGAGCTGAAGACCTTCAGGACCTTCACTGTTGTTGTCACACCCGATGAAATTGCCGCAGCTATGACAGGCATTCACGGCACGAATCTGAACACTCTTAGCCATAGTACAGCCATGAATATCATCTCCAAGGCAACTCTAGAAGCCACAGGAATGCTGTGTGGTGCCTACATTGACACTGTGGGTCCACCAGAGCCTTACCAGCAACGCCTTTCCGGACGTTTTCCGCATTTGCGCATAACAGTTGCAAAAAAGGCGGAAACAAAGTTCCCTATTGTGGCAGCCGCCTCTATAGTGGCGAAGGTGGAACGTGACAGTCACATCGAACGACTCGGCATTGACGTTGGCAGTGGATACCCAAGCGACCCCAAGGTGATGTCTTGGGTGCGGTCCCACGTTCACCGCTTTTTTGTACTGCCCCATAAATTTGACTTTGTTCGGCTGAGTTGGGGTCCCGTCGTTGAGCTTGCCAAAAACCCAGACGTCTGTGTCCCCATAGTCTTTGAGGAGGACACCAAGAGTAAAGCAGAAAAGAAGCGTGCTGCAACTGGTGGAACTAGCGATGGTAAAAAGCAGCGTCTTTTGAGCTTTGTTAAACCACCACCGCGCCGACACACGGTGTACACGCACCTGCTGAGGCTGAGGACGGTGGCGACCATCCAGGATACTCGGCACCCCCCACTGGTGTAAAGTTCTTGTAGATTAAAAGCTTCTGCATATGAAATTCTGTGGCTGTACCGTAACACTCTAGCTAATGCAGGCGACTTTTTTTTTTACTCCATACATATTCACACAAAATTTACATGATAGACATAGAGGGCTGTGTTAACTGCTTTGAAGAAGTGATATTTGTTGAACCAAGTCGGTGGTTAATAAGGATCCAACGGGAAGACACCGCATTTTTTAAAAAAAAATTCGTCTGCACTTGATTTCTCAGTTTAGTCCTTTATTATTATTATTTTTCTTCTTCTTTCTTGCTTTTTGCGTGCATATATATATTTATATGCCCCTATGTTGTGTTTCCTCCTTTTCTAGTCTTTAGTCACACTTTTATTTTCTCTGGTTGCGGACCACAAACATCATCTTCCACTCCGTGAAGTGGGAGCGAAAGAGAAAATCTCAATTGTCTTTTTTTTTGTTGAAGTGGACCGGGGATGTTGAGGAAGAAATCTCTAACACTGCCACTGATGGCAGCTTTGGTGACACTAACGGTGCGTTTGCTCACCTACATGCTCAAGGAGCACCTTTCACTTCCGTATCATTTTGGCATCACAACGCCCAATACCGGAGCTGAAACGTGGAAAGAGGCTGTCTTTTGGAAACACCAGTTTGGTGTTGTGCCAGACTATCTTGTTGCTGTGGTGCCCTGGTACGTAGAGTACATTCCACTCTTGCCATCTGCGGTGAATGTGAGCATTTTGTGCGTGTGTGATGCCGTGACTGTCTTTTTAGTCAGTCAATGGCCATCGGCTGTTCCTCAACTTGTTTTTACGCTGTTTGTTCTAAACCCAGCCATGGTTCTCTTGCCGGCTCTGGAATCCTTGGCACCCTTAGAACATCTGATTCTCACTGTCATCATTGAATGCTGTCGAAGAAGACGAAGCCAAGGCTGGTTAATCTATGTTGCGCGGATTCTTGCACCTGTACTGGGATTATATTTCATTGCCCTCACTGTAGCTTTGTGGTTTCCTGTCGGGACTTCAAGTTCAAGATCTGCGCTTGTTGGGGTCCTTCTGAGCGAGCTGATTGTGGGCGGGTTTGGTCTATTTTACCTTGTTTCCTGGGGAAGCGTGAGTGCTCGGACGTCCCTTTACTCACCACCTGACAATGGGGTGATGTGGTATGTGCGCCTCCTCATTATTCCCGTATTTGGGCAATGTATGGAGATATTTCAACTTCAGTTACCCGCGTTTGTGACGCTGCTCGTCGCGGTTGCATTGCCTTCTAAGGTGCCGGCGAAGACGTTGGCGTACGCAAACTCTGTTCCTGGGGACCGAAGGCTGCTTGTGGTTTTGTTTGCTGTTTGTGTTAGCAAGCTCTGTCGTTGTCATCTCGCCCTTCCGGATTATTCACTAGGGGTTTTCTTCATCTATTCCCTTTTGGATACAACGGGGAGAAACGGAAAGGGAGGAAAAGAGGAGTCGAGGCAGTCCATGTTTGACTGCATTCGCTCTGCCAATGTCTTTGTGCCCGTCTACACTTTGTTGCTTGTAGTGCCGCTTCAGTACAGTTTTTACACCGGCTGGGTAATGTGGGACACGGCGAATCCCAACTGGGTCTTTTTTCCGCAAGTGGCATTTGTCGTTGTGGGGGCAATCTTTATGCTTACATTTCTGAGGAAAGCGTTTGGCGTCATCAATGCAGAGACAGTTGCTGGGGATAAGCCAAAACAGTCATAGCGCACCTAGGCGTCTGCGCCCCGGGTCTCTCCCTGATGTGTGTGTGCTGCGGGCCCCCTCCCTTTCCCCTACCAAAAAAAAAAAGCTCAGCCAGGCGGCAGCAAAGATACCGTCATACATATGTATTTGTATACTTGTAACTTGACGAAAGGGAAATCATAAGTACGTGAAATGACGGGGATCGATCCCCGTCTTGTGGGTTAGGCTTATGCAGTGTTACCTTGCTTTTTTGCGTGAAAATGATGAGAAACGAGAGAAAGGCCACCGCAAGAAGAAATCACATGAGTAGAACAAATCGGAGTCGGTGAAAGTGTCACGATGGGCGGTGAGAGGAATATGAAGGTTCTGCACATGTGTTGGAATTTCATCCTCCATGATTATTGCGCATGAGTGGTAGCCGTGTGCCAGTGTTTGATCGCATGGCTTTTTCCCCCTTTTTTACTTGGTCTTTTTCTTTTTAACCCGGACTTATTCAAACAATAATCACAAACCCAAAAAACAAAGAGCGAAATAATATCAGTCTTTTACACTATTGTTTGGGATGAGGGGTGTGAGCATTGTTTGTTTTTTTCTTTGCGTCACACTTGCTTTCCAAGTGCTGCCTTTGCATGCGGAGCCGTCACCGATTCCTGCTCGAGCCCAACGATCCTCCACTCAGAAAATACCTTTCAGGGCGTCTCCCACCGATTTGTTGGTGTTCCCGTTCTCTGCCTGTGATGCGGATGTGAAGCAGCTATGCCCCACGCAAAAGGAGTCGCCGCTTAAGTGTCTCCTGCAGCACTTTGAGTCCCAACGGTCCTCCGAATACCCGTGGCGACGACGCCCCGCCTTCAGCAAGGCCTGCAGCAGGTGGCTATGGGCAAGGCAGGAGTGTGTGTCGTACGTGCGGTTGGCAGGAAAGTGCCGCGTTTCGGAAAGTGCAAGAGACTGTCTTCGACGCGTGCCACCGCGCGACCTTCCTCCGGGTTGCCGTGACACAGAGTACTACCGAAGTGTGTTGTTGTATGGAGAGATGAAGAGGACACAGAGAATGCGCCCCCCAGAGAAGAGTAAAGAAAACAGAACCGAACAGCACGCAGAGTAGAGAAAACTCGAAGCAGTTGAAGTTCTTGATGCGTTGACTGTCATGGATACAAGTTGCCCTAGGACAAGACGCATAAACGACAACGACATGACACACACACAACAAAAAAAAAAAAGAAGAGCGGAAAATAAATAAGGCGAAGCAAAGTAAACACTTGGGAGACAAGAAAAGTCAAGAAAAAAAAAAGGAACAAAAAGGATAGACACCGTCTGTACAACAACAAAAAAAAAAAGGAGCTGCAATAAAAAACGAGGGAAATGGAAAGTTAAGGGAGCAAGGACAGATAATGACAGAACTGACACTGAACACAAATCTGAAGCGCGAGCAATTTAATGCATGAGACCCCTGAAAAAATCCATCCCCCAGAAATATCTTTTTGTACGACCGTATATATATAAAAAGTGAAACAATAGTAAGTTTAGAGCTCTTGGCTTCACGAGGTAGACATGCAATTTCTGTGTGTCCTTGAAAGAAAGGAGGCAGCCCTTCGTTTGACCACGTCTTCGCTGTTTGACCCTTATCCTTTTATTCGGGTTGACGTATGTACACGGTGCTTGTATGCATAATTTATTGATTCCAAACCCATATTGGACGTCTAATCCCACTTGTACTCGAGCTTTGTTTTTTTTTCTTCTTCCCCTCATCCCAATAGTTTCAGCGTTCTATACACGCGTCACGATGGGAGTGCATGTGAAAATGATGGCAGCATCGTTGACGTGTCGCGCCACTATTTTTTAAGGCAAAAAGAATGATCTGTGTGTGTTTTTTTTTGTACACAACTGTTTTTTTTTTCCTTTTTTTTACGTGAAGGAAATGTATGATTGGATGATTGGTGTTGCGGCACCCTTCCTCCTCTCTTCATTGTTCCTTTTTTTTTTCTTTAGGTGTTTTGTTCGTTGTTTGGAGACTGCTCTTACGCGGCTGGAGGTCATAGGCGACGGGTGTCTCAGACTGAATACGTTCACTGGTGATAGGTTTCTAGTGCTCTGTCTGCTAATACCCGAGGTGCCAAGTGTGTAGCTCCGTGACTTTCCATGCATTATGTCCTGTGACTCGGTGCCTGTTTTTTTTTTCCCCCCCCCTCTCTCCCTCTCACCTTTTAAGCGCACTTTGTTTTGTTTTCTTTGCTTTTTTCTGAGCCAACTACGTTTGCCAGGCAACTGGTGGGACTTGGGGTGATGCGATGAACCTATGGGGAAGACGCCCACTCATGTTCTCAACCTTCTACTCCTTTTTGTGTGACTTGTTTTTCGAAGTTGCCCGGGATGCCACAACTGGTCTTTTTTGCTTTACTTAGCGCAGCATACATTTTTTGGGGGACGCTGCAGACGCTCAGCATTAAGTGGGCAGATGTGCTCACGGCAACCGATCGTTTTCAGGACTATAAATATGGTTTTGCACACCCTTTTGTTCAGGCGTTCATCATGTTTGTGTCAGAGGGCCTCTCCTTGGTCGTGCTTGGCGTTCTGATACTGGTGAAACGATATGTGCGCCGGCAAAAAATTGTCAGGGGGGATGACGTTGCTTTGCCGTGCAATCCTATCGTGTGGATGCTTCCTGCAGGAGCAGACCTTGGCGCGTCTATCTTGCAGAACATGGGTCTGATGTTAACGTACGCCTCTGTGTATCAAATGTTGCGTGGCGCAGTGCTGCTCTTTGTGGGGCTGCTGTCGCGCATTTGGTTGGGACGACGGTTTACACGCGTGGAGTGCGTTGGAATGTTTATTGTGGCTGTTGGTCTCACACTTGTTGGACTCAGCTCCGTTTTGGGTCGCTTTTCGTCAGGGACGAGTAACGCCAATCGGAGTCCCTTTCTTGGGAGCGTGCTAATTGTGTTGGCGCAGGTGTTACACGCCTATCAAGGTGTTTGTGAGGAGCGCCTTGTGAAGTTGTACCGCGTCCCCCCATTGCAGATGGTGGGTACAGAGGGATTCTATGGAGTGGGAATGATCCTTATGCTTTTGGCGGTTTTTCAGCTATTTCCTTTCTCCCCATTTCAACATAACATTGTTGGTCCCATCGACAGTGACACTCAGCACAACATGGAACACGCACGTGTTCCATTTGACGATGTTATTCTCGCCTTTGATCAAATGTGGCTAAGTCGTTCCTGCTTGCTCTCAATGCTGGCGTACATTTTGGGAGGGTTTTTTTACAATACATGTCAAATGACAATTATTAGGCATTTTTCGGCTACGAATTGTGTCATGGTGGGGTCCTTGCGTAATATTGCCGTGTGGGTGGTGGCTCTTTCCCTTTCCAGAATATTTGATGAACACTTTAATGTGGTGGAGTTGGCTGGTTTTTTATTTCTTGTTGCAGGAAATGTTGTGTTCCAGAATGTCATTCCAGATCACTGGTGGCATAAATGCTACGAAGTTGTGCTTGGCCAGCGTGAGGGACAAGGTGAGCATGAACGTACAGAGGATGTTTTAGAGGTTGCACAGGAAGGTGATGTGCTTTCCCCGCATACCATTCGGCATGCTGCCAATGCGTAATTGGAATTGGAATTGGAATCTATGTAATGGAGGCACTGCAACAGTGCTGTCAATGGATGCAAGCATGGAAAATTAATTAAACGAATGCTAGCTGGCTTATTATTTTTTGTCCTGTTTTGTTTTTTGATGTCGTGGATGCTTCCCTTCTTTTGCTTTCCTTTTTCTCTTCTTATGCATTTGCAGTGTTTTTTGTCCTTCTGCAGACGTTTCAACTTAGAGATTTGTTCGTGGAACGTATTCAAGTGGTGGCAAAACTTCTTTCACCGCCTTGGTAAAGGAAGGCAGTGAAACCACGCCCCTTGAGGGTGAAAGGTCCGGTAGGGGGGTGGTATGCATGACCTACACTTATTATTGTTTGTTTGTTGGTTGTTGTTTTTCTTAAATTTCCTATTGTCATTCACGTGATGTTACTCATCTTCGTTTATTATTATTATTATTATTATTGTTATTATTGTTATTTGCTGTATAGCCACACCAGCAGAAGCGACGCACTGCAGAGTGCTAGAACCGCGTACATAGAGTAGATGAGATGTGTGACGCAGACGGGCAACAATGCCCTTCCGCAAATGTGATTTTCGTAGTTGAACTGGAGCAGGACATGAGCCGCAGCGAGGTTGAGATTGTAGAGGACGAGGAGCGGAAATTTCTTTATTGGAAATACAAGGCTTCTATTGCACTGGTAACAAGCATGCACGAAGGCACCAGTGTCCCTACAGCATGGGATTGTCTTGATAACTCATCTCCGCATGGTGACAGCGGCGGGCATGCCGCTTTGGAGGAGTGGTGGGAGCGACGCTCCACAGCGCACCCGTACAAGACGAATACAGCTGTGATGCCGCAGTGCAAGAAGGAGTCAGTGACCTTTCATCGTAGTAGGTCGCCCTTGACATGGATTTGGAATCCGGTGCGAGCTGGTGAGGCGGAAACGCGTGCGACACAGCCTGTAAGTGGTACCTTTCATGTTGGAGGTGCGCCTGTTACAGATGTAGGGAGGCCTTGCAGCGGTCTTTGCACTCCACTGCAAGAACGTCCCATGTGCACTTCACTGTTGCTGTCATTGCGTGACGACAGACGGCTACACGGGGACGGCAGGAAAAGACGATGGAACAGCAGCAGTAACCTTTGCAGTAAGGCTGCTGCCTCAAGCTTTGCGGCAGTGGCACCCAAAGATGTGGCTCGTTTTCCCAAAAAGGCTTTGACGCCCCCCGTAGGGCGGAGCCAATCTTCACTGGGTAGAGGGGGCCTCTCCAGCAGACGGGAGTACCGCCCCTTGGAAAAAGAAATGGGTATCACGGTCAGGAGACCCAAGACTCTTGTTGATAATCGTTTTGGGCGATTGAATATGTTGCAGGAGCTTCTTCGCATGGAGTTGGAACGTGAGACGTTTGAAGACTGGCAGGTTCTGCGAGATGAATTCATAAGGATAGGTTGTAAGCAGATGGAGGAAAAACCGCTGCGGCGCGCTTTAAGGCATGTAGCTGGCAAAGTGGAAGGTCGTGTACGGGCGGCGGCGATGAAGTTCACTTGGGAAAGAGAAAAAAGGCGCCAAGAGAGACGCTTTCAGGCACTGGAGCTCTATACCTCGCACTCGGAGACGGTGAGGTCAGGTGCTATTGCACGTTAACCTCTTCTCTTCCAAACTATTTAGAATACGAATGAGAGAGCACACACACACCTGCAATCTAGACGGGTACATGGAAAGAAGTTTCTGGGAGTTGAGACGAAAAAAAATTGTTCTGTGTGTGCGTGTGCTTTTCCTGGTGTTTGGTAGCTGTTTCCGTTGCTGCGGACTCCTTCGCTGCTTACTTTTTTTCATATATATATATATTGTCATCTTTATTGCGTTTTTTTTGTTTGTGCGTCTTTGCCCTGTGGAAGGGATGCATAATTCAGTTGTGCTGTTGCGTGCAAACCGTCCTCTACTAGAGAAGGCCACTACAACACTACAGCACGCTGTTGAGGTTGCATATGCATCTGGGCTATTGGGGCCGGTTCCTCACACTATTAGGGGGATGCCGGAGGCTGACGCCTTTGCGCCGAACTCTGTAGCTGACCCAATGGGGCCACGTCTAAAATTTAACATGGGCGGCAGCGATGGTGACCATGAAAGGGCGCGTGATCGGGTTCGTTTTGCCTCCCGCTGTGCGGAGGGAGCGAGTGTGGGTGCATCATCATCGGCGGTCTCGATTGCCCACATTGAGGGAATTGTGCGGCATGCGATGTGCGGCAACCTTGACGGAGCTGCGGTTTTGCAGCTGATCCTTGAGGTTGAGGAGGAAAACGAACGCCTTCCACTTGCGGCCCGGTGGCGCCCAGGCTGCCGCGAGAGTATGCAAAGACTAAAAAACGGCACATATGTGACAGATGCCAAAGAACGGTTTGAGGGGAAGCGAGTGCTCTTGAGCGGGAGACTGCAGGTGGAGGAGCGCTACGATACACATAGCAAGATGCTGCACAAGGTGCCGGTCCTGATTATGCTACCAACGCCGTCACTTGAGGGAAGCTGTTTGTCTATTCTTGCCGAATGAGGCTCTTTGTCTTTCTCCGGCAAGGTGAAGGAAATGGGTCGGGGTCGAGCTATTCTTTTTTGCTTGTTTGCATTATTATTATTGATGTGCACCGTTGATGTTATGCTATGTCTACTATGATTTTTTCTTGTCTTTATCCTGCCCTCGTTGCTGTTGTTTTTCTAATTTCTCGTTCTGCTGCGAGCCGCACAGTGTGGACTTTGCCAAGGGTTATACCAGCACTTTTCCCTCCAATCCGCGGCGTGGTGAAGCGCGAGGGGAAAAACAATAGCACTCAAGAAAGCATAAACGAAGGTGGAAAAGGAATAATAATAATAATAAAAGGCTGTAGCGGGGGGCTGTCAGTGCGTACCGTTTCTTGTTCCTTTAAATATACATAGATATATGTTCTTCCGCACGTGTTGTCGCCTGATGCTTCGGCGCACAGCCCCACATCGATGCAAAAGTGTCAATAGTGTGACTTTGGTTGGCGTGGTGCACGACATCCAGAGCGGGTTTGTCTACGAGGACGCCGTCACGCAGTTCACTCTCACAACGACAAGTATCGACACAACGCACCCGACACAAGAGGTCGTGGTGGAGAAGGATCACCACACGATCCGCTGCTTTGGCGAACTTTTCTCCGCGGAAGTGCGGCAGAAGATTAAAGAAGGCAACGTTGTTTGTGTCAATGGGCGCCTGCGACTTAGCCCACAGCTTGAGCCGTCGTGCAACAAACATTTCTACTTTCCCTACATCCAGGTTCAGCCTCCTCATGGTCAAGTGGCCGTTATTCACGGTGACCGGAGGACCACACCGGCGTCTGTGAATCCGACCGTTGACGAAATTCCCACGGAAACTGAGAGTGGTACGGCCGGCAGCTCATCTTAGCCCAACTAAGCTTCCAGTGTGTGCCAGGGGAAGCTTATTTACAGAGAGATAAGTGCGAGGAGCGTGGTGAGAGCCAATAAGAAAGATCAAAAAAAGAAAGAAAAAATGCGTGTACTTCTGTCTGTGTGTGTTGGAGGATGTTGTGGAGGCGGCTCATGAGGAAATGCTAGTTGAGGATTCTGTTCGTGTAGTTTTTTTTTTTTTAATTTGATGCCGTGGTAAACGACATGTGGGGAGCGGCATGCCTGTTTCCCTAATCTCTGCACATATTTCTTTTTTGTCCCGTGTTTGTCGCTTTCCCCTCTTGCTGAATCCAGAAAGGGGTAGAAGGCTGGGCGTATACAGGTCTGCCACGTCCCCTCCCTCTCCCAAAAAAATAGAAAGAGGGGCAAGACCATATCATATATATAAACGGAATCGGAGGCCTATTACGGGGGTGTTCTGGATGCCGCCGCAGCCTGTTGTTTTGAGGGAGCAAACGGTTTTGGAACGGACCAAGGCCGAGACTCTGTCGGCGGTGCGCAACCTCAATCTGTGGGGGGAGGGATTGACGGATGTGTCTGTTGTTGAAAAGATCCCTGGCATTGAAGTGCTCGCATTGGCCGCCAATCGGTTGACGACACTGCGTCCTTTTTCTTTGTGCACATCGCTGAGGGAGTTGTATCTGCGAAAGAATGACATCAAATCGCTTGCTGAGGTGAAGTACATAAAGGAGCTTCCAAAACTGCATACGCTCTGGCTTATGGATAACCCGTGTGCAAAGAGCCCCAACTATCGCAGTTTCGTTATTCGGTGTTGCCCACATCTGCGGCAGCTAGATGACATTGAGGTCACCGAGAAGGAGCGGGATGAAAGCGAAAAGGAAGCTTTCAGAAAGTGCAGTACAATGTATATTAGAACACGGGACCATCACTAAGGCGGAGCTTACCAGCATGCCGTCGCAGCCGAATAGTCCTTCGGCTGCGACAAAGGTAGCTGAAAAAGGGCTCACTGCGGGTGCCGTTGGCCAGCTTAGCAAAGATGGGAGGGCGAAGGAAAAAGAGAAGGAGCGACGACAAGACACCAACCACCCCGGTTGCACAGTGCGGACACCAAGTTCCGGGTCCAGGCTCAGCGGTGTTCCATACGCGGCGGTTCAAACCCAACAGGCAATTCTTAACGCCATTGTGTCGCTCATACCTGAACTGACGCTGGAGTCTCTGGGGGTGCTTTGGAAGGAAGTTCGAGTGGAGATAGGGCGGAAGGAAAAGCTCACGCAAGCACTCCCAAGTGGTCCACAGTAGCAGAACTCTGTGTCAGTGAGTATTTCCTTGTTTGTATGCTTTTCCGTCACCGTATAATTGTTGCTGTTGTTGTTTTCTCCTGCCCTTCCGTCTTCCTCGCGGAGTAAATATTGCGTAGATTGTATGCGTACTCCAACCCCCGCCAGATCATCTACGCATTCCTTTCGTGTCTTTGTTGTTGCTGCGCATTCCTGCCTGTGCGTTCTTTTTTTTTTTTGCGTCTCCCGGCGTTTTGCGAAGAAAGAAGAAGAGGGACGAAAGGACGCCAGCCAAGGCGCGTGAAGAAGATCGGAGGAAAAGAGGGCAGACCCGCATCTCTGGTGGGAGGACAAAAGAGCGAAGAGGAGAGGACTACAAGGAAACTCCAGTTAGTGGAGAAACAGTAGTTTCAAGAAAGGGACGAGTCCAGAGGTACGCGTAACGCGTCTGTGAAGAACACCTCAACGGGGGAAAAGGAAGCAGTCTTGAGGGATTCGCGTCAGCGCGGAGCAGAGTGTGGCCCTGTGTGCGTCTGAATAGGCGGGGTGGGAGAAGGGTGTGATCGAATATATATATATATATATATATATATATATATATAATAAGAGGAGTTTTGACGTTTCCGAGAGAAATAAAGTAAAATCAAAAATTAAAAGAAACGAGGGAAAGGGGAAGAAATACAAAGGAGGGAAAAGGAACAGGGACAGCAGCAGCACCACCACCACCCAAAAAAAAAGAAAAAAAATGTCGTCTGAAATAGAGCCACATATTCTCCGCAAGTACGAGATCCAGGCGCAGTTAGGACAGGGTGCGTACGGCATCGTTTGGCGTGCCTCCGATCGACGCACCCGTCAAGTAGTTGCTTTAAAAAAAATTTATGATGCCTTTCAAAACGCAACTGATGCCCAGCGTACGTTTCGAGAGATCATGTTTCTACAGGCTCTTAAACACCCGAATATCATTAAACTGCTGCATGTGCACCGTGCCACTAACGATAAGGACATATACCTTGTCTTTGAGTACATGGAAACTGACTTGCATGTTGTGATCCGTGCCAACATACTGGAGGACATTCACAAACAGTTTATCATCTATCAGCTTCTTAAAACGTTGAAGTATCTTCATTCTGCTGAATTGCTGCACCGTGACATGAAGCCGTCAAATCTTTTGGTTAACAGTGATTGTTCAATGAAGGTAGCAGACTTTGGATTAGCGCGATCCATTCTCTCACTGGAGAAGGAACAGGTGGCTCGCCCTGTCCTCACAGATTACATCATGACTCGTTGGTACCGGCCGCCGGAGATTCTTTTGGGTTCGACACGTTACACAAAGGGAGTGGACATGTGGGCCGTGGGATGTATCCTTGCCGAACTCCTTTTAGGGAGACCAATATTTCCTGGACGTACAACAATAAAGCAGCTGGAACTCATCATAAACGTTCTGGGTGAGCCTACCCCAGAGGATATTGCGTCGACAAACTCTCAGTTTGCAGAAACGATGATGATGCGGGATATTCGACGCACAAATGTTACAACGTTTGCAGAGTTATTGCCCAAAGCTTCACCAGACGCAATTGACTTGGTTCAAAAACTTATGCGTTTTAATCCCAACGAGCGTCTCACCGCTGAGCAGGCGCTCGAGCATCCCTATGTCGCTGCCTTTCACAGGGTGCAGGACGAGCCTTCTGCACCGGCACCAGTTACGATCTCGCTTCCAGACGACACGCGTTTTACGATGCAGGAATACCGCGAGCGTCTCTACCAAGAGATTGCTAATGCGAGACGAAAGGTACGCCGAGAGGCAGTTGCGGCCTCAACTTCAAGGAAAGTTGCCGAAGTTCCGGAGACACGGGTTCGCCCGCCCTCCTCCGCTGCTGGGTCTGCAGTGGAGGAAAGGCGGGAGAAGGTTCGTGATGTGGCAAGTTCGCACACCACTACACAATCATCATCTTCGACCGCCGTTAGGCCCCAATCATCATCCGCCACACGTACAACGTTGGCGAATGGTACCAATCAAGCTCTTATTGCGAGTAGGACGTCTGACCCGACGCGCCATTTGCGTCACACTCGGCCCGCTATTTTGCGTCATGGGCTCAATGGCTCACGCGCTGCCAATAAGTAGAAGAGAAGATGTTGAGCGGTTTATATGCCTAGAAAAAGAGGGAAAAATGAGCAGAGAGCAAGGGGAGGAAGGGGGGGGGGAGCGGAATGATGTGCACAGGTCAGAGGATGCGGGGGCACGTGAGGAAATGGCGACACACCAGCCGTGAATGTATGCCCAGGTCGAAGTACTTTCTTCCAACCTTCAAGATTTTTTTTTTTTTATGTCCCCTCTGTTGGTGTTGTTTCCTTTTTGCCCTTTTTGTTCTTGTTTTTGTTCCAGAATACCCCATGCTTTTTTGTGGTAGTTGTCGAAAGTACAATGATGTTTTTTTTTTTTTTAGTTTCTTGTTGTTTCCACTTTTTTTCCTTTCTTTTTGTTTTTGTTTTTATTTTGTGGGTTCCAGTATTTGCCATCTGTTTTGTTTTGTGTATGTGTTCATTCCTCGCCGGTGCGACGTGAGAGGCGCTACCAAGACGAACAGTGTTGCCGACTTTTGTTACGCGCGCGCACACACACACACACATACATACACTCACTCTCTTTCTTGTCGGTGTGCTTTTATTGGCTATACCCAGTCTGCGTGGTTAAGATACTCGACGAGAGGAGATGAACGAGTTGGTGAAGGGAGGGATGCTTGTGTTTGCGTTTGTCTCTGGGAGTGTCCCTCTCTCCCTCCGTATATACAATACATATGTACACACAACCGGATAGATGTTTCTGTGCATTCATCATCTGAAGGCGGGAGTGGGGGGCGGTTCGTTGTTTCGGTGGTGAATGCGATAGTAGCTGGCGTGCGTAAGGCGGCGGGTGTGGGGTGTTCGACGCATTGTTTGAAAGGAGATATGAGGAGCGGGTCTGAAGGGGCGCATAACTGACGTGGAAGGAAGGTGTGCAGTCAGCGGCACCGCTTCCTCCCTTGGGAACACACACACGAAGCAGACGAGAAACAAAAAGGGGGAGGTAAACTGCGAGTAGCAAAGGAAGTAGGAAGAGGAAAAAAAAAAATAATGTGTACAGACACGCGGAGAAGAGCGGACATAATAAGAGTGAAGGTAAAGGAGTAACTCCCGCGAACTCCTTATTTTTTTTGATATTTCACTGCCATCTTACTTCCCGTTTTTTTTTTTTTTTTTTTTTGTACCAGCTTGCTATACTTTCTTCCTTTTTTCACCTTTTGCTTGTGTGTGGTTTTTATGGTTATAATTGGCGCTCTTGGTAAATCTCTTTTCTCCTTTTCATTGCCGCGTGTTTACGCTCTCGTTGGTGGAGTAGATGTGGGGGTTCCATGCCGCTGCTTTGCTTTAGAAGTTGTGGTTTTTCTCACCGTATGGTGTTGTGGTTTTGCGGGGCGACATGTGGGTTAGGTGAAATGACGCGGTACGCATAGTGTGCATGGGTGTGTGTGTCTGGACTCCGCGGGTTGTGGTTGCATTCGTCCCCATCCACTCTTTTGCCGCAGAGAGGAGGGGCGGTACGTCGAAACAAGACTGAGACGTGAACCCATTGCAATCAGCTTGGGTTTTAACCAAATGAAAGAGAGAAGGCAGCTGAAATAAAGGAAAAAAAAATACACGCACAGAAGCGAACAAAAAATGACGGAATGGCGGCGATGATAGGATAGACGAGGGACGAAGGTGGGGTGGTGAATGAAGAGCACGGGGGGTAAATTGATTGCTGACCAGTGCAGAAAGCAGACTAGAAGGCGTGTATCTAATATACACAAAGATATAGTATTATTGTGTATATACAATGTGTTTGTCTGTAGGTGTAGCAGCACCATAAACTCACAGAGAACGTGCAAAAATGGAGACTGGCATACGGGTGGGTTGGGTGGGGGGACACGACACCACTATAGCCAATAAGGAGTGTGGAAACACTACTATCCCCTCTATCTTTGTGTATTCCTGCCTTCCTGAATATATATATATATATATATATATACTGAGTCGCTTTCTGTTCCTCCGTCTATATTTTTGAACCTCCGGGTGTGCGTTGGTTTACTTTTCTGTCTCTCTCCACTTGACATCGTCAATCACCATGGATCCCTCAATAACATACACGCAGAGGTATACATGTAGCACTGCGCATGCATGCGTGTATTTCTCTGTCATGACCGCCATTTTATCACTTGTTGATTTTGTTGTTTTTCTTTTTTTCTTTTGTTACAATTTCCGCCTACATGAATCACTTGCGCCTTTATTGTTGTTGTTGTGTGTTCTACCCCTCTCCCCCTTTTGCGTTTATTCAGTGGCCGTTTTTTTTTTTTTGCTCACCTCATTCTTTACTTGCCGCCTCACAGATTAGTCACTGGCCAAGGTATACATACGCACGAGGACCACGAACGATGTTAGGGCAACAGGACTGCGTTAGGATGTAAAAAAAAAAAACACCAGACAGGCAAAGGAAGAAAAAATGAAACACATGATCGAAAGAAGCCATGACATTGGACTGCGTCGCCACAACACCTAACACCATTATCATCATCATAAATAAGCTAAAAAGGAAGGAACATGTTTTTTCTGTTTATTGTGTATGTGTATGTGCGTGGTTTTGCTTTTCCGTGTTTGTGGAAGTTTGCGGGGGCAGGAATGGTTGACGCTTAAGGGTAATATTTTTTATTTGTACGTTTTCTGAAAACGACCTCAAATATATATTTCTCTCACCTTATGACTGTCAACTATCGTGCAAAAGGTGAGTTTTGAATACCCATCCAACCCAACCTGCTCCGCCCCGCTTGGGAGGCGGACAAAAAGTCAGTTTCCCCCTCTTTATCTCGTCACTGTTTTTTTTTTTTTGTGATTATGTGGGTGCCAGGAATTTGCTTTGTACATTCCTGTAGGATATTGACGCAACCTTGTTGAGGTCTTCAGGGGTGGAAATGGGAAATAGACTTGATAATTTCTCTTTGTTTCTTCTCATTCTTTATTAGGGGAAAGTAAAGCTAGGACTAATCTGCTTTTGGAAGGCGTACTTTGTGTTCTCCGATCAGAGGAAAGAGTCAACGTGCCAGTTGCTAGCATCATCACAGACGGTTAAACACAAACGTTATTTCTTCACCGTTCTGCAGTGACACTGATGCGCACCAGCCCTCGAGATATGCCGCAGCAGCCTCTCTATCGCGGGGGTCAGACTGGATTTCACCAGCACCACCACAGCCCTCATCAACATCCGCAGGTTATGGGTCAACGAAGCAGAAATATCACCACTCTGGGTGGAAGCCGGGGCGGTACCACGGGCATTTCTCCTCATTTTGACCGTCATCGCACGATAAGGTTGGTGCGTCCCAGCAGCAATACCGTGGTTTGTACGCGTCTGAACCGTATTATTCCAACCTTTGCAGAGGCCAAAAATGGTGCGGTGGTCTGTGAGGAATTTATGGATAATCAAAATTGCCCATATGGCGAGTCTTGCACGCAAATACACGTTGTAAAGGAACACACATGGGACTTTATTACATCCGAAACGAATAGAAGCACAGGTCTGTTTGAACACGGATTTATTGTTCACTGTTACGATCCGCGGATGACACAGTACTATCCGATACCCAGCGAATTGGTCTTAAATACACGTGGCAGTCGCGAGTATGTTAAAATGTACAATGAGTATGGAGATAACTTTAAGGCCAAATTCAAGCTGTGTGATCATATGCTTACCCGTGGAGAATGCAGTTTGGGAGAGTCTTGCGATGATATTCATGCTATTCGAAACGATGTTTGGAACATGGAGAGTACTACCACCCATATTGCAGAGCCAGAGCAGCTATTACGCTATCCTCGCCTTTCAGCGAATATCACAGTGCGTGCCTTTGAACAAAATAGTAAGGATTCCTTTGTTGATTACCCCGGTGATCAGGTTCTTTTGACGTCGGGCTCTCTTCAGTACTTGGCGGCGTTTGAAGCTGAGGGAACTATTCCAAAGAAGAAAATGCAACACTGTGCTCATTTTCGGACCAATCGCCTTTGTCGAAGGGGTGAAGGTTGCCGTTTTCTCCATATTCTGACAGATGTGACTGGATCGCTTGGTGATTCGCTTTTGGGGGAGTTAAGCCCCCAAAGCATTTCTTGTGGCGATTCTCCCACCTCCGATATCACCGTCAACCCGCGTGTTCGCCACGGCGGCCCTTGCATGAGTGGAGGTCAAATGGCCGCTAGGTTTGCACAATGGTATTCGCCAGGAGTAGTTGACGCTGCGTCCTCAAATGTCAATCAGGGTAACGCAGGGGCTCTGGCGTTTAACAGTAGCGGTGGCGGCACAGAAGGCAGCAACCCTGGATTCGTGGCACAGGATGAACATCAAACGTTGAGTGTAACTCCTCCAGCTACTGTGCCACCTCGAGTGGCCTCCCCCAATTCGATACAAATGGGCATGATTGGCAAAATGCGGATGATCAGCCCTACGCGGCGCAATGACCCGTACCGTATGCACCCTGAAGGAGAAGCACCCCCCTCTACTTCCCATTGATCGGAAATGAACACGTGGCACGCGAATAAACGCTCTTTGCTCTCTGTAGCTACGGTATTGTATGGCAAACTTGATACTGGGGAACCGTGTGGTATATGTATGAACTTGGGTCTGGTCTCTGTCAAAGAGCAAGGGACGGGACGAGTTTCCTGGGTGCCAGCGTTACCGACCCGACCAAGTGAACTACAACCCAAAAATGGGCAACAGCCTTAAGAAGGCAAAGTGGAAAGAAAACAAAAAACAAAAAAAAACTGGTGTGGAAAAAAAAAACAGCAACAAACGCTGCACTGCCAAAAAATAAGAAATAAAATAGAGGCAGATCGGTGCACGTATGGGGGCGGATCTGCGAAGGAGACGAGAACTCTGAAGAAACGCCGAAACCAGTACGGGAAAAAAAGAGGAATGGAGTTCGAGAAAAGGGGGAATATGAAAGGACGGTGGTGAGGAGGAGAAAAAAGGGTCAAATAAGCGGAGAGTAAGGCGTGTGGAGGTTGAAGGCACAGACGCACAATGAAAACGAAAACAGAGTAAACGAACAAGAAAACTGGCCAACCCACGTGGAATGATTTGGCGAAAAATGCAATCGGGGGGAGGGAAACAA